ACCAATGGAGGCAAAGGCCCTAAAAAGTCCAATATGGAGGCCAAGTGGCCAAAATATTGGGAGATCTTGGAACAAGAAGGAGATAAATTCAAATTGCAGAGTTTTGAAAAATTAAAAGATAGAGTGCGAGACTGGTTGCATTACTATCAAATAAGAGAGGTTTATAATTTGGATAGAAAAATTGGCTTCCAGGTGGAAAAATCAAAGTTGGAAACAGAACTGTTAGATCCCAAAACTAAAACACTTTCAAGAATGTATAACTTGCTGCTAAAATGGAATACTCAGGATGAAACGGTAAAATCTGCTATGATTAAATGGGCACAGGATGTTGGACACAACATTATGTTTGCTGACTGGGAACGGTTATGGACCACAGGTACGAAGTTTACAGCATGTAATGCTTTAAAAGAGAATATAATGAAAATGGTGTACAGGTGGTACATGACCCCAGTCAAGCTTGCAAAAATCTATCACTTGCCCGATAATAAATGTTGGAAATGTAAAGAAACTGAAGGTACATTCTTTCACCTTTGGTGGACGTGCCCAAAGATTAAGGCTTTCTGGGAAATGATATATAATGAATTAAAAAGGTATTCAAATATACCTTCCCTAAGAAACCAGAGGCCTTTCTCCTGGGCATAGTCGGCCAATCGGTGTTTAAAAAGGATAGAACTTTCTTTATGTACGCAACAACAGCAGCAAGAATTCTCATCGCAAAGTATTGGAAGACACAAGATTTACCCACTCTGGAAGAATGGCAGATGAAGGTAATCGAATATATGGAACTGGCTGAGATGACTGGCAGAATCCGTGACCAGGGAGAAGAGTCGGTGGAAGAAGATTGGAAGAAATTTAAAGACTATCTACAGAAATACTATAAAATTAATGAATGTTAAATTGAGGTCTGACTGAAAATAACTGGTATTGGCAAAAGTCTTGTGATTAAGAGCATGGAATATTTGATGGATAAAGCTGTAATATTTATATATAAATAGATTAACTTTGAGTTAAGATAAAGAAAGGAGGGTAAGGATTTGCTGAAAGGAGTTTTTAAATGGAAATACAAGCGGGGAGATGCGGGGAAGTCAAAGAATTAGGTAATGATAAGAAGGTTAAATGAAAGTATATTATTTTTTAAATTTTTCTGTCTTTTTTTCTTTTTTTTCTTTTTCTTTTTGTGTTATATTGTTATCTATGTTTGTTTTTTGTTATGGTTATTGCTGTTTTCTGTTTGTCGAATTTTTGTATTTTTCTACATCTTTTGGAATTTGTTTTTGTAAAACCAATAAATATTATATATATAAAAAAAAAAGAATACACAGAGGAATTATACCAGAAAGATATGGATGTCTTGTACACCCCAGGTAGTGTGGTTGCTGACCTTGAGCCAGACATCCTGGAGAGTGAAGTCAAATGGGCCTTAGAAAGCACTGCAAATAACAAGGCCAGCGGAAGTGATGGTATTCCAGCTGAACTGTTTAAAATTTTAAAAGATGATGCTGTTAAGGTGCTACACTCAATAGAATCATAGAATCATGGAATCATAGAATCATAGAGTTGGAAGAGACCACAAGGGTCATCGAGTCCAACCCCCTGCCAAGCAGGAAACACCATCAGAGCACTCCTGACATATGGTTGTCAAGCCTCTGCTTAAAGACCTCCAAAGAAGGAGACTCCACCACACTCCTTGGCAGCAAATTCCACTGTTGAACAGCTCTTACTGTCAGGAAGTTCTTCCTAATGTTTAGGTGGAATCTTCTTTCTTGTAGTTTGGATCCATTGCTCCGTGTTCGCTTCTCTGGAGCAGCAGAAAACAACCTTTCTCCCTCCTCTATGTGACATCCTTTTATATATTTGAACATGGCTATCATATCACCCCTTAACCTCCTCTTCTCCAGGCTAAACATGCCCAGCTCCCTTAGCCGTTCCTCATAAGGCATCGTTTCCAGGCCTTTGACCATTTTGGTTGCCCTCCTCTGGACACGTTCCAGTTTGTCAATGCCAGCAAGTTTGGAAAACTCAGCAGTGGCCAGAGGATTGGAGAAGATCAGTCTACATCCCAATCCCAAAGAAAGGCAGTGCCAAAGAATGCTCCAACTACCGCACAATTGCACTCATTTCACATGCTAGCAAGGTTATGCTTAAAATTCTACAAGGAAGGCTCAAGCAGTATGTGGACCGAGAACTCCCAGAAGTGCAAGCTGGATTTAGAAGAGGCAGAGGAACCAGAGACCAAATTGCAAACATGCGCTGGATTATGGAGAAAGCTAGAGAGTTCCAGAAAGACATCTACTTCTGCTTCATTGACTATGCAAAAGCCTTTGACTGTGTCGACCACAGCAAACTATGGCAAGTTCTTAAAGAAATGGGAGTGCCTGATCACCTCATCTGTCTCCTGAGAAATCTCTATGTGGGACAAGAAGCTACAGTTAGAACTGGATATGGAACAACTGATTGGTTCAAAATTGGGAAAGGAGTACGGCAAGGCTGTATATTGTCTCCCTGCTTATTTATTTATTTATTTATTTATTTATTAAAAGATATTTATTAAGATTTTCAAGAAGTTACAAAATAGAAAAAAATAAGAAAAATACAAAAGAAAAAAGATACAAAAAATAAATAAATAAAAATAGTTAAAAAACAATTCAGTCATCACATATTTTTCATTTACTTATTTCCTGGACCTCCTCGCGCCTTCCTTCTCTGTATTCCAGTTCAAATTATTATTTCAGCAAATCCCTCCCCTCTTTCAAATCCTTTCCCTAATTCATAATATTCTGTCATCACATACCTGCTTATTTAACTTATATGCAGAATTCATCATGCAAAAGGCTGGGCTGGATGAATCCCAAGCCGGAATTAAGATTGCCGGAAGAAATATCAACAACCTCAGATATGCAGATGACACAACCTTGATGGCAGAAAGTGAAGAGGAATTAAAGAACCTTTTAATGAAGGTGAAAGAGGAGAGCGCAAAATATGGTCTGAAGCTCAACATCAAAAAACGAAGATCATGGCCACTGGTCCCATCACCTCCTGGCAAATAGAAGGGGAAGAAATGGAGGCAGTGAGAGATTTTACTTTCTTGGGCTCCATGATCACTGCAGATGGTGACAGCAGTCACAAAATTAAAAGACGCCTGCTCCTTGGGAGAAAGGCGATGGCAAACCTAGACAACATCTTAAAAAGCAGAGACATCACCTTGCCAACAAAGGTCCGTATAGTAAAAGCTATGGTTTTCCCAGTAGTGATGTATGGAAGTGAGAGCTGGACCATAAAGAAGGCTGATCGCCGAAGAATTGATGCTTTTGAATTCTGGTGCTGGAGGAGACTCTTGAGAGTCCCATGGACTGCAAGAAGATCAAACCTCTCCATTCTGAAGGAAGTCAGCCCTGAGTGCTCACTGGAAGGACAGATCGTGAAGCTGAGGCTCCAATACTTTGGCCACCTCATGAGAAGAGAAGACTCCCTGGAAAAGACCCTGATGTTGGGAAAGATGGAGGGCACAAGGAGAAGGGGACGACAGAGGACGAGATGGTGGGACAGTGTTCTCGAAGCTACCAGCATGAGTTTGATCAAACTGCGGGAGGCAGTGGAAGACAGGAGTGCCTGGCGTGATCTGGTCCATGGGGTCACGAAGAGTCGGACACGACTAAATGACTAAACAACAACAACAACAAGCCCCTTTTATGCAGGAGGGAGCCTTGGCTGCAGATGAGTCACACCTGGGCTACAGGTGGACTCCTCCCTTGCAAACCCTGTGGCCCCGATCCTGACCCCCCTTGCACCAGGGAGCCCAGGAGGGAGGCTCTGCTGCAGGGTATTGAACAGGGCAGGGGTGTCTCCTGTTTTGGGGGAGAAGCCAGAAGCTTTTCCTGCCCTTTTTCACCTCGTCTCTGTGCAGCCCTTCAAGGCACCGTCCAATTGTCCTGGAACCTGTCTGCATAAAAAAACAACAACAACCCAATCCTCCCCCCCCCCCCCCCGCAACACATTTTTAAAGTTAATTGAATGTCAGTCAGCCAAAGGCCTGGTTAAAGAACCTAGACTTTATTTCACCTGGGTCAAAGACCCAGTTTGGCACATTTGTGTACATGCACCCCGGCTGGGCACCTCAATGGTGCCCCTCTGGAGGCAAAACCCCCGGCTAGCCCCCTGGCCCACCCCTAGCTAAGGCACTGGGTAGCCAATTTCTCCCATAGAGCTCAGAATGTATTAGAAAAATTATATAGAAAGGTTTATTGTTTTGTGTACATTCAAATGTAAGATAAAACACATGCAAAGGGACTTGACAGGAAGTCAAAGTTGAAGAAAAGATTTTGGAAGATAAAAGTGGAAAAATATTTACTTTCATTATTATCATTTTGTGTGGGGTATGGGTGTGTAGGTGTCTGCGCATATGTGTATTGTTGGATGCAATATTTGGGAGGAAATAAGACGGTAAATAACAAATAACAAACTAAATATTGATGTATGTAATTTTTATTTCTTAATTATATTTAATGGTGGTATGGCTGTATTGTTTTTTGTAACATAAAATCATTCAATAAAAATTATTTTTTTTAAAAAAATTCTCCCATAGAGCTTATACCCTGCTGAAATCCCCTCGGTGCAGAAAGCTGTTCAAGGCGCAGGAACCCGGAAACAGAAATGAGAGAGCAATCTGAATCCAAGCAGGGGTTGGGGTGTCGCAGGTCTGGGGCAGAATCCTTACACCCTGGGGGAAAAGCAGCATTGCTTTCTGTACAGCGTGACTCTGTGCAAGCTTCTCAAACACGGCTTTCTCCTGGGACACTGCAGAGCCACCCTTTCCCTTGATTTATTCCTGCTGGGCGGAACCGCTTTGAGTCTCGGTTCCCACGGACTGCTCCTTAGCACTGTCTCTGTACTTCAGGGAGGGGTGGGGTGGGCAAAAATGTTATCGTAAAAAGGGGGAAAGGGAAGAGGCCTCCCTCCGATCGATTGATGGATTGACTGATTGATTGATTGGTTGAGTGAGTTCACTTACATGCTGGGTAGCTCAGTCTGGAGAGCAGGAGACCCTTAATCTCAGGGTTGTGAGTTCAAGCCCCACATTGGGTGAAAAGATTCCTGCGTTGCAGAGGGTTGGGCTAGATGACCCCTGGGGTCCCTTCCAACCCTACAATTCTATGCCATTTTCCCACAATGAGCTGTGCTCAAAACAGCTTATAGCAAACATCCAAAACACAGAAACACAGAGCATGAGAAGTACAAGTATACAAAATGCAGAGCATGTCGGAAGATTAAGAAATGACAAACATAGCATAGCATTCTCCTTTGAAGCAAATTGTGCCTTCTAGATTTGTTTCAGATTGATAGCCTGTATTTTTAGAAAGGGAATGTAAATATTTAAGTTGAAAGATACATTAGCAGGAGATGCCTGAGCTGCTCTTGCTCACCTGGGCGCCCTGAGAGGCAGGAGCAGGAGGGGAGTGGGTCACTCTAGGAAAGAAGGAAGCCCCACATGCTCTTCCTCTCCTCTCCCCCTCGCAGCATTCCAGGGGCTGACGCAGAGCCCATGGCAGACCATGTCGACCACTAACAACATCGCCCAGGCACGGAAGCTGGTGGAGCAGCTGCGGATCGAGGCCGGGATCGAGAGGATAAAGGTGCGCCAGGAAAGAGGAGGGCCACCCCCCCACAAGCACACCCCACAGGGCCCTCAAAGCTCTCCCGGGGGCAGGGGCAAAGAGCCCCCCCCCCCGCATGTTCTCTGGCCAATCACTCTGGCCATGGGGGGCTGAGTGTATCTGCCCACCCCTCTTGTCCGGGGTCTCGGGGAGCCTCTCTTGGGGTCTGGCTCCCAGAAGAGACCTTGGGACAGAAATAAAACTGTGGCTCCCAAGCCCCATTGCTGCACCTTCCAAGGTCTCCAAAGGAAGACGAGGAGGACAGGAAGAGGGGGGGCGGGGGGCATGGAGGGACCCCTGCTAAGCGTGGAGCTGAAACACAGCTCCCGTCTTGTCCTTCAGTGTTTCCATCCTTGTCTCATGGTTCTCCTGAGATTAGTCCAGACGCGGTTCCTGCCTTAAATAAATGGGGGGCATGGGCGTGGCCAGGATTTATGTTCCAGGGGCACGGGACACCCCATCCCCATCCCCATCCTGTGCTCCATCTAGCAGATTCGGAACGAAATGTCTCAACAGCAGTTGCTTCAAATTACTTCCTTTTTACCACAAGTGCTCAGAAAAAACTGTCAAAATATTTCCACAATATCGACTTTTAGTTAAGTATTTTTCTTTATTTCCTTGTCTGGGCGGGCACCTGCCCCCCCCCCCCCCAGCTATGCCCATGATGGTGAGGTGCTTCGTATTTCGGTAATCTGAAGCAGCCTTCCCCCCCACCCCATCGCCAGCCCCTTTCCTACTAGCCGGGGGGCAGCAACGCTTTTCCGTGGCCGGCAGGCAGGCAGTCTCTCTTGTGCTAGAGTCCCACTTGCGGACTTCCCCTGGCACATCTGCACAGGCTGAGAGGGGGACCTGATCCTGCTGCTGCTGCTCTCATTCCTCTCTCTCCTTCTTCCCCACTCAGGTCTCCAAAGCCTCCTCGGAGCTCATGAATTACTGCGAGCAGCAGGCCAGGAACGACCCTCTGCTGGTGGGCGTCCCAGCCTCTGAGAACCCCTTCAAGGATAAGAAGCCCTGCACCATCCTATAGCCTGCTCCTGCCTGGCCTGTCTCTCGGCGGCATTGGACACCCGAGGCGTGCCAGGGGCAGAGAGGGGCTCATCAGGGTGCAGGCTGCCCCAAGCCCAGGTCCGATTCTGATCCCGGGAACAAAGTTGGCCAGGTGGAGGAGCACAGGGGGTGCTTGGGGGAGGCGGGCATGCCCTTTTGGAAACCACCCTGATGTCCGTCCGGTGGGCCGGGGTCAGCCTGGACGCCAAAGTTCCCCACTTTGGCCCTTGGCAGGTGAGACCAGAGGTGTGGCTCTGTGGGAGATGGGCTCTCTGCACGTGCGTCTGCGCACTGTGCCCCTTGCAAATGACCCACCCTGGAGTCCTTGGTTCAAAAGCCTCACAGGAGCAGTGGGGAGAAGGCAGGAACCATGACCTGGCCCCCGCCATTCCCCAAGGTGGCTCCTGCCTTGGAAGTGCCACGGACCCCTGCAGAATCCCTGACAGGGCTGGGTGGGGGGCCAGGGGGCGCCTTCCTGTCCCCACGGAGGAGAGTCTCCCTTCCTTGGGGAGCAGACCCCCTCCTGTGCACCCCTCCTAACCTGAGCCCCTCGCCCTGCTAGGGCTGCGTCTCCCTGCATGAGTCCCCCATAAACAACTCCCTCCTTCATGAGAGAGCGAAAGGCTCCTTCCTCGATGTGGGGGGAGCAGAAAGTGGGCATCTTCCTGCCCCCCACCTTGCAAGGGAGAAAGGAGGTTCTCTCCTTGGGGGAAGAGCAGAGGGGACTCTGCGGACGATAGCCCTGCAGGAAGAGGCCGAAGGTGGCCTGTCTCATGGGGATGGGGGGCAGGCCATGGGACCCCACAGCCCAGGCAACTGTTCCTGAAGGAAAGGAGGGAGGGGAGAGAGAGATTGGAAAGGCCCCGTCCCAAAGCCCCTCGCCCCTCGCTCTGCCCTGGCATCCAGGCCCCAGAGGCATCCCTACAGCTGTGTCAGGCCAAAGGGGTTTGCTCTCGGATGCCCCCAAGGGAAGGAGGCCTCATTTGGCAGTCGGTCCCTGCTGTTCTTGGAAAAGAAAAATGGAGGGGCCACAGTGGAAGGGAGGGGGCAGAAGGAGCTCTGCTTTGCTCCTTTCCCTCCTGGGGATTTTGGAGGAGTGGGGTTGACACCCCTCCCCATGGCCGTGGCGTTGGTGTGTCCTCTGCAGAGAGTCTCCCGCGGAAGGAGGTTCGGCGGAAAGGGACACCCCCCTAAAGCCCCCCCAACCCTGTGGCGTCTGCGTTCTCCACCTTGTCACACATTGAGCTAGATTGGGGGGGGGATCCAAAGGGGTGCCCCTGCTGCTCTGTCCCATTCCTTCCTTCCCTTCCTCGCCAGGGGGGTGGCCTTGCTGTGACTCAAGCAGCCCCCCACCCCCAGATCTTTTCAGCCTTCCCTGGGCATTTCTTCCTCCTCCTGCTGGGCTGCTGACCCCTGAGAGTTGAACCCAGCCATTTCCCCTTTGCTTTCTACCCCAACGCTCTCAAGCCCGGACCCTCTCTGGACCTTTTTTGGGGGGGCGGTCCCCAGAGCAAGACATAAGAAAAATATCTGAGTCCAGTTTTAACTTTGATTTGGACAGAAGTTATTGTAAGGCTCCTGATATGAGTCTCTATAAGACTTCCTGGCCTCTTTTCTTAGAAAATGCCCCCCCCCCCCTGTTTCATTCTGTCTCTTTCAGGGGTTTTTTTCTTCTCCTTCTTACTTCTGTGCCAGGGAAATTTACTCCCGCATAAGCTTCCTTTAAAGGAAACTGCAAAGGGGGGGGGGGCATAGATTAGGCTTACTATTCCTCTGCAAGTTTAGGAAAAATTGTTCACTTTTGTAATCCTTTTAAATCAAATCTACGGCTGTTTTAACTTTTAAATCAAATCTATGGCTGTTTTAACTATGCTTTATAAGAGATCCTCTCCCTATCTTAGGAAAAATGTTCACTTCAATCTCCCTTTAAAGATCATTTCTCTAGGAACCTGCAGTCTTTAGTCTAAGGAAGTAAACTCTCACTCAAACTAGCTTCAAGATCTGCTAAAAGGGTTCTGTATAAAGTTGGGTACTTTTATTTTCCTCTTCCTTAGTACATGATACATGATAGGAGCATGGCTTGTGGTCTCTTCCCCAGTTGTGTCTGTGTACATAAGTATGTGTGTGTCTCTCTGGTAGTACAAATCTTGCTATGAACCCTGTATTTTAGGGTTGGACTAGATGACCCCAGGGTCCCTTTCAACGCTCCCGATTTGTGGCTGTGTGGAGGGCCATGTGTCTGCAAGCATGTGATGAGTTGAAATTCAGCCCAGCTTTGCTCTATGTTTTTAAAAGGTGAGAGTGAAAACCGTGATGTTTTTGAAGCAGAGCTGGCAATATCAAGCATTTGAGTGATTACAGTGTTTATCATTTTGTCTATTATTTACTTAAAAGTCTGTTCAAAGTCAACTACAAATACAATATGTGCAGTGTGCATAGGAATTCATTAACCCCCCCCAATAGTCCGGCCCACCACAAGGTCTAGGGACAGTGGACCGGCCCACGGCTCAAAAAGGTTGCAACTCCATCCCACTCCTACTTGCCTGTAAGCAGGAGCAGGCTGGGGTGGTCGTGGCGGTGCGTTGAACTGTATCCCCCCGGTGGTGATTTTCTTGTGTCAAAATGAGAGTACCCCTAAACATTTTTTAGAAAAAAGCACTGCGTTATACCATAAAATTATATATCAATGGCAAGATAATTTTAATGAAGAATGTAAGGCAATAACTTTTATGAAGGATTATTTATCACAACAGAAGTCATACAGAAGAAGCGTGAAACACACAGAAAAACTGATATACAGGTTAGACTGCCAGGTTGGCACTTTGCGAGAAATAAGTGGGTTTTGGGTTGCAGTTTGGGCCCTCGGTCTCTGGCTAACCCTTCTACAACTGATCCGATTTCCCCTGTAAAAATACCAAACCATTTTATATGTAGCGGGAACTACACAGAATCATAGAATTGGAAGGGTCAACTAGTCCAACCCCCCTGCAATGCAGGAATCTCCACAAAAGCATCCATGAAATAGGGCCTCTCAGGGGAGCCTGTGAGCCTGGAGTGAATCCTCTTCCTTTCTTAAAATATTGTGTAGTTTTGTTTTGTTTTTATTTCCAAAGGAAAAAGCTATTTGTTTTTGCAGGCACTTTCTGGGACTTGAATCTGTATTCATAAACAGTTATTTTGCAGCAAAAGGAGGATCTTACGCTCTGTTACTTTTTCATCTCTGAATGTAGTCTAGGAGGAGGTGCAAGCCCTGAATGTGTGCTGCAACAGCAAGAAGGATGCTGGAGGAGGAAGCAGGAAGGGTGCGGGGTGAGTTCGGATTCTGAGAGGTGCCCAGCAGGGCTCGTAGGGCAATTGTAGTGGCTTGGAAGGTCAGGAGGTAAAGACAAATACAGTCAAGTGGTGATACAATTGAATGAGTGGTTTATCCAGTCATTAAAAAAACAACAACATTCTCTTAGGTTGCTTTTGGTTTAGTATTTAACTTGCAAGTTATCTGTTTGCATGCGTATCCCGCTGAACAGGAGTACCCCTCCTGAGGGCCAGGGACCCCACAGCAGCCCTCCCTCGCCTCTGCAAGTCTGGTTTTATTTTTCTTCATTCAGCTGCCGGACAACCCAGCAGCCTGGCCCGTTTGCCAGCTGATGTCACAAAGTGCTGCTTTGCAAGCAAGCCTTATAATGCCCTGCAAGGGGGATGCCTGTCAGAGGACAGTGAGACTTGGTAGAGAAAGATGGATTCTCCAGGTAGGAGGCCTAGAGGAGATGAGTGGCAATATTATTATTGTGAGGTGATGCTATTACAATTCCAAAGGGAGGGAGGGGGAAGAGAGAGAGTGGAATTCTGGTGGAGACGGAAGCTGGAAGGAGGCTTGGAAAGGGAGTTTGAAGGGGGGGCAGGTGAGAGTCGGTTGAGAGCGGTGGGTTCTAGAAGGGGGGCCGAGGGGGGCTGAAGCTGAGCTGGACTCAGCCGCAAGCTCAGCAGCACCGCCGCCATCGCTCTGAGCATGTGGCCGTTCAGTGCTGAGAGAAGGGGGTCTCTCCCAACTTGGCGGCAAGAGGATTCCATTAATTCAGGTGAGCCATGGAGCCAGGGCTTGGCTTTGGAGTATTCAGGAAAGGCGCCTAGCAGGCTTCAGCTTGCATGGGGCAGGAGCCTGGTGAAATTACTTCCAAATTATTTCTTTGTGCCATCGCTGCGCGTGATACCTGATCAAAAGGTCCCTGCCCCAAGGGGCTTACAATCTTTAATAGGGCACATGGAGGGAACAGGGAAAGGTTGAGGTCCAGGCTGGATCCTGAGTCTAGGTCTCTGAGTTTAGACTTTGGAATTCCCGGACATTTCCCACCTGTAACCTCTTCCTCTGTTTTTTATTTTCCTTTCTGTCTCCTAGGACAAAAAAGGCTCCTGAGACGCCAAAACATGAAGGAGGCTGGTGTGCCACTGAATCAACCATTGGAGTTTGTGGTAATTCCATGGGGAATCCATTCCCCACATGTGCAGGGAGGTCATGGCGCTGACCTGAGTGAAACAGGGCTGGGTTGGGGGTTGCAATCCCATCTCACCCCAGCCCCTTGCTCCCCTCCGTCCAAGCCAGGGGTCAGGTGCCCAGGCAGGAGCAGGCTGGCAGCCTGTGGTGACGTGGGCATGGGCAGCCTGGCATGGGTGCTTGTTCTGCCCCCCTAGAGAGTACAATGTCCTTCTTCCTTTGCAGGGCCGTGGTTTGGGGAACCAGCAGCAGCCCAGCGGTGCAGGGAAACCCAGCAAAATCCGGAGGTATGTTGTGACCTTGTGTGGCAGGGGAAGTGTTTCCCAGTGATCTTGGGGGTGGAGGAGGAAGGCCTGATTTAGAGATCCCTATAGTTTTATGGAGAGGGTTTCTCTGTGGTCCAGGCAGGGCCCTAGCTAGGGGGTGATGAGGTGGGCCCCCGCCAGGGGCGCAGGTGAGGGGTGGGGCACAAAATTGCCTCAAAAAGATGTCCAGAAATATGTCTAAGTATATAGATGATAATAATAAATATTATCATCTATATATTTATCTGGAACTCCTCCAAGCAATCAGTCAAGAGGTGATACAATTGAATGAGTGGTTTATCCTGTCATTAAAAAAAAGAAGATATTTTTCTTAGGTTGCTTTTGGTTCAGTATTTATCTTGTAAGCTATCTGTTTGCATGCGTTTCCAGGTGAACAAGGAGGAGTACCTCTCCTGCGGGCCGGCAACCCCACAGCAGCCCTCCCTCGCCTATCATGGCATGGAAGTGCAAAAAAAAGAAGAAACATCTTTGAAGGTCAGATGAGCAGGACCAGCACTCTCTGCCCAGCCCAGAAAGGAGGCGGGAGCCATCAACGTTTGTTCTGACAGCCTGGAGGCTGCTGGAGATGCGAAGCAGGTAGGGTGCGGGGTGGGTTCAGATTCTGAGAGGTGCCCAGCAGGGCTCGTAGCACAATGGTAGTGGCCTTTCTGCTCTAGAACCAGGCCTTTGGCTAATTAAACAATGTATGGCCTTTTAAACATGCTTGTGGATTGGGAGGTTGGCTTACGAGTTCGTTTTTGTTTTTAATGTGTATGCTGTTTTTTTATTTTGTCTTTTTATGCTGCAAGCCTCCCTGAGAGCTTCAGATGAAGGACGGCATACAGATTAAATTAATCGATTGACTGATTAATGATCATGGCAGTTTCCCAGAATCTGGAGGTGAATTGTCAGGCTAGAAATGGAAAGCGGGAAAAGGAGTCCCAAGACCCCCTCGTGCCTTGGCCTGCGTTCCCTCTTCGCCTGTGTCCAAAAGGCCTTGAAAAAAGTGCGCCGCCTGCGCCACCACTGGAACCCGGAACCAGCACCAGCAGGGCGCAAGCAGAGAGGAGGCTGCTCTGCACGCGGCTGAGGCGGTGGATTCGCCAACACAGCAGCTGCATGCACCCAGCGGCACTTTGAGGATGAGGAAACACCACTGCTTCCCCGGCCACTACCCCACCAGCAGCCACCGGGTTTTCCAAAAAGCACCGCCACCCGTGCAACCAAGCACCAGCACCAGCAGAGGGGCGCAAGCAGAACCGAGGCCACTGGGCAGGCGGAGACAGGGGAATTGAGGGGGGGTCGGGCAGGGCTCTGCTGGTCGCCCAGGGGCATGTCCTTGCCGCCGCCACACAAGTAAGTCTCGTGGGGCTCTGATGGGGTACCAGGAGTCTCCTTGACGGGGGTGCGGCTCCGAGCAGATGACCCCCGCTGGGGATTCTTTTCCCACCTTCCTTCGCTGATCTGACCTGTGAGAAAAGAAAACAATTCACCATCAGTGCTGGGAAGAGGGGAGAGACTTCCCAGAATCCCCTGCAACCTGGCCTGACCCTGCAAGGCTGTCCTTCGTCTTCCCTCCTCCTCTGTCCGCCACACACCTCCTTGAGGCATCCAGAGTCCCCCAAGGTGTCGCTCTTGTAGGTTTCATGGTCTAAGCTCAGGGACGGTCCGAGTCAGCGTCTCTCTGGGAGTCAAGGGGTTTCTTCCCATTTGGGCTCCTCCTGCACACATCCTTGGAGTTGCCGATATCCATTGAAACTTCAATAACAAAACATAAAAGCCACCAAATTAAAATTATTCTAAAAACAGGTAACAAATCCTAAAAGCAATCAGCGGCTCTCCAAACAACTTCAGAATTGCCAGGGACAGGGCTTTCAACTCCCAAATACCTTGTTTAAACAGGGATACCTTTAAATTTCTCATAGAAGCTAATAGCGAGGGAGACGGATGCACCTCACGAGTGAGGGCATCTCACAAACGGGAAGCCACTGCCTTGTCTTGGGTTACCACCAACCGGGCACCCTGGCAGCCTTGTGTTAATCTTGTAGATGCAGGGTTGCGTGGGCAGAGGACTTCTGCCCACAAATGGGGCATCTTTTACCCCGGCCAGGCTAAACATGTCCACTCCCTTCCAACCTTTCTTCATCGGACTGTTCCCCACCCGTTCCAGTTTGTCCCTACCCTCCTTTAAAGTGTGGGATCCTCAACTGGGCACATTCCCACTGATGTTCAGGGAAATCACACCTGGCCTAACAGGCCTCTCATTCCAGGCACCGTTTTGGAAGGAAGCAGCACTTTCTCTGTTTTTTAAAAGGTGTTTTTTTACCAACATGGTAAGTTCTAGACAAAAACGAATGTGTGACTGATCGTGCATCACATCCTCTTTCTGGAGATCCCTGGGTGGTGTTGATGCTGCTGCTTATATCTTCTTTTTTGATATAAAGAGGAAAGGGGAGGTTGGAACATAAACCATCTGGTTCTGAAACAGGTCTCCCAGCTCCTCCTGGAAGCGGGACATAACTGAATCACATTGGCTGTGGGGGAATGCGACCGTCCCAGCTGGATTACGCCAGTGGCACTGGTGGCAGCGCTTTCCTAAAGATCTCCCAGACCCAGGAGACAAGGGAACGGAGGCCAAGGCATGTGGGGCTCTGATGGGGTGCCAGGAGTCTCCTGGATTGAGGTGTGGCCCCCTCAAATTCATACTCTACAGGTGTTCTATGAATCCTGCTAACGTTTTCAGAGAGAGAGATGGCTGAGTGACTGGACCTTTCGTTAGGTCTGCTAGGGTCACATGCAGAGGGAGGATGCTCCACACAGGTGTAACAGGAAGTTCAATTGGCTGGATCAATATCCTCCTGTCTGTGTCCACTCTAGGCAAACAAGGAATGTTGTATTTGACTGCCAAAAGGATTACATCCCACATATTTTACCCTATGCAGTCTTTAAACCTCTTTTCTTAGGTTCTTAAAAAATAGCAGTTGTTGCTCACTGAACGAAACCTGTTGGCAATCTGTGCGTCTCCATGAATTGACAAACTCCCATCACCTTTGAGCATTGTATATGCCAGGGTTTCCCAGGCTTGGGTCTCCAGCAGTTTGGGGACTACAATTCCCCTCATCCTTGACCACTGGTCCTGGTAGCTAGGGATGATGGGAGTTGTAGTCCAACAACAGCTGGAAACCCAAGTCTGGGAAACTGGTATATGTTGTTGAGAGCTGGTGGGAGCTGGAGCCCAAGCACATCTGGAGGGGAACAGATGGTCCACATCCCTGCACTAGAAGAATCCAGCAAGTGTTGCTTTTCATTCAGAGGCCACTTGAAGCCAGAGCAGAGTCGTGCAGGGAGGCAACAGATATTCTTCTCTGTTTGCTGATATCTTGGGATCCCAGGAATTTGTTTTTCATTGGAATTATTGGTCCAAGTCATTAAGCCTGCAGAGTATTCTCCCTCATACCTGTCAGGAGCCAGCTGGCAATAAATCCCACCATGCAAGTCTGAGTGAACCCTTTATTACCATGAACACAATCAGCACAGACTTGGCGGAGTGTGAGGCCTAAGGAGCACAGCAGCTTATTCCATAGGTCAGTTGCCGAGACTGAGGGTCCTGCCTCCTCTACAAGGGTTTGAGACCCATCGGCTCCCCTCACCTGCTTTAGCCGGACAGTCGAAGCCGGTCCCAGGATTGTGGCCACTGTCGCCTGCTGAATGCTTCCAGGAGCCACAGATAAGAGCAGAGTGCAGGGTGGGGACCAAAGGTGGACACACGACCCCAGAAGGAGCACGACATGTCTCCCCCCCCCTGAGACTGTCGCTCCCCTAAAAAGCCACAGGTGACTGGCACCTACAGACATGACTAGAGCAACACCAAGTATATTCCATCATCTCCCCTCAAAAAGGAAAAAGCCCTCCCTGCCTGCCTCCTCCCAGTACATTTGTCCCTTGGCACCGGGATATTTCCAGGGGAATTGAAGGAGGCAGTGGTGCGCCTGCTCTTAAAGAAAACATCATTAGATCCCTTAGATCTATCCAATTACCGCCCGGTTTCGAATCTTCCATTCCTGGGTAAGGTGACTGAGAGAGCGGTTGCTGAACAGCTTGGTAGGTTTCTGGATGAAACATCGGCTCTGGATCCATTCCAGTCCGGCTTCCGCGCTGGTCATGGGACCGAGACGGCTCTGGTCGCCCTAACAGATGATCTCCGCAGGCAGCTGGATCGAGGCGGGTCGGGGCTGCTGATTCTTCTAGACCTGTCAGCAGCCTTCAACATGGTCGATCACGAACTCCTGGACCACCGCCTTGCCGACATGGGGATCTAGGGCACAGTCCTTCAATGGCTGCGCTCGTTTCTCTCTGGTCGGAGACAGAGGGTGGCGCTTGGGGGGGAATTGTCATCGCGCCACTCCTTGGTGTGTGGAGTGCCTCAGGGTGCGATACTCTCCCCGATGCTTTTTAACATCTTTATGCGCCCTCGCCCAGCTTGTCCGGAGTTTTGGGCTGGGTTGCCATCAGTATGCCGATGACACCCAACTCTATCTGTTGATGGATGGCCATCCTGACTCGGCCCCAGACACACTGACCAGATGTTTGGAAGCTGTGGCTGGATGGTTACGTGGAAGCCGGTTGAAGTTAAATCCTTTGAAGACAGAGGTCCTCTGGCTGGGACGGGACGATATGGGATTGGGGGGGCAACTCCCATCTCTTGCCAGCACCGTCCGTTAAGAGTTTGGGTGTAATCTTCGATACCTCCCTGTCTATGGAGGCGCAGATTACAGCTATAACAAAGGCGGCATTTTTCCATCTCCGCCAAGCTAAGCAGTTGGCCCCTTATCTCTCTAGCCCTGACCTAGCCACTGTGATCCACGCGATGGTCACCTCCAGACTGGATTATTGTAACTCGCTCTACGTGGGGCTGCCCTTGAGACTGACCCAGAAACTCCAGCGGGTGCAGAATGCCGCGGCGAGACTCCTTACGGGGTCTTCGCTGCGAGATCACATTCATCCGGTGCTATACCAGCTGCACTGGCTCCCGGTGGAGTACAGGATCAGGTTTAAGGTGCTGGTTTTAACCTTTAAAGCCCTATACGGCCTAGGACCCTCGTACCTACGGGACCGCCTCTCCTGGTATGCCCCACAGAGGAACCTACGGTCTGCAAATAAAAACATCCTGAAGGTCCCAGGCCTCAGAGAGGTTAGGCTGGCCTCAACTAGAGCCAGGGCTTTTTTGGCTGTGGCCCCGATCTGGTGGAACGCTCTGTCACAAGAGACTAGGGCCCTGCGGGACCTGACATCTTTCCGCAAGGCCTGCAAGACAGAGTTGTTCCACCAGGCCTTTGGCCAGGGCACAGCCTGACTCCCTCCTCTGGCAACCTGCACAGAACTTTGCTTAACGGTTGCCATTAATTTGATTTTAATTAATTTTTATAATGAAATGTTTTAGAATGTTGGATTATTTGATTGTTGTTAGCCGCCCTGAGCCTGACTTTGGCTGGGGAGGGCGGGATATAAATTAAATTTATTATTATTATTATTATTATTATTATTACAGTCATTTGGGATGAATATTTTCGGGTTGCTCTCCGCGGTGACCCAGAAGTAACGGAGCACGTCAATTGCACATGCGCAGACGCTCAAAATGAAGCGCCGAATCCCGACACACGCAGACGCACAGACCCGGGTTGCGTTGGCTTCTGGATGCGAACGGGGCTCCGGAACGGTCCCCCTCTACAAGGTTTCATCAGTTTAATCCAAATAAATCATGCACCACCCTTGAGCAATGCCATCCGGGCAATTCTAAAACACGGCTTCCAAAATCAATTTGAGAAAGTAAAAATATTTAACATACGAAAGCAATACCTGCGACAGCCAGAAAAAGCCTAGGGCTGGGAAGCTCTTCTTTTCGGGGGTTGCCAACTTACCAGCCTCTTCCTCGCACTCCGCCTGGCACATGCGCACCAGGCCCTAGGGCTGGGAAGCTCTTCTTTTCGGGGGTTGCCAACTTACCAGCCTCTTCCTCGCACTCCGCCTGGCGCATGCGCACCAGGCCCTAGGGCTGGGAAGCTCTTCTTTTCGGGGGTTGCCAACTTACCAGCCTCTTCCTCGCACTCCGCCTGGCGCATGCGCACAAGGTCCTAGGGCTGAGAAGCTCTTCTTTTCGGGGGTTGCCAACTTACCAGCCTCTTCCTGGCACTCCGCCTGGCGCATGCGCACAAGGCCCTAGGGCTGGGAAGCTCTTCTTTTCGGGGGTTGCCAACTTACCAGCCTCTTCCTCGCACTCCACCTGGCGCATGCGCACCAGGCCCTAGGGCTGGGAAGCTCTTCTTTTCGGGGGTTGCCAACTTACCAGCCTCTTCCTCGCACCAGGCCCAGTTTCCTCTCCCGGCTTCTCTGCGCACGCGCCCAGCCTTCCGGCGTCGCCAAGGCCGGGGGCGCGAAGCAGATGGAAGGAGGCCTCCCGCCTGGGTCGAGGGGGACGAGCGGCCTCTGCGGCGGATTAGAGGCGAAGGAGGCCATTCCGGACGGGAGGCTGAGCGAGCTCGGGTTGCCTCACGGCCAGCGCAGGCGCAGTACACTAGCCGTTAAGCTCGCCGTGAAGGGGCGGGCCGGTCGCGCTCTGCGCACGCGCTGCCTGGGCTTTCGCGGACGGCAGCCGCCTGGAGACAAACTTGCGGCGCGCCAGCCGCGCGAACGACCCTCGCTGCCGATGCGGAGTCTTTGACGGGACGGCGAGCGCCGAGGGACACACCAGGTGAAGTGATGCAATAATAGAAGCCTGCGGGGGGGGGGGGGGAAGGTTGCGCTCTGCCCATGCTCAGAGTCCCGGTGTCCCCCACCCACCCCAGTCCGGGGCGGAAGCCGTTGGTGGTGGGGGTCAGGAGGAGGGTGGGCTCGCCGGCACTCTGTGGATGCTCAGAGGCACAGCTGCCTCTCCGGCTGCGTCTTCGGGGCTGGAGGAGGAGGGGTCGTGAGGACTCGAGACTGCTTTTCATGCTGCGTTCGGATATTCAGGTTGTGCTTCGGGGGTCGTAACCAAATAACGAGAATAATGACAATAGATCATAATATTTGAGCCCTTGGAGGCATCTCAGCTCCAGGGGTTTGGGGAAGCAGCTGCTTATCTCACCACCTTTGAGCCCAGCTTTCAGTCCAGCTTCTAAGACTGTGTGCCTGCTGCCAGTCACGGTAGACTGACGTTTATAATAAACTAAAAAGAATAATAAACTAAAAGGAGGCATTCTGATCAAGCCTTCTGTATGTTTTTCACCCCCTCTACTCCCCTGCACCAGTGCTGAGCCCTGACCTTGACTTTTAAAAAATAATTTATTTAATCATTTTCGTATTTTTTATACTGCTGTTCATTGCAAATCTTCCAGAGACCAACAAATCTTTAAAAATAAAATTAATGCAAAATAATCCAAATATCATAAAACAATGAACAAAAGGCAACATGGCCTAGCAGGCTACATTTTAAAATGCCATTCAAAAGCTATGGGAGCACATACAGTATGATAAAACCTTCTATTAGCAGCAAGGGGGAAACAGATCAGCTTTTCAAAAGGTCTGAAAAACCTCAGGCTGCAGATCTTCTGAAAAGGAAATTCATAGGGGATATTCAGGCAGGATGCAGCATTTGGAAAGGGAGCATTTTATTTTTCAGATCTGTGGTGCTGATTATCCTTCCCACCTTCTGCATGAAAGAATGTCTTGTTCATGCACAATCAGAAACTGATTACTCAGCAGAAAAGACCCCCCTGCGTCCCATTGGACACTCTTCCAAGCAGTGGTAGACACTCAGACATATGAGCTAACCACCAAATCGCACCTTAAACCGAGGTTACAGTCACCAGAAAGACCAGGTTTGAAATGTGCCCTTGGCCACGAAGCTCACAGAATTACCTTGGGCCAGTCTTTCTCTCAGCCTAACCTACCTGGTAGGGCTGATGTGATGATAAAAAAGGAAGGGGCAGGGAGACGTTTGTATGTCACAGTGAGCTCTTTGGGTTAAAAATTGGGATATAAATCTATTTTTAAAATAAACAGAATGTCTAGTTGCCATTTTGGGGCAAGACGGCTCTAAAGTCTTACTTTATGCATTGACTGTGATTGATTTTCAGTTAAACATCTGGCTAGTTCAGAGGACAACCTTGAGCGAGGTTAAGAGCTTTGAAAACTTAAAGAAGAAAAGTCCCCTGATCCAGGGACAGTCCACACATCTATTGGCCTGTTCCGACCTCTTTAAACTCTTTAGCGACTGCAGCCTTGGTTTAAGGACCCATTTGGCACCTAGCTCATATATCTGAGTTTCTAGCACTGACAGGGGCATAAGTGACCACCTTGTTCTGCAAGAGACCATTGGTCAGTCTAGCTCAGTATTGTATACGCTGACCAGCGGTGGCTCTCCAGAGTTTCAGCCAATATCTCTCACGGCCCACGGAGTGGTCATCGGGGACTGAAGCTGAGCTTGTCTGCAGGCAAATTAGGTGCTCTAACCGCTCAGCTACTCTCCTTCTCTTTCTTTGGGGATCCTATACAGTATCTTTCTTTTAAAAAAAGAACACACACCACCATATGTAAACCGTTCTCTTGTGGACTCTCCTTCCTTGGAGGTTTGGAAGCAGGGGTTGGGCAGCCGGCCGTCTGTCATGGATGCTTGAGGAGAGATTCCTGCATTGCAGGGGGTTGGACTAGATGTCCCTCGGTGTACCTTCCAACTGTAAAACTCTTGTCCCGCAGGTCGTAATGGCGGCCAAGCGGATCACCCAGGAGACGTTTGACGATGTTGTGCAGGAGAACATCAGCGACCTCGGCATGGATCCGGAAGAGGCTGTGATCGAAGCCGTCCAGCAGTTTGAGTCTCAAGGTGTGGTTTTTGCAAAGAGATGTTTTTAACTGGCTGGGTAGACCTGAGATGGCACAGCCTTCTTCTATTCTATGAATCCCTACTGAGGACCCCTACTCATTGCCCCCACTGCTCCGTGTCTTTTCTCCAGGTGTTGACTTAAGCAACATAGTGAAGACAGCCCCCAATTCCGCCTCTGTGGATGGGCAAGAGCCACAGCATGCTGTTTTGCAGGTGAGAAGGGTGCCTGGGGCCGCCCAAGAAAGGATGAAAGCCCCAGGGGTTCCTTTGGGAAGGGGCCGTGGCCCAGTGGCACCACAAGGACCTCAGGCTGAATCCCGGGCATCCTGAAGTTGGGCTGGGAATGTTCCCTCTACAGTGGTACCTCTAGTGGCGGACGTAATCCATTTCGGGGTGCCGTTTGCACCCCAAAAAGTCCGCAACTAGAGCGCCTCTTCTGCGCATGCACGGGTGGCGAACCCGGAAATAAACACTTCTGGGTTTGCCACATTCGTAAGCTGAAAGTCCGTAACAAGAGCGGAACGCAACACGAGGTATGACTGTATTCCTGTTTAAACCATGAGCACTAGAATCTTGGTTTATTTCTTAGGAAAGGAGCACAGCTCAGTGGGTGGGCAGCACCTGTTCTGGAATACTGAGCTCAATGGTCCGACTCAGTGTTAAGCAGATCCCTAGGGCCCTAAGCATCAGAAGGTCAAATATATAAGCTGGGCGTCAAACGGCTCCTTAAACCGGGGTTAGGTCGGCAGAGTGGAATGCCTACTTGCCATTTGGAGGCCAGACAGCTCGAAGGTCATATTTTTTAATAGGGCTTTTGGGTTCCTGAAATTCATTCTGATTGTGCCGATAAAATGGAGTTCTACAAGAAGGGGTATGTGTGTGTGAAAACAGCCCAAACCCAAGGACCCCCAGGCAGGCACCTCCAGGTGGTGGAGACGCCAGGCGCCTTCCTGGCACCCAGCCATCTTCACCTAGCCAGGTGCAAAATGGTATCGCAATGTTAAACACCAGCCCCGTCCTTATATCAGCCATTGTGATCTCCTGGTGTGTCGCAATGCGTAGCTGGCGATTTCCCGCGATGTTGAAAACCAGCTATTGCCCAGCCCTACTCGCTCCTTTCCTTCCGCAGACTCTGGACTCCTTGCAGAAGGCAGTTGCTGATGCCGACTCGGGCGCGGTGGACGAGCTGCTGGTGAGCTTTGCGGAGCAGTGCCGGCAGGAGATGGCCGTCCGCTACTTGGCGGGGCAGAAGGGCGCTTATCCTGCCGTGCTGGCCGCCTGCCGCCTGGCTTGTGAGGAAGGCTGCTCCCTCCTCAAAGCCCTCCGCGCCCTCTCCGCCCTCCTGGACGGCCAGCCCGACTTCCTCGATGCCCCCGGGCAGGAGCTGCTTCTGCGGGTCTTGCGGGAGCGGCAGGATGATGGCGACCTGACCCTGGCCACCATCCGCTGCGTCCGGCAGGCGTCCCTCAAGCACGAGCAGAACCGGCAGGACCTGGTGAAAGGCGGCGTCCTCTCCCTGCTGGTCGGGGCCGTTGTCCGCCATGGGGACCGGGCCGATGTGGTCCGGGAGGCCTGCGCGGGGCTGCGGTTCATGACCTTCGACGACGATATCCGGGTGCCCTTTGGCCACGCCCACGAGCACGCCAAGATGATCGTGACGGAGCACGGCGGACTGAGGGTCCTCATCGAAGCCGCCAAAGGTAGAGGCATTGCCCCTTCCTCCCCACCCATGGAATGCAAGGAGAGCCCTTCTGGGTCAGGCCAGAGGGAGGGGGGGAATTCGATTCTAGCGTTACCGGAGGCAAGACCTCCCTCTCTGTCTTTCCAACGCCAATCAAAGACAACCAAGAAGTGGTTTGGGGTGTTGTCGGTTTTTTGCCAAATCCTTTTTATTGATTTTCCAAATTCAATGCAATTTCCCCCAAAATAGGTTTCCCACACTCCACGCAAGGTTTCCTCTTGTTGCTGCTTTGTTTCCCGGGTTGTTCCCAATGCTCATTCCATTAAACTTACATGTTCTGAACCATCGGCTCTCTGCTTGCCAATTCCTGCACGTACGATATTTCAGCATTTGCAATATTGAGGATTGACTTCACGACAGAAGTACTGTTCTTGGGAGACAGGGGGTGGGCAGGTGTGGGGACTCCCTGGTCCTGAATGGGGCAGCTGTGTTGGTGTTGACTCTGAAAGCCCTAAATGGCCTCGGCCCAGTATACCTGAAGGAGCGTCTCCACCCCCATTGTTCTGCCCAGACACTGAGATCTAGCGCTGAGATCGTCTGGCGGTTCCCTCACTGCGAGAAGCCAAGAACAGGGAACCAGGCAGAGGGCCTTCTCGGTAGTGGCACCTGCCCAGTGGAACGCCCTCCCATCAGATGTCAAGGAAATAAACAACTATCAGACGTTTAGATGACATCTGAAGGCAGCCCTGTTTAGGGAAGTTTTTAATGACTGCTGTTTGTTGTATTTTTAATCTTTGTTGGAAGCCGCCCAGAGTGGCTGGGCAAACCCAGACAGATGGGCAGGGTATAAATAATATATTCTTATTCTTATTCTTATCTACAAGTGAGGTTACTCCACAAATCCTCAAATCCTCAATGAATCAGTAATTGTCATTTTTCAAATTCCTTTTCTTTTCTTCTGCATGTATGAAGCCCAAAAGCTCACTTTTACTTTTCACAACCAGGTACGATTCACAAACCATCTCGCTTTCTCTTCCTCCTCCTCCTCCTCTCAGCCTTCCCCGACGACTGCAGCGTCCTGAGGGAGATCTGTGCCACTCTGGGGCGCCTCTCTGTCCGGAATGAGTTCTGCCAGGAGATTGTGGACCTGGGCGGTTTAAACTTCATGGTGGCGCTGCTGGCCGACTGCATTGACCACCAGGTACTACAAATGTAGGTAGCTGCCATGTCAGATCACTGTGTCTCTCCAACCCAGTAGTGCCTACTCTGATTGGCAGTGGCACTCCAGGCAGGGCTGGCCTGATCCATGGATACACCATGGATCGAAATAAATCAGGATTTCGGTCCTCATTATTCTGAAGGAAGGACTGATGGACTATAAATCTAGGCAGCATCTTCATATTGCACTGCGCCAGCAATCCATCTAGCTCAGTATTACCGACACTGGCTGGCAGCCGTTCCCCAGGAGTTCCAGGGGACATTCCAGAAATGCCAGGGATTAAACTCGTTTTCACTCATTTCTTTAAAGTTTTTCTTGGTCTGTGTTTTGTTTGAAAGGAAGTCTGAGACCAAACTCCTCCTGGAAAAGTTGATTTCAGAATAATGATTCCAACTTTTGAGAGTTTTCTCACCAATGCTCCAAAACTCCCCCCCCTTTTTTTTGGGTAAAAGCAGCTAAAAGCAAAGGGATTTTCAGATACATAAAAGCCAAAAGTGTTAGGGAGGCTGTCCCAACTGCAGCACAGACGACCATTTTCATTTCCGTGGGCTTGCGTTGGGTAATATTAGTAATGAAAAGAACCCTCTCTGGCCTTTTAAACTTTGCATGGGGGAGTTTTGTTTGTTATTATAGTATTTCTTGTGTTCTTATATTGCAAACTGCCCTGTGATCTTCAGATGGAGGGCGGTCATCATCATCTTGGAAAGGAGTCGAAATAATAATAATAAATAAAGTTTGTTCTGGGTATAAGCTTTTGTGTGCATGCACACTTCTCCTAAGGTGGTTTCTAAGGTGTTGCTGGACAATTTTTTATTCCGACTGCATCAGACCACCTACCTGACTCTAGACTCCTGGGAAGCAGATGCTCTGCCTTGGAGCTACAGCCGCTCCCCTAAAAAAAAAGAATAGTATTTGTTTTTCCAGTATCTTAGTATTTGTTTCTCCACCCCAGATCTAAACTTTAGCTGACTTGGTGGGCTGGCCGTCTGTCCTGGATGCTGGAGCTGAGATTCCTGCATTGCAGCGGGTGGGACTAGAGGACCCCCAGGGTCCCTTCCAACTCTGCTTCCGTGAGGCTTTCTTTTCAAACCTGTTCTCACGCCTTGGGTCTTTTTCCCTTCCGCTGCGGATTGTAGGACCTGGTGAAGCAGGTGATGAGCGCCATCCAGGCGATCGCGGGCAACGACGACGTGAAGGACGCCATCGTCAATGCCGGAGGGACAGACCTCATCGTGCTGGCCATGACTCGGCACCTCGGCAGCCCTTTGGTGAGTGGGTGTCGGTAGAGGAAGCTTCCTTTTATTGGCTGGTCTGTTGCATTTATCCCGCCTCTTCCTCCAAGCAGCTTAAAGCAGCATTCAGTCGTTCACCTCTACAGGTGTAACCCTCACAACCACGATGTGAGGGGGTTAGACTGAGAGGCCCCAACCAGCCCATCACCTTGTCATGGGGAGTGGGCTTGCACGTTCCTATGACCCTTGTGAGTGCAGCCGTCGGGAGTCTCGTACTCCCAGCAGGGTCACCCAAGGCAGTAAGGTCAAAGGGGAGGAGCTAGACAAAGCACGATCCCAGAAGTCCTCAAGGGCAGAACAGGCGGAAGATAACAAGCAGTGTGTGACAACAGCTGTGAAGGCGGAGGAAGAATCTACCGGTTGTCGTGATCCTCATGCCATTGGAATAGAGCCTTGCTGTGCAGACTGTGCGTTGGTCAGCATGCCCTGATCTACACACATAAAACAAATAAACACACAGGCATCTTCCAAAAACCCATCCTGAACTCAAACCCCCAAAAGTCCTATGGGGATCGGCAAATGGTATCGGGGGCAGGACCGTGAAATCTGGAAGCCCCTAGTCAAGAACCGGCACATAGGCAGATACAGATTCAGTCGCTCTGACTCAAGGAACGAGGTAATCCTGACTGGATTACCGCTCCCTTTGAGGTCACCATCCAGCGGTCGTAAAAGACAATTGAACTTTGGAACCTGGACTATACAGACTTTGTTGGATAGCACAGACAATCAACGTCCCGAACGCAGAACTGCCATCATTGCAAGAGAGCTGTGATGTTTTAACTTCAATATTGCAGCGCTTCAAGGAACTCGAAGAGCAGGTGAGGGACAACTGAAGGAAGAAAGGGGAGGCTACATTTTCTTCTGGAAAGGTCTGTCAGAACAAGAACATTGAATACACGGAGTAGGCTTTGCTATCAAAAACGATCTTGTGAAGCTCTTCTCAGAAGTCCCTTAATGAGCGACTTTCAACCCTTCAACTAAAACTCACCCAAAACCATCAGGCTCCTATTCTAAGCGCTTATGCACCAACACTGATTGCTGATGAAGATATTAAATAAAATTTTTACTCTCAGCTGAATATCCTCCTGGGTAATTTTAGGGCAAGAGTTGGGCAAGATTTTGATCTGTGGCCTGGGACTATTGGGAAAGAAGGAATAGGCAACAGCAACCAGAACAGAATCTGACTTTTGACTATATGTGCAGCGCACAACCTTGGTATTACCAACACACTCTTGACAAAAAAATAAGTTTAAAACATCTTGGAATCACCCTCGGTCAAACCACTGGCACCGCTTAGACTATGTAACCGTCCGAGCTGAAGATTGCTGTGATTCGCTCCTTACCAGAGCTATGGTGAGTGCTGACGACTGCTGGACAGATCACCAATTAATACGCTCCACAATGGCTATCAAGACTATACCTCAACGCAGGCTTCAAGGAAGGGAACCAAGGAGCACAATGAACACTCAAGCCCTTCAAGATCCCATTAAGCAGGATTGCTTCCAAACGACTCTTAGGACCATCTGCTTCTAGATTTCCCTGATAATATTGAGGAACACCAGACCAAGCTAAAAACATCTATTACTGCAGCCTGCGAACAAACTATTGGATACCAAACCAAGAAACAGCAGGACTGGTTTGATGAGAATGACAGTGAGATTGAACACATTATTGACAAGAAAAGGAAGGCCTTTCAGATCTGGCAAAGGGATAAAAACTGTGACACTAAGAAAAAACAACCCTATGCCAACGCTAAGGCTGAGGTTCAAAGAAAAACCAGAGAACTAAAGAACACCTGGTGAAAAAAGCTCAAGAGATCCAGCACTTAGCTGACACTCGTGATGCACAAAGCCACAAAGACCATCTATGGGCCAATAAATCATGGCATCTGCCCCTACACTTAACAGACTTCTAAAAGATAAAGAAGCTATTGCACTGCGCTGGAAAAAACATTACCAGCATCTCCTTAACCGCAACTCCCCCGTTAGAGATGAGCTTGCAGTATCTCCAAATCTGGGAGAGTTGTGTACAGCTATTAACCAAATGAAAAACAACAAAGCCAGTGGGTCTGATGGAATACCTGCCAAAGTCTTCAAAGTTGGCGGAATTGGACTTGCACAACAACTTCACAAACTCATTGAAAAAATCACATCACTTGGGAAGACAGGCAAACTAATATCAGTGTACTGGAAGAAGCAAAGTTCACCAGTCTTGAAGCAATGGTTCTTCAACATCAACTTCGTTGGACTGGTCACGTTGTGCGGATGCCTGATTATCATTCTCGAAAGCAACTACTCTATTCTGAACTTTAAAAAATGGAAAGCGTAATGCTGGTGGTCAACAAAAGAGGTTTAAAGACTCTCTCAAGGCAAATCTTTTAAAATGTAGTATAAACACAGACAACTGGGAAACACTGGCCTGCGAGCGCTCCAGTTGGAGAACAGCCTTTACCAAAGGTATCACGGGCTTTGAAGACGCTTGAACTCAGGACAAAAGGGAGAAACATGCTAAGAGGAAGGCACGCTTGACAAACCCTCACCATGATCAACTCCTGCCCGGAAACCTACAGAATGTCCCCACTGTGGAAGAACGTGTGGATCCATAATTGGCCTCCACAGTAACTTACAAACTCACATTTAACCCAGAGGTTTTCAACATTTTTGAGTCCACGACTCCCTTGACCAACTACATTCTTTCTGCGGCACCCCTGTGGGGCTCACTCCTTTCCCGGTGAACCAGCAGCCCCTCATCCCTTTTTGAGCACTTTCCCTTGTTGTGTGTTCCCTCAGCCTCCCCACTCCCTCTTCTTGGGAGTCCTCTAGGCAGCCACTGCTGACACCCCTGGTCTCTGAGCTGCCCCCCGCTGCCCCAAAGAGAGATGCATGTTTCCCCTGGGAAGCCTATAGCCGGGCTGCTGCAACAAACAGCTGTGCAAGCCTTTGGGAGGCAGAGGTGCAAGAGGGCATCAGAGGAGGGAGGGAAGGAAAGAAGGACAGAGGCCAGTGCTGCCCGCTGCACCCCTGATCATCATTCAAGGCACCCCAGGGTGCCACAGCACACTGGTTGAAAACCACTGCTTTAACCACTACACCACATTGGCTCTCCTTGGTTGCTCCCAGTTCCTTTGCTGTTCTTGAACACCCTCCCTCATCTTTTGCCCCTTCCCCTGGATCAGCCCCCTCCAGAAGCACGCTCTGCCCTGTTCCAAGGGATCATAGAATTGTAGAGTTGGAAGGGGCGGCATGCAAATTGAATAAACAAATAAATGTTACACTATATTAAAAGCACTTGAAAAGAACGTAAAGTTGCAGAAATAATATTACTGTACGATAAAATGCAAGAGTGGAGTCAAGCTTGCTATATAATAAAAATGCAAGTGTGTCGTCAGTCGGTTGAACATGGCTGCCTGCGTTTCCGCCCTCAGGTGTGTGAGCAGAGTTGTGCGGCCTTGTGCATGCTGGCGCTGCGGAAGCCCGAGAACTGCCGGGTCATCATGGAAGGGGGCGGGGCCTTGGCAGCGCTGCAGGCCATGAAGATGCACCCCAAGGAAGCTGGCGTGCAGGTAACAATTTTGCGCTGTAAGAGACAGGAGTTGCTCTTTCACCCACCCTCTGCCCTGGCGTAACCACAATTACCTCTGAAGGTATCAAGCCTGCTTTCCCACAAGGGTATAAGATGGGCTGCGTCTGGTGTTGGAACTACTGTTTCTGGGGGACAGGGGGCAGGCAGGTGTGGGGGACTCCCTGGTCCTGAATGGGGTAACTGCCCCCGAATGGACCACATAACACCAGTCTTGAAAGACCTACATTGGCTCCCAGTATGTTTCCAAGCACAATTCAAAGCGTTGATGCTGACCTTGAAAGCCCTAAACGGCCTCAGCACAGGGAACCAGGCAAAGGGCCTTCTTGGTGGTGGCACCCTCCCTGTGGAACACCCTCCCATTAGACGTCAAGGAGATAAACAACTACCTGACTTAGGCAGTCCTGTATTGGGAAGCTTTTTATCTTTGATGTTCTATTTTGTTTTTATGTGTGTTGAAAGACACCGAAAGCGACTGAGGAAACCCAGCCAGAGAGGCGGGTATAAACAATAAAATTGATGTTATTAGTAGTATTACTCCTACTCAGAAGGCCCACTGAAATTAACAGAAACATCTTAACATCATACTGGAAAACCACACAATGAATCCCTAGAGTGCAATATTATATACCGTTTTTAACATACTGTTGATTTTACTGGTTTTACGAACATTATAATTTCGTAAATAATTTACATTTTCATTAAGTGTAAACCACTTAGGAGGTGTATCAATGTTGTTTAAGGTGCCATATATTTTGGAGAGCTGTTTCTCTCCTCGCCCCTTACATTTGGACATCTCTTAAGGTATCATAGGCAACGTCTGCATGATGGTTTCTGAGATCAAGGAGCAGTTTTCTGCCTGCTTAGGGGTACAAGTTTTGACTCAAGGTGGCGAGCAGAACCTTTCAAAATGGTGCTGATTTTATTCAAAAATTGCATAGTGGTCCTTGAGATCAAGGCGCAGGTTTCGGCCTACGTTCGGATACAACATTTTGAATCATTTTGAATTGAAACGGCACTGATATTTTTGTTGTTGCTTCTCAGAGTTCCCAGGCGACGCTGGGTGCTTTCTTCTGCTAACGAAGTGAATCGTTTGCCATTTTTCTCTTTCTCCGTCCAGAAACAAGCCTGCATGCTGATCCGCAACCTCGTCTCCCACGCTCAGGATTTCTCCCAGCTCATTCTGGACATGGGTGCTGAGGACTTGATCGCCGAGGCCCGGGCCGCCCACCGGACGTGCGAGGACGTGGCCAAGGCCGCCTTGAGGGACCTGGGCTGCCAGGTGGAGCTGAGGGAGCTCTGGACGGGCCAGAAGGGCAGCCTGGCGCGCTGACACCCGGAGACGCCGGGAAACGGGGGGTTGGAAGCGGTGGGGATGAGCGGAGAGCAAGATGGACTTGCAGACGGGAATAAACGCAGCCCAAGGGAGAAGGAGGGTGTTGGCCTTGGGGGCCATTAGCTGCACAGGCCCCGGAAATTCACCGGTGCGCCGCCATTTACTTTTCTGCAACAAGCCTTCTGTGCGGTTTTTGTTGTTATCTTAAATATCTGCCGCTTCAAGAGCTTGACTGGCCGACCCTAGAAAATGGAGTGGCGCCTGCGGAGAAAGCTTCCCTTTCTATAAAAATGGCCAAGAGCAAAAAGCAGCAACAATGGTGGGTGGGGGAAAAGGCTGGCAGGCCGCTTGTTCCATTTACAGCTGTATTTTGGCCCTACCCTGGCTCTCCATATGGCCTGGCAGGCTTCTCCACCTTCAATTAGGCAACCACTGCTCCCTGCTGTCCTCCATTCTTCTTCCAGATGTGCCATCCTCTGGCCCTTGGCCGTTCTTTTTCCTCTTGTGTCATCATGCTGCCGGTTTAAAACTATCATGTGCCTGTCTCATTATTGTTCTCTACGGTTCTCCTCTTTGGTCTCATGATAGTTACAAGAAAGGAGATTCCAACTAAACATTAGGAGTAACTTTCTGTTGTTGGCAAGAGCCGTTCGACAGTGGAATGGTCTCCTTTGGGAGGTTGCAGACTCTCCTTCCTTGGAGGTTTGGAAGCAGAGCTTGGATTGCCATCAGCTGAGATTCCGGCATTGCAGAAAGTTGGACTAGAGGACCGGGGAATCTCTTCCAACTCAACCATTCTCATTCTAGTTGGATAAAAGTTGGCTCTCTCACATCCTCCGTTTCTTTCTTTTTTTAAAGTCAAGTTTTCAGCCCTTATGAGTGTTAAGAGATGCTTGGGAGAATCTCTCAGAAGCTGGAGCAGATTGCTGGCCTTTGGTCTCAAAGCATGTTTCCAAGAACTAATTTATGCAACAGACCCTCCACGTAACCCTTTTTTCCAGGGACAGTCCCAGATTTACAGAAGCCGTCCCGGTTTCTGATTGATCCCAGAATGTCCTTCTTTTCCTTAGGACAGGGGTCAGCAACCTTTTTCAGCAGGGGGCCGGTCCACTGTCCCTCAGACCTTGTGGGGGGCCGGACTATATTTTGGAAGAAAAAAAATGAACGAATTCCTATGCCCCACAAATAATCCAGAGATGCATTTTAAATAAAAGGGCACATTCTACTCATGTAAAAACACGCTGGTTCCCGGACCATCCGCGGGCCGGATTTAGAAGGCGATTGGGCCGGATCCGGCCCCCGGGCCTTAGCTTGCCTACCCATGCCTTAGGATGGATGTTCTTATTTTCATGAGAGAAATGAAATGTATGATGTAAGCAGGGAGCAGCGTGAAGGAATGAGCATAGAAGATGCTAGTCGAAGGCTTCAGTTTTTCTTTCTGAAGAAGCTTGTTTGGCTGAGACAGGGAAGAGCTCTCTAGATGTCACTGGACTCCAGCTTCCCTCAGCCCAGCCGGCATTGCAGACAGTCGGGAGTGATGGGAGACGGAATCCAGCAACACCCAGACTCCGCAGGTTTTCCTTCCCTGGTCCTAAGAGGAGACATTCCCTGCTGGCTGCACGAGGAAGGAAAATGCCTCTAATCAGAAGAGGGATGCTCTTCCAAGAGCAGGGAATGCCTCTTAGAGCTGGGAGGGGGAACCTCCGGAGCCCCATCAAAAGTTCCTCCAGCCAGTGGTCTGAGATGATGGGTGGGTGGGTGTGGCATCCGCCTGTCTCGAGAGACAATGGAGTGCGCCTCCAGGGGTGAATGGCTGTGTTGGCAGCACGGAGGTGACCTGGAGGTCCTGGGCTGCCCAGGTGACAAGCCCCCCTCTCGGCCTCACTGAGGGGGTCCAAAGGAAAGCAGAGGAAGACGACTGGCACCAGCTTGACTGCAGGAGTTGCCAGGAGGAGGCGGACAAGGCGCCACCCAACCGCCTTAGGGACTCCACTCTGGTTTTGCGTAGGGCTTACTCCTGAGCCTTCTCTCTCTCAGAGATGTCCCACAAGGCAGAGTTTTCTTCTAGACAGGCTCCTTCCCAAGTGGACGAGCCCCACCTGGCCATCACTTTCCTCTATAGCACATGCAGAAAGCGCCTTCTTGACCACTGAACTCCCTCTTGGTCTCGTCCACTCCCTCCATCGGAGCCTGGCTTCGCATGCAGGGGAAGCCCCTGACTCACGGAGGGTTTGAGACCCATCGGCTCCCCTCACCCAATTTAGCCAGCCAATCGAAGCTGCTCCCAGGATTGTGGCCGCTGTCGCCTGCTGACGGCGTCTGGAAGCCACAGGTGAGAGTTGGGTGCAGGTGGGGACCAAAGGTGGACAAACTACCCAGAAGGAGCACAACATGACCCCCCACAGAGGTACCACCCCTCCCCAACCACCCCATCATTATCTGAACAGTTGCAGCACTCCACCCATTGGGCTATGTAAAGCTGTCGTGTGAGCGTGCACACACATACACACACACAAACTAAGATCCTTGTTTTGTCTAGCTCGGTCCTTGCTGTCAAAAGCTGCCTTGGGTTTTGGCTACGGCTCTTTCCTCCGTCTCCCCTGGAGATTGAACCGGTGGCCTTCTGCGTACATAGCAAATGTTCCACTACTGAGCTAGGTCTCGCTTACGGAGAGCCAAAAGTTGCTTCCCAGAAGCTTCCAGGTTCATCCCAACTGGCTGCGAGGTGACACCCCCCAGAAAGGGTTGTTCACTCAATAGTAGCACTATGTACACAACGGCCTAAGTAGATCCCTGATGGATCAGGACAAGCAAACATTGGCCCAGCATCCTGGCCTTGCCTTACAAATCGGCAAGGCTCTCCACCTGCGATCCCAGCAACGGGTATTTAGGAGCTTGCTGCCTTCAGCAGTGGAGGAGGGAGAAAAGGGTGCGTTTCAGCCTTGAAGGGAGAGATGCCAAGAGGCACAGGTGAGTCAGGCTGGTGAAGGAGCCAGGATGTCTCCCCTCTCCCCTGGTCTCCCAGCACTAGAAGAGGTATGAAGAGGGAGAGGCAGAGGCACTGGCAGAGTCTCAGGTTGCTTGGGAAGGCCCCATGGGAGAAGGAGACGGGCAGCTGGGGGACGTGGCTGGGGGAAGTCTCCACAACTGCCTCCTTGGGGCAAGATCGGCCGAGAAGAATTGCTGCGCTCATTGGGCCTGGCACCCTTGAGAAAGCCGTTTCTTCCAGTAAACAGTTCACTTACTCCGCGTGGTTTATTGCTGGCTGGCTCCTTGAGCACACACCCTCCTCCCGTGCCGTGAAAATCCTAAACTGCTCCCCATAGCACCTCCCCAAAGGGGGGGGGGAGGCCAAGTCTGTACACTGGAAGAGGCGTAGTATAAAAAGGGTTACAATCGCAGGGTCATCCCAGCCAGTGCTCCAACCACCCGTGGTGCCCATGTGGCGATGTGAAACGACTCTCATGTTTTAGTTCTGTGTTGTGAGCCAAGAAGATAGCGGGAATTTTAATGGAAATGGTTGGCTTCTGCAAAATACCCTGCAACACACCCCAACCGGACCTCCAACGTCTGAGTCACATCGACCGGGGGTGGATGCGACCGCGGTACTGGGCAATCCACCGCCCCAGCCGCCTGGCCAGCGGCCTCCCCACTTGCGCCCCACTGCTGGTACTGGGTTGTGGTGGAGGCTGCGGCGACGGCGCTTTCCTGAAGATCTTCCGGACCCAGGAGACCAGGAATTGGAGGCTGAGGCGTGAGGGGGTCGTGCGGGGCTCTGAGGGGGTGTGGTGACTCTCCTTGACTGAGGGGCGACTCCCAGCAGAAGGGCACTGCTGGGGACTTGTTCTTCCTCCTTCCGTCTCTAGCCTGACCTGCGAGAAAAGCAAACAAATTACCTCCAGCCCAAGGGTTTTGGGAAACTGGTTACTCTTCAGATGGTCCTGAATAGGGTAACTGTGCCCCCAAAGGAGCAGGTGCACAGCCTGGGGGTCCTTTTGGACTCTCAGCTGTCCATGGAGGCGCAGGTCAATTCTGTGTCCCGGGCTACTAGCTCCATCTGAGACCCTCCCTGCCTGCTCCCTGTCTCGCCAGAGCGGTCCATGCCCTGGTTACTTCCCACTTGGACTACTGCAATGGAAGGTGGCTTGGAAACAACTAACCTTGAATGCGGCAACTAGACTAGTGACTGGGACCACATAACACCGGTCCTGAAAGACCTCCACTGGCTCCCAGTACGTTTCCAAGCACAATTCAAGGACCTGGTACTGACCTGTAAAGCCCTGAACGGCCTCGGCCCTGTATACCTGAAGCAGCACCTCCCCATCGTTCAGCCCAGCCACTGAGGTCCGGCTCTGAGGGTCTTCTGCTGGTTCCCTCCCTGCGAGAAGTGAGGTTACAGGGAACCAGGCTCAGAGCCTTCTCGGAAGTGGCACCCAGTCCATCAGATGTCAAGGAAATAAACATCCTCCTGACTTTCAGAAGATATCTGAAGGCAGTTTAATGTTTTACATTTTTTATGTTTTCATATGTGTTGGGAACCACCCACTCAGATGGGCGGCCTCAACATAATCAATTATTCCCATGCCTGGCTTGAGGTCAGGAGGGCCTATGGCTAGGCTGCCCACAGGCAGGGCTGGATGCTGAAGAACTGCAGAGGCTGTTCTCCACAAAGAATTGTGGAGGGTTGCAGGGGCTTCCCCTCCCTGTGCCAGCTGCGACCTCGTCAGCCAGCGCAGAGCAGTGGGCACCTTTCCGATTTTGAGAGAGCCAAGAGGGCTGGTGGGTGGCTCCAGCTGGGGAGCCCCTACCTGAGGGAGACCCCAAGGAGGCAGGCCCAGAGCCAGGGGACTGGTGGTGGGACACCGAGGAGGAGAGGTCAGAGGAATGAGAGGAGGAGCCGGACGCTGACGGGGCAGCAGGGTTTAGGGAGCAGGGAGAGCCTGAGACAGGGAGCAATTCAGAAGAGTCTCTCTTTCCGGCTGCCCCAAGCTCCCCTGCCCTGGGTCTCTGAGGATGCACAGAGAAATGGAAAGGGATTGACTGTGCGCAGACACAGTTTGAGATTGCTAGGGAAACGTCTGGGAGAGGAGAAGCCTTAGAGAGTTGGAAGGCAGGGACCTTCAGTCCTGGCAATGGCTCCATGGGGGCAAGACCTGCTGTTAAGGCTTGCTGAGACCACTAGGCCGAATTGTCCATTTATTTCCCTGAGTGAAGAGTCAGTTTCACTGACAACAGAGCCTTGCTTGCCTGCGCCTGACCCCAGGGCTCTGGAAGGAGCTGCAGGGAGAGGAGATCTCTGAGGATCCACACAGCTTAGGTGTGGCGAACTAACAGCTGCTCCCACAAGGCACCTGCACACCTGGGGGCGACCTTGGACCTCGTCCCCTGCAAAGCCATGGCACTCGACCGCTGCGCCACAAGCCCTGCTGCAGACTCTCCCAGTGGCCCTTTTTTCCAGGGACGGACCCAGATTTACAGAAGCCGCCCCACTTTTCTATGTGATCCCGGAATGTCCCGCTTTTCCTTAGGAGGTCCTGTTTTCATTGGGGAAATTAAGGAGTCATGTGAACCCCGAGCAAAGGAGAGAAGTAACAACCTTTTGCGGACATCTGAAGACAGCCCTGCAGAGGGACGTTTTTCAATGCTCTTTATATATGCTGGAAGCTGTCTAGAGTGGCTGGGGCAACCCAGTTAGATGTACAGGGTATAATAATAAAATTATTATTATTGAATAATACGTCCCTATTTCCATTGGATTAAATTGGGAGGGTATGCTTGCTGGGCCGCGCCCAGAATTTGAACTCACGTCGCGCCCACCTGCTCTGGGTTGGGGGGCAGGGAGCGCTGGTCTTGCAGCCGCGGCTTCAGCCCCCCTTCTGGGGCCTGCTCCTTCTCCGGGGCCCCTCGGTTTTTCCTCTTTTGAGGGCACTTCCTGCTCCCACTGGCCGCTGGCAGGGGCGATGGGGGGCTGTGGGGGGCTCCCTGCCCCTTGGTGGGGGGGATCTTCTTTCTGCCCGCTCGGGGGGCCCCACTCTCTCTGTCCCCGGGGGGCTGGTAGCGGGGGAACTCCTCGTAGGTCCGGTAGCAGGGGAAGTAGCCTGTGGAGGCGCAGGAGTCGCCCAGGAGCGTTTCCTCGTCATCGGCCAGGTAGTAAGCCTCGTGATCCGCTGTGGCCCTTGCAAGTTGGTCTGGCTTAGCATTGTCATAAGGAAGGACCTTGAATTTTTCAGAGAAAAAAGAAAACAAGGCTGCAATCTAATGAAGTGAAACTGAGTCGCGCTGGAGTGTTAAATCTGTAGGATTGCAGGGTTGGTTTGGGAGAATTGAGACCCTCCAAGACTCCCTATTTTCCCAGGACACTCCTGGATTTACAGAAGCCGTCCCGGTTCCTGATTTGCTCCCAGAACAGAACGCCCCGCTTTTCCTGAGGTTTCATGATTTTTGACCTGGCAATATATTGCAAATCATGAGCTGCGTGTTCGTGTGCTGTGCAAAAATCCCAACATGGGGAAAACCAGCCAAGGGCTCTACACAGCTTCAACTTTATTTCAGACATCGAGATATAGGGGGACATTGCGATGTTTAGCTGGTGATATATCATGATGTTGAAAAGCGTATCTTGCCTGGAACCCCTGGAGATTGGGGCATGCGCACCCGTGTCTCTGCATTAATGGGTGGATGGGTGTAAGCCATCATTGCCAAGCAAGAAGTGAAATCATGCTCCCTTGTTTGACCTTGTAAGTAACAACCCTGTACTATCCTGGTTCTCAGCCCCCCTACTGTGGAGTGGTGGGTTGTGCTTCTATTCAAATTTCAGCCCTTATTCCTAAATCTATCCCTTTGGCCATCCAGATGTTGCAAAACTATAACTCCCAGCAAGCATGCAGTGACTATGGGAGTTGCAGTTCAGTCCAGCAACATCTGGAGGGCCACATCTTCAGCCCAGTCCCGTTCCATAGAAATTTGCGCACTCTTTTCTTGGGATTTGTCTTCAAGGGCCACCCAATCCAACTTAGGGCCACCCAATCCTGCCATCTCACCAGTTCTGGTGGCAGGCAGTTCCTAGGACTCAGTTACTACGTGCTTCTGACCTCTTTGACTCTGGGCTCCAGGGGGTCTTCTTTGTTGTTGTCAGGTGGGGGCCACAGCTGCTCTTGTAGTAACCCCTTTTCTTCCTTTTCCTGCAGCTGTGGGACAAATTCCAAACAAAAACAGCAATATGAAGAAGTTTGAAGAACAGTGTTATAAGAATTCTATGGTCTCAGATATAAAAGACCTGTTCATAAATGTACAAGGCAAACACAAACATAAGTATATAAACCACGTGTCTGAAATAGTAGAGGAGAGCAATCCTGAAACCATTTTGACTCTCTCAGGGACCTCAAATATTCCTCTGCAGTGAGGAAGGAAATGGGAAAGCCTCCCCATTGTCTTTTTGCTCCCAAATCCTGTCTCAAGGGCATATTTGTGCCTGTGATCTGGATTCAGGAACTGAGTATTACAAAATACTTTGCCATTACAAAAGAATGGCCAGGCTGCCCAGGCATTGCAATCAGGGACCATTAACAGGTATCCTGACAGACAGGATGTCTGCTGTAGACGCCTCCTTCTGTGATGTATGTCCTTGGGGGGGGGGGGTCTTGGGCTACAGGGTGGGCAATTTCAAAAGTCTATGTAAGGGCTTGCACACCATGTTCTAGGTTCTCCTTCCTCCCTTGTGGGGAGTGTGAGGACCTTGTTGCAACAGTTGTGGGGTTGATATGCCCCCTCCCCTTCTGCCAATTGCCCCCTGGGCCGCTGCCACCTACCCATCGAAAATCCAGCAAATCTGTGCCCTGTGGTCTGGGGGTCTCCTTCCTGCCCTCGCCTTCTCCCTCCAGGGGGCTGCCCGGCTCTTCCTTGGGCTCTTCCTCCTTGCTAGCCGCTTTGTCACGAGGTTCTTGGCCCTCAGATGCCGACTGCTGGCAGAGACAGGACCCCCGAGGGGGTGGGGGACAGTGAAGAAAAAGACAGCAGCCCAGAACGAGAGAGGCAGGAACCCAGAAGCCAAACCCTCCTGCCTGCAATGATTCGCTTGCCAGGGAAGCCGTCCAGCCCTGGCGCCATGGGGGGCTGGTCCATCAGGACGAGTGGGGCAGCAAGCACAGCCTGCCCTCAGCAGCCCCCTGCCGCCTGCCCCCTTGCTCGCGACCCGTCCAGAAGGTGGCCCTCCTCTCTCTGCCATGTACCTCTTTGATGTCTTCAGAGCCCCCCAGGGTTTCTAAGCTCAGGGGGCTCCTCCTGCACACATCCTCGGAATCCCCAATATCTGTTTCGGGGAACTGTGGAGGAAGAGGGAGAAGGATGAGGGGAGAGAATGCGTGGCATCTGCCACACAAGCAGGTCTCTGCCCCAAGGAAGCTACAGTAGGAGGCTGACAAGAGGGAGGGTGTCAGCATGAGGAAGAGGCAGAGGCAAAAGCCTTTCCAGGAATGTAATCCTGGGGCTCTGGCTTGCATCTGACATCAGCCATGCTCAGAGTAGACCCATTGAAATGAATGAGAAGGAATAACTCCGGCCCCTGACTCTGAATGGGTCTACGCTGGGTGGAAGCTAGTGGGATCAAAGGAGGTTACAAGAAAGAATGGTTGTAGCAGAGGGAGAAAGAGAATTATTATTATACATTTAGTGATTTGTGTTGTTACCGGAATTTTTGAGAAGGTTGGGGAGTTGTTTCCAGTTAAACGGGACACTGCACCCCAGATCATGCCCCAAACAGACCCCATTCAATTTTGTAAATACCCCCATAAAACCCACCACAGTTTTGCTGCATTGTATCTTGTTCAAGGTTACATAGTATTCACCTTCCCTTGTGGCACAAAACCTTCAGAAGATTCACATAAAATCACTCCAGCCTTGGATTTACGCCATTCCAATGTTTTTCTGTTCAGGAAGGAAATGGCTACCAAGGGGGAATCTTGGGACATGAGTGAAGGCAGCCAAACTCCCTAAAGAATGAGCCCAGCAGCCCCTCTGCCTGGGGGATAATCTCTGGCATCCTGACACCTGGGTGCCAGACAGGTAGTCATTCCAGGGATAATAGTAAATCCAATTTCAGTTCATTAGGATCTTGGTCAAGACAAAAGGGGTGTGATTAACTCAGGCATAGGCAAACTCAGCCCTCCAGCTGTTTTGGGACTACAGTTCACATCATCCCTGACCACTGGTCCTGTTAGCTAGGGATCATGGGTGTTGTAGTCCCAAAACATCTGGAGAGCCAAGTTTGCCTATGCCTGGATTAACTTGACCAGGAGAACAGGAACATGTACATCTTTTGTGTTACTTAATGGGTGTGAGCTGGAGGTCAAGGGAGGGATGAGAACAGACCTGGTGAACAGGTTTCTGCCAGAAGACCCCTCCCAGATTGTGACATAGCTGTGATGTATATATGATGTATGTGTGGTGCTACACTAAGGTGTTGTCTGTAAAAAGGGAAACATATATATATATAAAGGGAGCTATCCTTTGTTCTGGGCTTCTTCCTGCTTCTTCTATGGGGTGGGGGGAAGTCCTGTTTGAATAAAGTCTTTTGAATAAAGACCAGGCCTACAGGCTGCTGTTTTGCTCTAATACGCTTGGCTGGTGTCTTTGTTTGGCAATCCAAGTGAGCCCAAGGATTTTCCTTTAGCAGTGTGCCATAAGCAGCTCTTTCCAAAATACAAAAACCAATAACATGAACATTAAAATGCAAAATAAAAAACACAATAAAAAATTAGAACCCAAGGCACCCATAATTGAAACACCAAAATAAAATAAGGACTCAAAACTCCCGTAGCAATTTCCCGTTAGCAATGGAGATTGGTCCCCTCACCAGTTTCCCAGCCATTGATCTTGGGACTTAGCTGATGGTCACGCTGTCTTTCTTGTTTTCTAATATGTGGTGATTTTTTTAAATTAACCCCCAGCTTTTCTGATTCTGTCCCAGCCAAGCTAAGCCACCCACAGGCTGCTGACCCAAGGCTAGGGGGGTGGCCCTCAACTGCAAAGTGAGGTTGGGGTTTTGAGCTGACATCACAAACGGGTTGTATATCTGTCCTTGGGTCCATCCATCTCCTCTGAGGGTGGACCTGTTTTTACTCAAGGGCAGTAAAACGAGCCTTCCTGGAGGCTGGAGCTGAGATTCCCGCCTTGCAGGGCAGTGGCGTAGCGTGGGTTGTCAGCACCTGGGGCAAGGCAAGTAATTTGCGCCCCCTAACCTGTGGATTTGTGCCCCCTAACCCTAACCCCCAGAAGTTGCGCCCGGTGCGGCCGGCCCCCCCTGCGCCCCCCACGCTACGCCAGTGTTGCAGGGGGCTGGATGACCCCTGGAGGTCCCTTCCAACTTTACAATTCTAGGATTCACGTCTAAGTTTTGCCAGTTTGGAAAACAGCTTTTCCTCGTTTCTGTTGAAAAGGAAGCAATCACTACTACTACTACTTATTATTATTATTATTATTATTAATTAAATTTGCACACCGCCCTTCATCCGTAGAGCTCAGGGCGGATTACAACATGAAATTACAACAATGGGATTCCTTCACTTGGAGCAGAAAGAAAAAGAAGCGCCTCCGTCTGCAGAAGCAGCTGAGCCCGAAGAGAGAAAAGTTGACAAGCACCTTGTGCGCATGCGCCCCGCGGCGGAAGGGGGGCCGAGGGCACTTCGCCGCGCCTGCGCATAACTAGGGCTGGTGGGCGGGGAAACGTCTGCAGGGGGCGGGGTTTGCGAGGGGGTTCTTTTTGCGCGTGCGCACAAGAGGGAAGGCCGAAGGGTGGAGGCGCGAGATCTTTTCAAAAGGGCGGGGCTTGGATAGGAAGCCGCTGCGCGTGCGCGGTGGAATCTCTGCGCGTGCGTAGTGGCAGCCCCCTCTTCCCGGCCTGGTTTCGAGGCTGCGTGTTGCTGAGGAGATTCTGTACTAATTTAAATAAGGGGGGACTCCGCCCCTCCCCTTTCTTATTCAGCCTTCGGTAAGTGAAAGAAAGAAAGAAAAGGGGGAGTCGGGCGGGGGGAGGGCAGAGGTTGCCAACTGACCTGGAGGCAGCCTCCTCCTCTGCCTTGGAGCGGCCAGTTTCCTGCCCCAGGCCAGCAGCGAGCGCGCCTTTCACTTTCCCAGGGCCCTGCGAGCTGATGCCTGAAGGGAGAGCCTGGTAAGTTGGCAACCTCCGTCAAAAGACCCCGAGGTTCCTGCCCTTGAGGCTCCTTCCAAAGAGGGGCTCCTTGGTTGCACGTTGGCCAACTTGGATCACCTTTCCTGCTGCTGCCACCACTCTTAACTGGTTTTGGTGCTGGGCAAAGGGCTCTCTCCCCATTATTTGAGGATATTTTAAATTATTAGGGTAGCAAAAGTCTCCTGGCAGACATCGAATGAGTCTTGTAAAATAATGCAACGGTGGAGGAAATCAGAATTAAGGAGGAGGAAAAAAAACAATTCTAGGAAACTGTGTAAAAATAATAATCGCAAAATAGTACAACGGGTATACAGTAGTTGGAAGGTTCTTTTTATTTTAAACAAACTCATTTTCTATTTCTTTTTCTTTTCTCTTCTTTCCTTCCTCTTTTCTATGTTTGTAATTTCTTGGATCATTTGTACAGTAATGTGTAATGTTTGTATTGTATGTACTTTGTTATTTGTGCAATAAATGAATTTTTAAAATATATGTATTGCAGTGTTCCCCAACCTTAGGCCTCCAGCTGTTTTTGGACTACAACTCCCATCATCCCTCGCTAGCAAGACCAGTGGTCAAGGATGATGGGAATTGTAGTCCAAAAACAGCTGGAGGCCCAAGGTTGGGGAACACTGTATTATGGTATCGATAGCCCCCCTCCAAGGAGCTCAAGGTGGCGTACGTGGCCCTCCCCTTCCCCTCAATCCCCCACAACAACCCTGTGAGGTAGGTTAGGCTGAGAGGCGGCAGCTGGACCTCAACATCCCCCTTTGCAGCTATTTTGCAAAGCTTTTGCAGATAAAATCGTGGGAGTGCCAGGTTTTATGGGATCAGTTTCAACTTGTTACCCTGCCCTCCACGAATGCAAACAAGCAGCTTAGATGGGCAAAATCTGTCTTCTTGACCCTTGCAGGGGTTCTGCTCCTTCCTGCTGGCCAGTGTCCAGAAAGTAGTGGTGGGAGATGAGTGTTTGGGACCACTCAGGGCTCCATGCTCTCCCCCATGCTTTTTAACATCTACAGTGGTACCTCTGGATGCAAACATGATCCATTCCGGAGCCCCGTTTGCATCCTGAAGCAAACGCAACCCGCATCCGCGCTTCTGCATGGGTCGCTATTTGCTGCTTCTGTGCATGTGCATGATGTCATTTTGAGCATCTGCGCGAGCGGTGAAACCCAGAAGTAACGCATTCCATTACTTCTGGGTCGCCGTGGAGCGCAATCCGAAAATACTCATCCCAAAGCTACTTCAACCCGAGGTATGTCTGTACATGAAATGGCTGGGAGAGTTCACCAGGGGGTTGGGGTTGGGTGTTCACCAGAATGCAGATGATACCCAGCTCTACCTCTCAACATGGATGGTGGATGCTTTTCAGCAGAAACAAGGACAAGAGAAGAGTAGGCCACTCCTTTAACCCCACCCCAGAGGCTCCTTTCTAAACTTGTTGGCCCAGTCTTGCAAAACTTAAAAATGAAAACTCCACTGTCCTCCAACCTGCTGCCCTGGAGGCTCTCAGCGAGCTGAAAGTTACTGTCTCCTTTCATTGGAAGAAAGTTGGAAGCGGGAGTAATGCAGCTTTGAATACTGCATCTGGTGACAGAGGTGTAAGTCGGTTAGTCTTCAACATGCGTTGGGGACCCACTTGTTAAAATAAAATAAAAAATTACATATAACACAGATGGGTGGGGTATAAATAATAAAAATTATTACTATTAGTATTATTCGGCAATGCTGCTGCTGTGGCCCACCATAGATTAGGCTTTGGCCTGGTAGCAGTTGAAGACAACTGGCGTAAGTCACCTGATGCGTTTGAGAGCAGGTAGAGCATAAGAAAAGCCCTGCTGCATCCACCCCCCTTGTCCTTATGCTGGCCACCTAGATGCCACTGGGAAGCCCAGAAACAAGAATGTGAGGTCCATAGCTCTCTCCCTCTGCTGTGCATAGAGAAAAGGTTTTTCTCCTTCTCTCCTAACAGTAGAACTCTTGGGCATCCAGTGAAGCTGAACACTGGAAGATTCAGGGCATGTAGTAGAAGAGACTTACTCGCTTTATTTTACTCGCTCCCTGATTTATGAATCATTCTAAAGGATCGCTTGGCGATATGGATGCCTACTGTTCCCCCTCCTCCCTAACTCTTCCTCCTTTCTCATTCCAGAGCCCAGATGGCTGCTCGGCGGATGGCGCGGGAGTCTTTTGACGCCCTCATGCAAGTCAAGGCGAAACGGCATCATCTGGACAGGAGTGACCCCATCGACGAGGCCCTCCACCAGCTGAGAGGTATGGTTGGTCCAATGCCCCTGAGCTATTTGTTGCTGCTGGTCAGCCTTTGACCCAGTTCCTGCTTCCGGCCTCAGAGACTCAAGTTGTTTTAGGTGAGCGTTATGACCCCAGTAAATTTAATCTGAGCCAAAAAATAATTCCACATGCCTCGCGCTCTTCCATTTCTGAGACCTTCCCCTAAAGCAGGGGACACTCAGGTCTTGGAGGGCAGATGCCGCCCTCCAGATTCTCCCCAGGCCACTCTCCTTGCCAGCCCTGCCTTGCATGTGTGCGTGCACACACACGAGTGCTTTTGTGTAGCTGGGATGTGTCCTTGAGCATTGATCATGCCTTTTGCTTGCCAGGATGGAGGGCAGATTGATAGACGCATGAGTGCAAGTGTGTGCAGCAACTAGCCTACTGTCAAAAGGTTGGATTCACCTTCTTTGCTGCACCCCTTCAGCCTCGACCCTTGCGCAGAAGGTCTTCCCAAAATGGGATATGTCCATTAAGGCAGAAAAGGTTCCCTTGGCTTGGCATTAAAGGGTTTGTGGTTAGTGGCCAGCCCACAAGTGGAGTGTGCTGCTAACCTTATAAAAGTCCCAATGATCATAGAATTGTAGAGTTGGGAGGGACCCTGAGGATCATCTAGTCCAACCCCCTGCAGTGCCTCAAGACAGCCTCTTTCCATATGAGCTGACCCTGATATTGAGATTATGTTCTGTGGCCCTTCTTCATGTGCTGCCTCTACAAGAGGTCTGGAGGGCAGCAACACAAGAACTGGGCCTCTTCTGCAGTGGCTCCCTGTTTGTGGAATGCTCTCCCCAGGGAGCACCTTTAGGCACCAGGCAAAAACGTTCCTATTCAACCAGGACTTTGGCTGATTGCCATCCAGAGGCCTTTTAAAAGGTGTTGGTGTGGGGTTGTTGGGTGGTTCTTGTTTTTATTTTTATGGTGTGTTTTGTGTTTATATATTGTGATTTTATCTTGTGAACTCTCCTGAGACCTGCAGGTACAGAGCAGTATACTAATTTAATAATAAATAAAGGAATATGCAGCTGTCCCATATGGGGATTGACCTTGCAACCTTGGCGTTATCAGCACCATGCTCTAACTGAGTGAGCTATCCAGGCTGATGTGGATGTGAAATAAAAAACTTTCCCAGTCCAGGAATCCCGAGTCCCTTCCAAATGCTGTTGGAATACACATCCCCATCACCCCTGTCCATTGGCCGGGATGCCTGGGGCTGGTATCTATCACCATCACCTAGAGCAGTAGTCTCCAACTTTTCCAGACCCCAGGACTCACTTTTAACCCAAACATGCATTTCTTAATCTTTCATGAATTTATATGGTGGCAGTGCTCCTTTTGCAACTCACCTTGGACCAGACTATGACCCACAAGTGCAGTGGCCCCAAAGGGGCAGGGAGATAACTTAGAGGCACTAAGAGGCAGGAGTACTTGAGGGATGACTATCAGATTTTGAAAAGTTCATCAAAGTTGTTGAATTAATTCAACTAATTTATTGGATCTGAAGGCAGCCCTGTTTAGGGAAGTTTTTAATGTTTGGAGTTTTATTCTGTTTTTAATGTTCTGTTGAAAGCTGCCCAGGGTGGCTGGGGAAACCCAGCCAGGTAAGTGGGGTAGAAATAATAAATTATTATTATTATTTATTACGAATAAATGTGCAATTAAGTGTTAACTGTTTTGAGTTTTATGGCATTTTTATTTTCTTTAGTGGGTAATGCAAACTGCTATTCAATTTCTTTTCAGAGGGTAGGTTAAGGGGTGCTGGGGATGAGTTATTGAACCAAGGGAGTGGTAGCCCCTAAAAGATTGGAACCGCTGTGCTAGTGGGTCCCAACCCATCAGTTAAGGCCAGTGATCTAAAGGTCTTCCATCATCATCATCATCATCATTATTATTGGATCAAGGAAATAAGTTCTCCTGCTTTCCCTTTTTTTCCTCCTCCTCCCTCCAGTTCCATCCTTCAAATGATACCCTTTCCAGATCCCTTTTGGTGACCTTTAGACTTTCAGTTTTCTGCAAATTTGCAAATAAATACAGTGGTGCCCCGCAAGACGAATGCCTCGCAAGACGGAAAACCCGCTAGACGAAAGGGTTTTCCGTTTTGGAGGTGCTTCGCAAAACGAATTTCCTATGTGCTTGCTTCGCAAGACGAAAATGTCTTGCGAGTTCCTGCACGATTTTTTTCCATTATCCCTTTTTACCAAGCCGCTAAACCGCTTATCAGCTGATGGCTAAGACGCTTAACAGCTGATGCTAAGCCGCTAATCAGCTTATCGTTGCCGCTATCAGCTGATCCTGCCGCTATCAGCTTATCGTTAGCCGCTTATCAGCTGATCCACTAAGCCTGCTAAGCCCTGTAGCACTAATCCGCTAAACTGCTAATGGGCTTGCTTCGCAAGACGAAAAAACCCGCAAGACGAAGAGACTCGCGGAACGGATTCTTTTCGTCTTGCGAGGCACCACTGTACCCTCTTGCCTTTATAGAATCATAGAATTGTATAGTTTGAAGGGACCTCAAGGGTTGTCTATTCCAACACCTTGCAATTCAGGAATCTTTTGCCCAACATGGGGTTAGAACCCACAACCCTGAGATTAAGAGCGTGCAAAACATGGGTTTTCTACCTCTGGGTTTTGGCTCCTGTTTGGAAATCCTGCTTGCTTGAGAAAGGCTGAGATTCAGTAGTGGAGCATTTGCCTTGCACACAAAACCTCCCAGTTTTTATATCAAACTATTATTTGTGTAAAAGGCAATAAACTGTTTATCAAAGTTATCCAGAAGATTTTATAATGTAAGGAGAGGCCTCTATTTTAATCTTTCAACGATGTACGTAATAAAGTCATGCCATGACTTTATTGCCACTTTATTGCCATGACTCTGTTACAAAAGAGTCTTTGCACCAATTTTGTTTTACTTAGTTTTTACACAGGTGCCATCATGTTGCACCAATTTGTTGAAGAAGACCCTGTTGAGTTCTCCTGGTGTCCTTGGTTTTGTGCCATGAGAAATAGCTTTCTTTTTTCTTCCCCCCACAGTTCATTCGCGCCCAGTGCAGCGAACCCAGTACGAGGATGAGGACGGGGATTTCCATGAGGAGAGAAAGTACCTGCACAGCGACTGGAGGGGAGAAGCCGCCAACGAAGACTATTCGGTGCCTCCCTATCAGTCAGAGGAGGAGGATTACTACACACCCACATGCTCACGGAACCAAGATTACGCCCAGGCCCCTTCCCGTGACCGGGACTACGGCCGTTTGTCTTCTGCGGAAAGGGAGCTCCCCGGCCCATCAACCAGGGAGCGGGGTTACGGTCGCCTGGCCTCTCGGCAAAGGGACTATGGCCGTGCCTCCTCCCGAGAGACCTCCAGGCTCCGCGATGCTGACTACAGTTCAGCAGAGCTGTTGAGTGGCTTCCATTCTCCAGGGCTATTGGAAGAGGAGTTTGGGACTGTGAGGAGTCAGGATTACAGCCTGGAGTATGGCCTGGAGGCGGAGAGAGAGTTTGCTCCCTCTTTACATGCGGGGAGGGACCTGACGGCGAAGCGCATCCGGGCACCGCAGGGCCTGGTCAAAAGCAAGACAGATGCGGTCCTCCCCGTGAAGAAATGGGTCCAGGCTTTGTCCTCAAGCGACCTGCTGGGGGAACCTGCCCACCCCTCCAAGAGGAGGGCCTTCCCTGCTCAGCACCTTCAGCTCGGCCAGCGGCCGTCCCTGCCCCTGAGGGGCGCCCTGCAGCACGACGACCCGGAAACCGTGAGGCATGCCCAGCACAAAGAGCCGCAGCTGGACCTCAGTGGCCCGCTGGATGTTTTCACCACCTTTGGGGTGGAGATCATCAAGTGGGCTGGCTTCCACAAGATCAAGAAGGACCCGGAGTACATGGAAATGTTCCGCATCCTCTTCAAGCTGGAGACGGAGACGTGCGCCAAGATGCTGGCCTCCTTCAAGTGCTCGCTGAAGATGGAGCACCAGGACTTCTGCTATTCCGTCGTGCGGACTCTGCAGCACCCGGCGCTGCGGACGCCCAAAGTGGACGGCCAGTTCTTGAACCTGCTGCTGGAAAAGAAGCTGGTGGCCACCAAGAACGGCTTCTTCCAGCTCATCAAACCGTTTGACCGGTACATGATGCACCTCCAGGCCTGCCTCCTGAAGAGCGCTGTCCCGCTCCTGATGGCCTGCAATGCCTATGAGCTGAGCTTGAAATCCAGCAGCTTCAGCGACCCGGGGCAGATGACGGCCGCCTTCGAGACCACTGCTTCCCTCTGCCGAAAGGCCCTGGTGCTTGTCGGCCAGACCTTCGCCATGGCCTCCTCCTTCCGGCAGGAGAAGATCCTGGAGGCCATCGGGCTGAAGGGGGTGGCCCCTCTGCCCATCTTGTTCCCCAATTTTGACACCTCGGCCTTGTTTGGGAAGGAGTACATCGAACACCTGCAGGGCTGGCTGGAGAAGAGCGGGTCCCAGATGCATCTGAAGAGGCCAAGTGCGGAGACCCCCAGCTCACAGGGCGCTCCGGAACCCAAGCCGAAGATTAAGAGTAAGCGGGTGCTGCTTCCCACTGACTCTGCCTGTTGTCAGGGGCGGCTGGGTCCTTTTTCTTTGGGGGAAGAATTATTTCCATCTATAGACTTTCTAGCGTTCACGTTGTTTCAGTTTGTGAGTCGTTGTCCTCTTCTCCCACCTTGCTTCTGTTGTTTGGGTCCCTGTGAGCATTTAATTTTATTTCTTAGGGTTAATAATGGTGGTGATGTTACGATTCATGTGCTTCCCATCGGACTGGCTTACTCCAGCCACTCTGGGCAGCTCCCACCAAAATACAAAAAACACAATAAAACATCAACCATTAAAAGCTTCCCTGTACAAGGCTGCCTTCAGATGTCTTCTAAAAGTCAGATAGTTCTTTATTTCCTTGACATCTGATGGGAGGGCATACCACAGGGTGGGCGCCACCACCGAGAAGGCCCTCTGCCTGTTTCCCTGTAACTTCCCTTCTCGCAGGGAGGGAACCGCCAGAAGGCTCTCGGAGCTGGACCTCTGTGTCTGGGCTGAGCGATGGGGGTGCAGAGAATCCTTCAGGTATACTGGGCTGAGGCTGTTTAGGGCTTTAAAGGTCAGCACCAGCATTTTGAATTGTCAGGGTTATACTTTGGGTCTGGGGCTTGTTGGCACGAGGTGGGGCTTGCTCTGCCCTGCCTTCCCATTCCCCAAAATTAAATATACCCAAAGGAAAAACCCACACCCAAAATCGCCAATAATGTTAATGATTTGTCCTTTTCCTCAGGCAGTTTCAGAAAAATGAGGATTGATGTCTTATTGGCAGGATCTGTAATATGGGAGGGCTGCAACCTATGCAGAGTTACTTTCTAAGGGTTCATGTGCAAAGGCAAAATCACACAAAGTCAGTGCGACCCTGAGAACTGACCCCACATAGCTCTCTCTGCCTTACTTTTGCGTACAGCCTGCACTTGGGAATAATTTCCTCATTTGCCCCGTGGACTCCTCAACACTGCAGCAGAGAACCAGGCTCTGGGAAGGTGGTGTGAGGGCTCTGGAAGGCTGTTGGAGGCTTTCAGGGCTATCTGACATCTCGCAGTCCCCCCCCCCCCCAGCCTCCCAGAGGTCTCGTGTGACCTTCCTGGAGCCCAGTAAGCTTGAAAGCTTTTTCTGCAGCAGGAAAACCTGGTGCGGAAATAGTTTTTTATGCCCTCTGGTTTGCTGGGCTCTGGAAAGGTCTCGTGAGATTTCAGATGGCCTTTCCCAACTGCCCACCACCCTCCCCATCTCTCCATTTATTTATTATCCCCCGCCTCCTCCCATGCAAAGCTGCAAATGCATAAGTAAATCACGCGTGAGTTGTGGCCCTACTGTACGTTTGTGATTGTGAGGTTCCCACAAGGAAGGTTTTCATTTTATCCTAACCCCCACCCCTGTTTCTTGTCCTAGTTCCGCAACGCGCTGACCAGAAGGTCACCGAGACAATCGAGAAGATGGTGGAGGGCATCGTTTCCGGCACTCTGAAAGGGAAAGAGAGAGCTCAGTTGAAGGACAACCCAGAGTACTGGTAAATATCTTCTGGTAGTGTTTTTTTTAATGGCTGACCTGATCAAGCGTTGCTTCCTCTGGTTAGACCCAGTGGCACTACAGTTATTTCCAGACCCTGGGATCGCTGGAGGACTGGTGGCCCTCCTGGCAAATGGCCTGGTGGGTTCTGGATCACCAGTTCTTCCTTGCCCCCAAAATCCAGGCAACCGAGTGTCCCTTCGTGGTCGCCATCTGTAATAAATGAAAATCTGCCCTTATTCCCCTATGGGGAACACAGGAGCCCTTATAGAGTCCTTTGTAGGTTCTCCATCGGTTGGAGAAAAGAGAGGCCAACCAGAGAATATTGAGAAGCAAAGCAGCTAGTAAGCCTGATCTTTATTTAACTGTTGCAACAGGGTGCTCCCCTCACACACAGGAAAGGAGGAGGACATCCTCTGGTAGTTTTGTGTTTTTTTCCGCTCCCTTGACTCTCAGAGCCTGCCAGGAACAGGGCTTCTCGGGCCAGCCTAACTTACCTTTTTAATACCGGCTCCTTATTTGTATAACTCAAATCGTTTCACAAAGCAGTGCCTACACTTTGGAACTCCCTGCCTATTGATATCAGGCAGGTGCCTTCACTGTATCATTTTCGGTGCCTGAAAACATTCTTGTTCAGAAAAGCCTACCCAGATGTTTAGAAAGTTGATGTGAATTTTAACTGGTTTTGGTCTATTCTTTTTAACTTTTTGTACATTTTAAGTTATTGTTGTAAATTGTTTCTCGTGATAATTCTACTGTTCTGATTAGCTGCTCCTTTCCCCCCTGGTCAAAACAGGTTTCTGAAGGAAGAGGACAGCCTGGAGCACAAATATTACAAGCTCAAGCTGTCCGAGATGCATCGGCTGAGGTCTGCAGCCAAGGAAAAGCCCAAGCAGGAGAAGACCCCTGAGCTGCAGGATTTGGCTGTCATGCAGGCCTTGCTGCGCGCCCGCAAGGTCCTCCGCATCAAGAAGCGGCTCTTCTCGAAGAGGAGGCCCAGGATCCTTCAGCGGCGGGTGGCAAGAGCCCAGAGGGTGAAGCGGGTCACCGTGGGGACCCAGACGCTCCTGTCCGCCGGGACAGTGCTCCAGCAGCAGGGCCTGCCGCAGAGCCCCAAAGCCCACCCAGCAGAGACCTCCTTGGAAAAGGCGGGAGTCTGCGACTCAGCCACCGACCCAGAAGATGCGCCCGGGGAAGATTTGAGTGCTGGAAGCTCGCTTGGGCTAGCATGCCAGTTCCCTGACGGTAGGTGAATTTCGGGGGGACAAGACAGGCAGGATGTGGCCTGGTCTAGGGCTGGGCGATATATCAATACTGTGTATCACCCAAAACTGGATTGAAATCCATATTGTGGTATCAGTTCCATAATTTTTGACCTGGCAATATATTGTGACTCACGATATCTGTGAGACCTGCAAGTATAGGGTGGTATACAAATTTAATAAGTAATAATAATAATAATAGGGATGCGAGTGGCGCTGTGTGTTAAACCACAGAGCCTAGGACTTGCCGATCAGAAGGTCGGCGGTTCGAATCCCCACAACGGGGTGAGCTCCCGTTTCTCGGTCCCTGCTCCTACCAACCTAGCAGTTTGAAAGCACGTCAAAGTGCAAGTAGATAAATAGGTACCGCTCCGGCGGGGCTGCTCTGGTTCGCCAGAAGCGGCTTAGTCATGCTGGACACATGACCCGGAAGCTGTACGCCGGCTCCCTCGGCCAATAAAGCGAAACTAGTGCCGCAACCCCAGAGTCATCCGCAACTGGACCTAATGGTCAGGAGTCCCTTTACCTAACAACAACAACAACAACAACAACAACAACAACAACCTTTAGAATACTTCCGAAGGCAGCCCTGTATAGGGAAGCTTTTTAATGACGACGACAACAACAACAACAACAACAACAACAACAACAACCTTTAGAATACTTCCGAAGGCAGCCCTGTATAGGGAAGCTTTTTAATGTGTAATGTTTTGTTATGTTTATATATAGGAAGCTGCCCAGAGTGGCTGGGGCAACCTAATCATATGGGTGGAATACAAATAATAAACTTATTGTAATTTATTAGGAGGACTTGGCAATATATAATCCAAAACCAGTTTGAAGTCCATATCATGATATCGGTTTCATAATTTTTGACCTGGCAACATACCACAAATTGTGGTTTGTGTGTGTTTGTGTGCTCTATGCAAAAATCACAATTTGGGGAAAAACATTGAAGCCAGTCAATGTGTCTCTCAATTCCTGCAGCCCCTGTTAACTCTGCTGGCTCAGCTCTCCCCTACAAGGAATCACAAGCTCAGGAAAAACCACGAAGCCAGCCAATGCCTCTACTGTACAGAGTTGCACCCTTTTTTCAGACTTCATGATTCATCACTATATCATGATGTTTAGCTGGTGATATATTGTGATGTTGAAAACCAGATATCACCCAGTCTTAGCCTGGTCTCGCTTTGCATTGCCTGCCAGTGCCTCTGCAGGGCCCTGGACAGAGAGGTTCTTTCCCCTTCTTTTTAGCTGGAGGTGGGACCTGTGACCCTTGAGCTGCTGAGCTGCCTTCCACTGAGTCATATCCTTTGGCCCACTGAGCAGCTGCCTTGAGCCAATGGTGTTTTCTTTCCTCTCCTTCAGTGGGAGTGGGCATTTTGTGCCCAGGGGCTTTTGAATCCAAAGGAGGTGCTCCTCTGCTGAGCTGGCCTTTGCTCCTATAATTCTCTCTGGGATCTTCCCTGTGGGTATCTTATGGGGACACTCAGGAGGTTGACCTCTCTGGCAGGCTCTTCTTAACATTAGGAATACAGGAAGCTGTCTTATCACGAGTCAGACCATGTTGCAGAAAAGACCTGTTCTCCTGTTGCCACTGTCCGGACCTCTCAGAGGATGAGGGCAGGGTCTGTGTCGGTTCATATGAGGAGAGGCAGTCCTTGAGCCATTTAAGGTTTAGAGGCAAAAAACAGCACAGAAACTCATTGGCAGGCCAGGATCAATGCAGTATGCTCAAACCACCTTGCCCTGGTGAGCAGCCTGGCTGTAAAATTCTGCACCAGCTGACATTTCAGAACTGTCTAGAGTCAGCCCCACATATAATGTGCTGCAGTAATCTAACCTGGAGGTTACTAGAGCATAGATGAAGTTATGGGCATGGCTGGGCCACCACCTGAACCTGATGGAAGGTCCTTTGTGCCCCTGAGGCCACCTGAGCCTAGTTAGCAGAGCACATGCCAATTTTGTATTATTTTCTGCAGCCGAGATACATTCCAGACACCATTGTTGTTTAGTCGTTTAGTCGTGTCCGACTCTTCGTGACCCCATGGACCAGAGCACGCCAGGCACTTCTGTCCTCCACTGCCTCCCGCAGTTTGATCAAACTCATGCTGGTAGCTTCAAGAACACTATCCAACCATCTCATTCTCTGTCGTCCCCTTCTCCTTGTGCCCTCCATCTTTCCCAACATCAGGGTCTTTTCCAGGGAGTCTTCTCTTCTCATGAGGTGGCCAAAGTATTGGAGCCTCAGCTTCAGGATCTGTCCTTCCAGTGAGCACTCAGGGCTGATTTCCTTCAGAATGGAGAGGTTTGATCTTCTTGCAGTCCATGGGACTCTCAAGAGTCTCCTCCAGCACCACAATTCAAAAGCATCAATTCTTCGGCGATCAGCCTTCTTTATGGTCCAGCTCTCACTCTCTCCAGACACCATGATATATCTAAATATTGCGGTCTTTAGCTGCTGATATATCACAGTGTTGAAAACCGGATATCATCCAGCTCTAGTCTCCAGTTGTTTTTGGACTACAACTCCCATCATCCCTATTTAGTGTCCTGTATCCCTGTGTTTTGTGGCTGTATCCCACCAGTGTTCCAGCAATATAAGCCCTGTTTAAAATGGAGCAGGAATAATTTTGTTATCTTCCCCCACCCCACCCCCTGCTTTCCAGTGGATCCCAAAACGATGGTGACAGCAGAGAGGCTGGCCAAGTTTGTGGCGGAGGTGGGACCTGAGATTGAGCAGTTCAGCATCGACAACAGCACAGATAACCCGGATTTGTGGTGAGCTACCCTCTCCCTCCCCGGGAAAATCATGTGGCATGCTCCTGGAGCACCCCAAGCCTTATTGCATGAGCCAGGCATTGCAGTAACAACACTCAATATCTGTAAAGTGGTGGCATATTACTATTACTATTATTATATTTATTAACATTAAAAACTTCCCTAAAGAGAGCTGCCGTCAGATGTCTTCTAAAAGTCAGATAGTTGTTCATTTCCTTGACATCTGATGGGGCGTTCCACAGGGTGGGCGCCACTACCAAGAAGGCCCTCTGCCTGGTTCGCTGTAACCTCACCTCTCACAGGAAGGGAACCAGCAGAAGACCCTCAGAGCTGGACCTCAGTGGCTGGGCTGAACGATGGGGAGGTGCTGCTTCGGGTATACAGGGCCGAGGCTGTTTAGGGCTTTAAAGATCAGCACCAGGCCTTTGAATTGTGCTTGGAAACGTACTGGGAGCCAGTGTAGATCCTTTAGAACCGGAGTTATATGGTCCCAGTCACCAGTCTAGCTGCCACATTCTGGGTTAGTTGTTGTTTCCAAGTAACCTTCAAAGGCAGCCCCACGTAGAGCGCATGGCAGTAGTCCAAGTGGGAGATAACCAGAGCATGGACCAGTCTGGCGAGACAATGCGCAGGCAGGGAGGGTCTCAGCCAGCATACCAGATGAAGCTGGTAGACAGCTGCCCTGGACATAGGATTGACTTGCACCTCCATGGACAGACCCTCAGGCTGCACACCTGGTCCTTTAGGGGCACGGTGACCCCATTCTAGTTTCAGTCAGTGCAGCAGATGGGTTATAGTTTTGTTGCAAACCGCTGTGATATATTTCTTTGATACGGTGGTATCTAAATGTTTTTAGAAATAAATCAGTGAACAAGCCTTGTTGTGAAGCTCAGAGCTGCAGCTTGTCCCCAGAATACTTGTATGGGCCACCTCAGGGTCCTTATAGGGGAAGCGACGCAGAAATGTCACACAGCAACAGTGCAGTGAAGTCCTCCTGTGCTCTCTCTCAGGTTCCTGCATGACCGTGAGAGCTCAGCCTTCAGGTTTTACCGGATGAAAGTCTACGAGCTGTGCCCCTCCATGAACTTCAGCGCCATTCCAGGGCCTGCCAGCGAGAGCCCCGCACCCTCGGAGGGCGACTGGGAGAACAATGAGGAGGAGGAGGAAGAGGAGGAGGAGGAGGAGGAGGAGGAAGCTCCCCAGTCTGGAATGGAAGAGGAGGAAGCTCAAGCAGGGTCTGCCAGCGTGGGAGCCTCGAGTACAGCTGGAGAAGGGCAGCCTGAGGGCCCCACCTCAGAAGCATCTGCCCAGGGTCCCCTGCGGGGCAGGGCCTTTGGGCGCAAGAGGGCCAGCAGCAGGTCCTTGAAGGTGGGCCTGATCCCAGGCTCTAAGAGGGTCTGTCTCATCGATGAACCAAAAGGTGAGTGAGGCAGCTGGGCGGGTTAAGCCTGGCAGGTAATTCTTTGTCAAATTTTGCTTGTGTCTGGATTGACCTTTGACCTCTGGATTTGCTTTTTTTGCATTACAGTCCACGACCCCGTCCGGATTGCGTATGACCGACCCCGCGGCTATCAGTCCCACAAAAATAAGGTGAGAAGGGGGCAAAATAATAAATACGTGCATTTATTCTTTAAGAGATTTCCAGGCAGAGGCCTCCCAGTGCAGCTTTCAAAGCCAGCTTGAAACCTCCATAAAATGTAAGTGTGAGCTTCTGTTCACCAGTTAGGTACTGGCAATAACCTCAGCCCAGCGGTTCCCAAACCTTCTCAGGCCCCCTTGGTTCCCTGAACTGATCCCCAATGTCCCCAACCCTATAAAAAGCATTGTTTAGAGGAGTGGTTCGCACAAATTTCTGAAGAAGACAATAAAAATTTTAAAAGATCAGTTAATTGCCCATTTATTCAAAGTGCATTTCTTTATTTCTCTTCATAAAATTTACCCACAGCTTGACTACAGAAGCAACCTCAAAGCGTTGTGTTGTGTGTTTTTTTAGGGTAAGTTTTTAATTTTAAAAAAAAGCCGATGAAAATGCAAAGTTATCACTAAAAAAATCTTGCAGCATAATTTAAAACACACAAAAAGTTAAAACAATAGACCAGGGCTTCCCAAACCTGGGTCTCCAACTGTTTTTGGACTACAGTTCCCATCATCTCTGACCATGGGTCCTGCTAGCTAGGGATGATGGGAGTTGTAGTCCAACAACAGCTGGAGACCCAAGTTTGGGAAACACTGCAATAGACTGAAACAAATTATTATTAAATTATTAAAATAATGTTGTATGTTATTAGAATATACAAATTATTATTAATAATATTAATAATAATCTGCTACGGCATTCTGTTGCCTTAATTCAATAGCTGAGCCAGGTGTTTATGATAATGATGTTGATGATCAGTTTTGTTCTCAGTGGCAGAAATCAAAGGATTTGGAGTTTTCCCACAAGCGGCTGAACCAGAAGAACATTGGCTTCCAGATGCTGCAGAAAATGGGCTGGAAGGAAGGCCTTGGGCTTGGAGCCCATGGAAAGGGCATCAAGGACCCCGTCAAAGTGTACGTAGCACGTGAGCGAGTGGCACACTCCTTTTTTTATAAAAAAACAAGCAGGTTTTGGAATGGATTGATACCTCACCACAGTTATTCCCTGTTGCAGAGGTCGCCAACTCAGTGCCAGCAGGCACCATTCTGCCCACAAAGGCTTCCAGTGGTGCCCCTGGGCAGGCGCCCCCAGCTCTGAGCTGTCGTTTAGAAACAGAAAAAAAAACCCCAAAGACTTTAGCCCTCCCAGAAAGAAACACCTTCTAAGTGATTTATGGGAAGTGAGTTCTGGTGTGGCTAGGTAAAGGTAAAGGTACCCCTGCCCGTACGGGCCAGTCGTGTCCGACTCTAGGGTTGTGCGCCCATCTCACTTAAGAGGCCGGGAGCCAGCGCTGTCCGGAGACACTTCCGGGTCACGTGGCCAGCGTGACGAAGCTGCTCTGGCGAGCCAGCACCAGCGCAGCACACGGAAACGCCGTTTACCTTCCCGCTATAAAGCGGTACCTATTTATCTACTTGCACTTAGGGGTGCTTTCGAACTGCTAGGTGGGCAGGAGCAGGGACCGAAAGACGGGAGCTCACCCTGCTGCGGGGATTCGAACCGCCGACCATACGATCGGCAAGTCCTAGGCACTGAGGTTTTACCCACAGCGCCACCCACGTCTCTTTCTGGTGTGGCTACCTTGCTTATTTTTCATGGTGCTGAGGAACGCTCCCCATTTCTGTTAGGCATTGACAGCATCACGGTGTGTGTCAAAGAGATACTCTGTGATCTTCACAGTATGTACCAGCAGAACACAGGTGACGTGCCACAGAAAGCATGAGGCTGGTCCTCCGACTTTTCTTTTGGGTTGGAATCATCTACCTTTGTGCCTTCAATATATCATCTTTAAGAAACTCTCCTCCAAGGGTTTGTCTCCTGCAGTGGATGATGATCTTCTCTAGGGGCCGACACTCACCCTGCATCACTCTTCCAGGACAGTCGTCTGCTCTCTTTAGCTAGAAATTCCTAATCTGGCCCAATAACTTGATGTGTGGATAGGTGAGACTCAAGTGTGGTGGAGTCTCCTTCTTTGGAGGTCTTTAAGCAGAGGCTTGACAACCATATGTCAGGAGTGCTCTGATGGTGTTTCCTGCTTGGCAGGGGGTTGGACTCGATGGCCCTTGTGGTCTCTTCCAACTCTATGATTCTAAGTTCTGTCTTCTCTTCCATCAAGGCAACCAGCTTTCACTTGCTGCTGTTGTAGTTTTGCACATTCTCAGGCAGAAAGACAAACATGGCAGCTTCCTGGCTGTCCTGCATATACCACAAGGCAGCGCTCTGGTCCTTTCATGCCAATGCCCCCAAGTCCTTGTCACAAGCTCCCAGAGGCTGCAGTCAGCTAAACTGACTTGGCTCTGTATACCTGAAGGAGCGTCTCCACCTCCATTGTCTAGCCTGGACACTTGGCTCTAAGGGCCTTGTGGCAGTTCCCTCATTGTGAGAAATGGAGTTACAGGGAACCAGGCAGAGGGCCTACTTGGCAGTGGCATCCGCCCTGTGGAACACCCTCCCATCAGATGTCGGAGAGAAAAATTGGTACTTTTAGAAGACATCTGAAGCCAGCATTGTTCAGGGTAGTTTTTAATGGTTGATGTTTTATTGTGTTTTTAATATTTTGTTGAGACTCTAGAGCGGCTGGGGGAACCCAGTCAGGTGAGTGGCATATAAATAATAAAATTATAATTATAAACAGAACTGCTGCTGGCTGCAATAGGGAAGGAGGGAGCTCCAAAGTGTAGGAGCTGCCACATGGAATGGCCGAGTTCTTACAAATGCTTAAGAGGCAACATGGTCCTTCCTCATGGGGAGAGTTGACCTCATGGCCTCTGTGAGAGGCAAAGATGAGCCCAGGCTCTGAGAACAACCCATCCCTGTCTTAGACACATTGCCAGGCTTCGTGCTTTTGGCAGGGGAGCATCCTGCACGTCTCACCCATAAGATCCCAACCACCCCTTGTTTAAAGTGGGTCTTGGCTAGCTGGTCCAGCGTCTTCTGCCATTCAAAGCAGACAGCACCTACTGTGCTGGACCAGCGATTTGAGATGGCATCTAAGTCTTGTGTGTTCGACAGGAGCATCTGTAGTGAGAGCAGCTGTTTTGCAAGTGCTGGGGAGCTGTGTTCGCCTTCTGCCAGAGCTGGGGTGGGGAGGACGCCCCCTGCCCAGCACCCTCACAGACCCGCTGCTGAATGAAGCAAACGGCTCCTTTACGAGCCGTGACCCCGGGGTCTCCCACCTGAAGAAAGGCCTTCTTCATGCAGCTCCCTCCCCAGGAGGCAGGGATGGCCACCAACTGGTATGGGTTTCAGGAGACAGCAGTTGGGACTTTGTAGCTCAGAGAAAAGGTGCATTATAAAATTATGCGCGGCATGGGGAAAGCGGGACGGAAAGAGGTTTTTCTCCCTCGTAACACTGTAGAGCTCATGGACGTCCAACGAAGCTGGACGTTGAGAGATTCAGGAAAGATGTAAGGAAGCCCTTCTTTGCTTGTGGATTTCCCATTGGGGGCATCTGGTTGGGCAAACAGGATGCTGAACCCTTTGGCTTGATCCACCTGCTTCTGATGTTCTTACGTATCTCAACATGCCTTTCTACTTCTTTTCTTTTTGCAAGGGGTTAAGGGTGCAGCTTTGTTTGCCTGTTTCCTAGCACTGTCCAAAATTGACTCCTATCCTTTTTGGGTTGGCACGAGCCAGAGGAACTGGGCGTGGGGAAGGACTGACCTGGAGCTCGGTCACCTCTTTGGAAACACAGCGGCCAAGATGTCGCCCGTTGGCCCTGCGCTTTGGTCAAGGAAGCCGTGACTGGGCATGTGCGTGCTCACTTTCTCTTTGCTTTGCCTCCCTTTTAGGGGCTCCACCTCAGCGGGGGAGGGCTTGGGTGTGGCGGGGGATGAGAACAAGGAGGACACCTTTGCCACCTTCCGCCAGAGGATGATCCAGATGTACTATCTGAAAAGAGCCTGTAATAAATAGGTAGGTTGTCTGCAGCAAGTCAGCTTTGTCCCCCACCCCCTTTTGAATTAATTGCAAGATTAAAATAACTGTTTCTCTCTTCTTCTGTTTTCAAGCTTTTCTTCTTCTTCTTTGACCAGGGAGATATTTTCTGTGTGTGCACAGAATATTTTCTGTGTGTGCTTATCTGGATTTGTTTTTAACTGTTTTTTTCATGTTTGTTTCCATTATGAATGACCAGAATGAGCTTTGAACCAAAGAAGCGAAGATCATTGTGCTGGAGAGAGGTCTGGAGAGAGGACAGGCCATCTTCTGAGAACCCCCCACCCCTTTTAAATTTGGAGCAATTAGAAGAGCAAATTGCTCTTAAGAATCCGTAACCTCCTAAACAAATCAAAACATTGCCATTCTTTGGATGCAGGAACGGCTGGGTCTTGTTGAGCAAATCTCTTAACAAGAACCTAGGATGTCAGGCTTCCCCCCCACTTACGCAAGGCTGACTTGCGTACAACCACGTGTGCATGCAGTGCCGGGAAATAATAAATCAATTGGCTGCTCCTACCTGCGGCTCAAATCCCCACTCTGAGTGCTGTGGGGCACATGTCCACACACACACACACACCAGCCTGGTCCTGGCTGCAGCGACAATCTCAAGGTGTGAGTGGGCAGAGGGAGGGGACATGGGCACATGGGATCAGCACTTGGGCACTGCACTGCTGGGTCTGAAAGCACCTCTCAAGGGCACCCTAGAGGATGGGCAACCCAGTGCCCCACTAGCCGTGCGGCCCTGAGCCAGCAGGTGAGGCACAAATCCATCTCCCAACAAGGCAGGGTCAGTGCTCAGAGGAGAAAAGGAGGGGCGGGGGAGAGTGTGAGTAGCTGAGCTGATCGGGGGGCTGTGGGTCAAAGCGGTAAGGGGAGGGGAGGAGGAAATCAAAGGAAGTGAACAACTGTGGCCTGGAAGTCTCTCAGGACTGCTGCCCGGGAGGGATGGGACGGAAGGCTCAGGGCAGCAGCCCCGTCGACGCATGTGAGTCTGTCTCTTCCCCATGCGCCCTCCCTATTAAAGCAGCATCCCCCCACTTTATGCAATTTCACTTCAGCATGTGGGGCCCCGGAGCATAACCCCTGCGTAGGTGGGGGGGGTGTGTGTGCCTGTATCCATTCCAGACAGGACAAAAATTGTACTGTCCTCTATGTGGACAATATGATCATCCTGCCTTTCGCAAGATTCAGAAATTCCACCTTTACACAATTTGATGTCTTTTTCTTTTCAACTGCTTTGGGTCTGCACGACGAGCTGCAGTCATTGAATAACCATTACTTGTTCGATTTATTGAACCATCGCTTTGTTTGCTTTAAATAAAATACAAACAGTATGTAGAAACCGATACCATGTAGGGCAGATACGAATCTCACTTTTGTTTCTGAGGTCTGTTATCAGCGAGGCATGCAGGATTTTGCTTGGCCTGCATTTCTGTCTTCCTTAACAGTCTTGGTTACCTTTTCCTTCTGCAAAGGAACCTTAGGGCTGTTTTCTTGCAGGAAGATCTCTGGAGAGCTTTTTTTTTTTGCGGGGGGTCAAGGTTGTCTGAAATTTGGGTTCACTCCATTGCTGAATAGGACCTCTCTAGAATGTGCACGAACTCTACTTATGAACCGACCGTCTTGACAGCATCCCGATCTGAATTTGACAGTGTTTTCTGAATGATGAGTGTCCACACACTCTCTTTCATCCATTTTCCCTCTGGAGTTCTCCAGTAACGATTTGCCACCCAGCCTCTCCCGGCTTTTCTGCAAAAGGCTACTTCATCTTGGTGACCGGACACAAACCAGTTGTTAACTCAGAAACATTCTGTCCGTTGTGGACCTTGGTTTCTCACAGCCACCCATTTGTGGTGGGGGTCTTGTGATGTGCAGGATCATCCGCACCTCCTTCATAGCCAAAGTGGACTTTTCAGTGGGAAACCACACTCCACTGTGGTTTGCGGCATTCCTTCCCGCTCAGAACAAGCTTTTCTGCCCCAGGAAACTCCGAATCAAAGAGTGTGGTGTTGAAGTCAGCCTGAGCTCCATGCCGTCATCAGGCGCATGCAATGGGGAACTTCTTCCTCTGCCTTTCTGAGAAATGCAAGAGTCGTTCATGGGAATCGGTGGGGCTCCCGCCGTTGTTTGAGCCAAGAAGTTTGCTGCTGATAGCAAGATGTTGAAGAACCCCACGAGACCCCCTTCCTTCAGCCTGCAGGATCCAGTTCTGTCAGGCTGAAGCTGCCACAGGGGTCTGGCCACCCTCCTGTTAAAACCACTCTCTTGCTTAATTTCTAGGGGTGTTTTGGTTTCTCTTTCATAATTGAGCATCACATTTTTATTTTTATTTTTACATTGGCTCTCAGCCCAACCTGGCCTTTTGGCCCCCTGTGAGTCAGATTGCTGATTCCCCTGGCCCATAAATGAGTTGCTGCTGTTTGAATAGCCCCTTTTCTTTGATGTGAAGCTTCTGTGTTCAGCCACAGTTTTGTTTTCACCCTGCCTCATATTTACAGCCAACTCTCGTGTCTTCTTTCGAGTTGCTAGAACCTTTTCTCCTCCTGACTTCAGGAGCTTGCAGATAGTGAGATGACTGCATAACCGAAATGTTTTCTCTTGCATTTTGTGGGAGGGCTGCGTTCCTCTCTTCCAGCTGATTCTGTTGCCTTTGTGGCTTGAACTCAATTCTTGGGGTGTCAACTTACGAATGTTCATATCCAGGCTGGGGGAATAAATGGCTGTGTGTTTAAACCCAATTTTGTTGGGGTGGTCCTGCTGATTCTGGACTCTCTCCACAGCTGCAGGAGTACATAGCAAACTTTGATTTTTTAAAATTTTATTTAAAGATGGAACACTGTTTTTCTTGGGATGGGGCCAAAGAGGACTTTTACTCTTCTCCAACCCTTCAAGATAATCATGATTACAGCCGGTCTTCCTTTATGCTAAGATTTGTTTTAGGACAGCATTGAACTGAGCAACACTGGTGTTATTTAAATTCCCATTGTTCCTTTCACCCAAGGATCTTTTGGGGTTATTTTAAAACCCAAGATCCACTCCTTTCCTGTGTGTGATATCTTCTAACAATCTGCTTTTCACTGGGCAACTTCTGGGGAACATCTTTAATGGGTCTGCAAAAATACTTTCAAACGCAGAGCAAAAATGGCCACTTGGTAGCCAATTTGGCTCACTAGTTTTTTTTTTTCTTATTCTAGTTTTCCAGGCTCTCTCACGAAGACCACAAGCATCCACGAACACTTTCCTGCTGCAGTTGCTAGGGCATATGTATTCTTTATCCTGTGTCTCTCCCCCAACCCTCCGTTTGGGGATGGTGGTGTTTTTTCAGTGGCTCTTGATCAGGATCCCCCCCCCCTTCCTGTGCCATCTGAACAGTATTGACCTGTAGTGGAAAGAGAAGTTTGTTAGCCGATTCATCGTTTCTTTTTTAAATGTTTAATGGCATGTAATCATTTTGCTTTATTTTATTTTTTAACAAAAAAGCCTTCAATAAATATGAACCTGATTATTAGCCTCATTTCAGTTCCTGGCTGTTACTTCTAGCTGCCGTACATACATAGGTGTCAGGGACTGGCTGGATGAGGAAGAGTGGCTTCCAGGGAAATGGCAGGAGAGTACAGTTTGGTCCCAGGTTCATGGTGGTGGGAAACAGGTCATGCCCCAGAGGAGGAGGAGGAGAGCTGGGAAATACTGGATGCTGGAAGTCAGGAGGGGAGGAACAGAAGGAAACACAGAAACCCCAGCCATGAGCAAGGACAGGAGTCAGGAATAACAATAACAATAATAAAATTTATTATTTATACCCTGCCCATCTGGCTGGGTTTCCCCAGCCACTCTGGGCGGCTTCCAACAATAGATTAAAAATACATTAAAACATCACTCATTAAAACTTCCCTAAACAGGGCTGACTTCAGATGTCTTCTGAACGTCAGACAGTTGTTTATTTCTTTACCATCTGATGGGAGGGCGTTGTTCCACAGGGTGGGCACCACTATGGAGAAGGCCCTCTGCCTGGTTCCCTGTAACTTCGCTTCTCGCAGTGAGGGAACCGCCACAAGGCCCTCGGAGCTGGACCTCAGTGTCCGGGCAGAACGATGGGGGTGGAGACGCTTCAGGTATACTGGGCCGAGGCCATTTAGGGCTTTCAGGGTCAACACCAACACTTTGAATTGTGCTTGGAAATGTACTGGGAGCCAATGTAGGTCTTTCAAGACCGGTGTAATATGATCTCGGCGGCCACTCCCAGTCACCAGTCTGGCTGCCACATTCTGGATTAGTTGTAGTTTCTGGGTCACCTTCAAAGGTAGCCCCATGGAGAGCGCATTGCAGTAGTCCAAGCGGGAGATAACTAGAGCATGTTTAATAGAGGCAACACCAGCACCAGCTCACAGCCTGCCTGTTGAGTCTGCCAGACCCACCTCTCCCCCCCCAAACAAGACAATTGTTCCACGTAACAGAACAGAAAACCAGGCAGAAACAAAGAGGAAACTTATGGTTTTGAGTACTTCCTACTCCTTCCTCCCAGCTTATCATCTCTAGGCTGCAATTCCCTTTCTCCAATGTTGTCTCCACAGAAGTTAGCAAGGACGTTATTGGCATACTCATCCATGGTCAGTAGCCTTGGATCTGATCGGGTTAGATCAAGAATGGACCCTCCAAATCCATCTCCTCCTGTCTCTCCTCTGGGGGTGGCAATAATTGTTCTGTGCACTGTGCCTTTCACAGCCACTTTCGTGTCTTCCGAGGTTGGCAACTGCTGTCCTAGCTCTTCTGGCCAAGAATCAGTGTCCAAGGTGAGAGCATGGAAGCAATTTTGCAGCTCTGATGACAAAGTGTGGTTTGTGACTGTCCTCCTCCTGTGTGTCACATTCCTTCAGGGGTTGGACTCTTGCAATGGGCAATCTTTCTCCACCCTGGGGGCACCCCGTCTCTCTTGGTGCTCGGTCTCAGTCAACTCAGCTCTATCAAATAACTCTGCATGCGGTCCTGTTGCTTGAGGTGTGACTAGGCAGGCCTCAAGTTGCTGCCCCTTCTCTTCCAGCAAGACAACCAACTTGCACTTGCTTGTTCTCCAGCAGAATGACAAACATGGCACAGGTGTTACAGCAGCAGCTCCCTTGCCCTCCATGCCTCTGGTCCTATGCACACCAAGAGAAAGAACTCTGGGCCTCCCCCTTAAACTCCCCTGCTAAATGCCTTCGCAAACGCCCATTTGCAAGGTCTGCTCAAGAGCTCCCGGGATCTGCACTGAGCTAAGTTTGACTGCTGCTGGTTGCTCACTCCTCCCTCAGCCTGGCTGTGTCCGTGGTGGCAACAGTTGGCTGTCCGACACACTTCTGCTTCCCTCCACCGTCCCGCTGCATAAAAAGCTGCATAAAAAGCCTAGATGCATTAAAAGCTGAACCAGTGGAAGGGGAGGTGTGAGAAGCAAAAACTGGGAAATAAAGGCAGAGGTGGCACAGAAGCAGGAGAGAGCAAGATCTTTCTACCCAGCAGCTAGCCAGAACTTGGAGAAAGGAGAAATTTCTTCAATTTATCTCTCTTCCGAAAAGCCCAGGGCAGCAGAAACACCAGCCATTTAAAAACAAGAAAACCTAAAGCAGTTTTTAAAAAAATCTTAAAAACAATTAAAAAAACTACAAGCTGTTCCGGGTAAAAACATTGTTCCATTCAGTGATCTTTGGGTTGCTAAGAGTGATATTCTTCTGCCACCAAATGCCTGGGAGTAAACAGGAATGTTTTCAAATGTCTCCTGAAAGTTAACAATGGTGGAGATGCATCTTTCCCTAGGGAAGGGCATTCCACAACTAGGGAGCCACCGCTGAAAAGGCCTTGTTCCACGTGATATAAGAATTAAGAGACCCAATGTGTATATTTTTGATCTTAATAATGTTCAGATCTTTTGCTTTTTATTGCATTTAACCTCTTACATTGTGGGGTATAGAAGGAGAAGCTCTTCTGCAGAAAGCAGTGACCATCTGGTTATGTAACAGGTCCATGGGTTACCATCCTATGGGGGGCGCTATATCCAACCTAAGATTTATGCAAAGTGGGACCTATTGAAATTAAACCATGCATTTCAGTGGGTCGGCACCACACAAGAATTGATGTTGGATACAACTCAACTGAGTTTGAAAGGAATATTGATAAGCGGAGCGTGTGCAGAGGTGGGCGACCAAGATGATCAAGGGTCTGGAAACCAAGCCTTAGGAGGAATTCCTAAAGGAGCTGGAGATGTTTAGCCTGGAGAAGAGAAGACTGAGAGGAGATAGGATGGCCATCTTCTAATATCTGAAGGGCTGCCTCAAGGAAGGTGGAGCGAGTTTGTTTTCTTCTGCTTCACAAGGAGGACCCAAACCAATGGATTCAAAGTGCAAGAAAGGAGACTCAACTCAACATTGGGAAGAACTTTCTGACAGTAAAACCCATTTGACCGCGGAGTGGACTCCCTTGGAAGGGGGTGGGCTCTCCTTCATTGCAGGTTTTTAAACAGGTTGGATGGTCACCTGCCAGGGATTATTTAGCTGTGATTCCTGCATTGTAGGGGGTTGGACTACAGAGGTGCTCCAAAAGAAATCGGAGCAAGACGTTGGGCACCAGGAGTTGCCAGAAGGAGGCGTACAAGGCGCTACTCAACCATCTTGGGGACTCCATTCTGGATTTGTGTTGTGTTTACTGCTGAGCCTGTTCCTCTGAAGATATTCCGCAAGGCAGCGGAGGTTTAGGAGAAGAGTTTTCCTTCTCCTAGATGGGCTTCCTTCCTAGGTGGACAAACTCTACAGCATGGGCAGAAACTGCCCCTTGCCTGTTGGACCCACTCTTGGTCCTCTCCATCCACCAGAGCCTGTCTTTGCATGCAGGGGAAGTCAAAGCCGTTTCCAGGATTGTGGCCGCTGTCGCATGCTGGCAGCTTCTAGGAGCCACAGGTGGGAGCTGAGTACAGGGTGGGGACCAAAGGTGGACAAAACCCCAGAAGAAGCAGGTATCCCCCAGCAGAGGTACTACCCCTCCCCTAACACCCCATACAGCCCATAAATTCCAAGTATGTCCATTGCAATTCAAGAAGCAATGTGGTTAGAGTGAAGGATTACAACCTGGGAGAGACCAGGGTTTGGCTTCCGACTTAGGGATGAAGCTCACTGGGTGACCTTGAAGACCAGTTGCCACCTGGGATTAAGGAGGGGGAGAACCACATAAACCACCTTAAGCTCCTTGGAGGAAAATCATAGAATCATAGAGTTGGAAGAGACCACAAGGGCCATCGAGTCCAACCCCCTGCCAAGCAGGAAACACCATCAGAGCACTCCTGACATATGGTTGTCAAGCCTCTGCTTAAAGACCTCCAAAGAAGGAGACTCCACCACACTCCTTGGCAGCAAATTCCACTGTCGAACAGCTCTTACTGTCAGGAAGTTCTTCCTAATGTTTAGGTGGAATCTTCTTTCTTGTAGTTTGGATCCATTGCTCCGTGTCCGCTTCTCTGGAGCAGCAGAAAACAACCTTTCTCCCTCCTCTATGTGACAACCTTTTATATATTTGAACATGGCTATCATATCACCCCTTAACCTCCTCTTCTCCAGGCTAAACATGCCCAGCTCCCTTAGCCATTCCTCATAAATGGTGGTGTATAAATCCAATAAATAAATATAAGTATAAATAAAGGAAATAAAGGGCCCATTAATTTCCGTGGGTTTCCTCTGAGTAGGCTTTATTTAGATGCAAACCTGTAAACGCAACAAACAAACAAACAGGAGTAGAGAAGAACATAGAATCATATAGTTGGAAGGGACCCTGCAATAAAAAATAACGAAAGATCTGGCTTAGGCTGCTCTGAAATTGAAGGTGGCGCAAGACACCAAGATGTCAGCCCTCCTGAAAGCAGACTCACTAAAATGAAATAGGTCTAACTTGGCTCCATTAATTTGGATGGTTCTACTGAATAGAAGTTTAGTAGAAATTTAATTTGGATGGATCTACTGAATAGAAGTTTAGGCTCATAAGAAAACTAATTCATATAATTATTTTTTGTTCTGGTTTTCATTATGTATTTTGTGTCCCCCCCCGCCCCGTTTTTTAAATGCTGTAAACTGCCCTGAGATCATTATCATTATTATTATTATTACAAAACACAGAATTGCAGTAAGGAGTAGGGTGTAAGGAGATCACAATAATTGGCAATCTGTTTGTTTCAAAGTCCAGAACTGAAGCCTGCCTATTGATTGATTGATTGATTGATTGATTACTTGCAAAGTCCAGAACTGAAGCACCGAAGCTGCTGCTGATTATTATTATTATACTACTATTTACTTATTGTTATTACAAAATACATAACTGCAGCTTGGCGTAGGGTGGAGGGACCCCAATTATTACCAATAACAGTTGGTAATAATCCATTTGATGGACCGATTGTTTCGCACTCCAGAATTGCAGGGAAGCCTCGCGCGTCCGCCCCGCCCCCCCCAAGCTCCTTTGTTCGCCCCCCCCCCAGCGACGCGCGCGCCGGAGCTCGGAGGGGGCGGGGCCAGGGGCGGCGCAGGTCACGTGGGCGTATAAAAGCGCCCCCCCCCCCGGCCGTTTCCCCCTCCCCCGCCAGGTAATTTGAGGAGCGGGGAAAGCCGGCGGAGGGGGGGGGGGGATTCCTGATGATAATAATATTGGCAGGCTTAATAATTTGGTGGGGGTGAGGGCTGAAAATAAAGTGGGGGGGGCGCCTGAGGGCACCTAGAAAATGGGGGCTTGTGGCAGGTGAATAAAAAGGTGGGGTTGATAAGGGCGAAACTGGGGAGGGGGCTGTAATAGGGGGACCCCAAAGGCCCTCTAGTCCAGCCCCCCGGCAAAGCATGAAAGAAGGGTATCCTGAGGAGAATTTGGGGCGTGGGGGGGAGCTGGTAAAATTGGAGGGGAGGGGCTGCCCTGAGGAGAATTATGGGAGATCATCCTCCTAGTGGGGGGCAGGGGGGGCTGCAACTGAGGACCAGGGAGGGGGCTTCCTGAGAGGAATATTTTGGGGTTGGGGTGTCTTTGGTCCTTTTGTGGGGAGATGCCCTTGGAGAGTTAATATGGGGATATTTGGTGGGGGGAGGGGAGATGTCCTGAGGATCTGGACACATATATATATATAGAGGTCATTACAGGACAAAGAAACAAACTGCCAAGTGATGGGGGGGGCTAGGGTTACTTGCACTTTGACATGCTTTTGAACTGCTCGCTTGGCAGGAGCAGGGACCGAGCAACGGGAGCTCACCCCGTCATGGGGATTCGAACCGCCGACCTTCTGATCGGCAAGCCCTGGGCTCTGTGGTTTAACCCACAGCGCCTATTGTGGCAACAGTAGGATTCAAGGATTCTCTCCCATGTCAGACCTCTTCAGATGAAATTCAACAACTTAGGCCCAGACCTTTATTTTGTATTGCAAAACTTACAAAGAATAATAAGAATAAGCTCTAAGTGGTTTGCAAAAAAAATTGAAATGATCAATAAAGCACGGTTCCAAACAACTAAAACCTTTCAAAAGGTAATTAACACTAGCAGCAAGAGATTAAAGCACACTTTGTCAGCATTATCTTGCATTACCTGACATTACATATTTTACATTATCTTGTCAGTTTATCTTACAGTTTATCTCTATTGTAAGGTTAATGGCAAGATAAGGACCGCTCAGAATGCCTAATGTTAATTATTTTTAAATTTTTATTTCCACATTTATGTACACCACTTCATTATGACAGAGCCCCAAAGCGGTTCACAAAAAGAAAAATTAGATTATCAATAAAAGCAGTTAAAAACAGGTGTTCTTAAAACATTTCAAAGGTGATTGAAATCAACAGTAGCACTAAAATCAAGGATGCATGTAACTCCTACATGTCTGGAGAGGCTGGCCTAAACAAAAAATATTTTAAGCAGGTTCAAAAAAGAGTGCAGTGGAGTTGCCTGCCTGAGGTCAACAGGCAGGGAGTTCCAAAGTGCAGGTTCCACCATGCTAAAATTGTTGCCTTCCTACAGCTGTGGCAGGAGTTTTATTTGGCACTTGTAACCATGTTATGAGTCTGTTCTGAGTATAAGCCGCCCAGAGTGGGTGGGGCATATTTTTATTACTACTACTACAACTACTATTATTATTATTGGAATTTGTTGGATACCACCTCTGGAAAATGGTATCCAACCAGCTGCACAAATATAAGCCTGGGGACACCTGGCTTGCCAGTAGTAGATGTGAAAAGGATTTAGGGGTCTTAGTAGACCACAAGCTGAACATGAATCAACAGTGTGATGCAGCAGGGAAAAAAGTGAATGCTATTCTAGGCTGCAGCACCAGAAGTCTTGTGTCCTGATGAAGGGAAGTCATAATCCTGCTCTGTTCTGCAGGTCAGATCACACCCCTGGAGTCCTGTGTCCAGTTCTGGACGCCACAATTTAAGAAGCAAAAATGGTGATTGGTATTTGTGTGCGTGTAAGGGCTCTGTTCTAAAGGTAATAATAGGTTGGCTAGGACCCGGGAGACCTGGCTTTGGATCCACACTCAGCCATGAAGCTCTCCAGCTGCCCTTGAGCCAGTCACTGCTTCTCAGCTGAATCTGCCTCACCGGGTTCTTGTGAGGATAAAACGGGGGCCAGGACAGAACCATGCACAGCTTACATACAGGGTCACGTTTAAGGTGCTGGTTTTGACCTTTAAAGCCCTATGCGGCCTAGGACCCTCGTACCTACAGGACCACCTCTTCCGGTATGCCCTGCGGAGACCTTAAAGTCCACAAATAACAGCACTGGAGGTCCCAAGTCGCAAGGTGGTTAGATTGGTCTCAACTAGGGCCTTTTCAGTACTGGCCCCGACTTGGTGGAACGCTCTGTCACAAGAGACCAGGGCCCTGAGGGACTTGACATCTTTCCGCAGGGCCTGCAAGACAGAGCTGTTCCACCTGGCCTTTGGTATGGACTCAGTCTGACCCTTAAGTTTCCCTTCCCTTAGGGTTTTGATCTATGGGCTAATTTTAAAATGAGGCTGCATTTTAAATTGTATTTTAACCCGTATTTTAATAAACTGGTTTTTTGTTTGTTTGTTTGTTTGTTCTCTCCCCCCCCTCCCATTATGTTTTATTGAAATTTTATTGGTGTTAGCCACCCTGAGCCCGGCTGTGGTTGGGGAGGGTGGGGTATAAATAAAAATGTATTATTATTATTATAAGAAAGAAAGAAATTGTCTAGGGTTTATTGTAAAGTCCACCGTAGAGACTGCAAACATTGCCGTATAAAACCTTTGAAACCGTCTTTTGCACCTCAGGTTGTTCAAGGCTACTGAGCCAACGTGGGAGAGACTGCAGGGCTCTGCAACGAAATGTCGGGCGTCATCACAGCCTTCTTTCACCTTCTTGCCCTCTGGGGGACGATCCGGTCACTCAACAACACACAGGGTCTTCTGGACTGTGTACCAAGAAAAACGGTGGTGTACCACTGTGGGTGTCCCACAACAATTGTTAATGAAAAGGGTGCTGAGGCAGTCTGTAGGACTCTGTCAGCCTTTGCCAACCTGGTGCCCTCCAGAGGTTTTGGACTAAAACTCCCATCAATTGGAGGGCACCAGCTGACAAAGTCAGGGCTAGGGAGATCTGATACAACAGGGCAACTTCTTGTTTTCTTAGAAGGGATCATTTTCATTATTGTTATAGCTGGGGTAACAGTGCATATTAGAAACTAATAAAATGTAGTATTCAGATAATATTTGTATATGAAGGGAAAATACAAGCTTCAGAATTGTGCCAGGCAAAGAATTAATGGGTTAGTTTATGCAAACCAACCTGGCCAGGCTAGCTAAGGCTAGCTGTTAAGGAACAATGGGGAACCAAGTACTGAGCTATTAAGAATTGTCTGCTCACCCAGGAGTGGTCGGAACTGGCAGGTTGCCAAGGTGGCGGTGGGTGTGATGTAACAGGAAAATTTGTACTTTTTGAAATCTAAATGTTTGCTGGAGGTGGAGTGTAGGAGGGACAAGCTCCTCCTGAGGTGAGAACGCTGTAAGGGCACATGAGATTGGGTCCACAAAAGGCTGGAGGCCACATAGGGTATTGCCCCTCTGTATTCTAAAGCTAACTTATTTACATCAGGTTGAATCCGGAGACTTGCATTTGTTGAACTTGGGCCCCACCAAAATCAATGTGAACATTTAAGCACAGCAGAACCTGAGTCCCGTGCATTTCCATGAGAAACTTGGGGCAGCTGACGTAGTCTGGATTCAACCCATCACCTGTAGACCAATTTACCACTGGCAGGGAACAAAACAGAAAAGCAAAGGCTTGGATCTTTGTTCCACACGGAGTAGACCCACCAAAAGAAAGCAATGCAAGAGAAACTATAAGTAAATCTCTCTGTTTTGCAGCAGATAGAATTATTATATGATATATAATTATATAATTCTACATCAGATCATTATGATTATAGTGACAGTAATGTTCGCTAATTTTTAATGCTATTACTATAAGCCATTTTGAGCTCAGCGTTGCTGGGAAAGTGGAATGCAGATACCCAGATAGTTGTTTTCAAGTCATCTTTAGGCCTTGTCTTCTCTCTCCCATTTATATTCCATTTAAATTTCATTGTACACAGGTTGTACATTGACAATAAAGGCATTATTATTATTATTATAGCTGAGAATTTTAACGTTTTTTGGAAACAAGGACTATCCCATTTTTCCACCCTCTTCCTGAGTGACGAAACCAACATTTTGTATGTGGGAGCCAAAGGCTATATCCTTGCTTTGGACTTGAGTGATATCTCTAAAGAAATAACCAGGGTATGTAATATTAATTTATTATTATTTCATTGTTTAAAATATTCACACGTGTGTCTTTCAGGAGACTTTTTGCAAAGAAACCAAATTGTCAGATTATGTCTAGTCCCTTGTTTTCTTTTACTTTTTTAAAAAAGCCTAACTTAAAAGCTTTTTATGTCAGGGCTGGGAGGTGGAAAATAGGAACCTGCCTTGCCCCGGGTGAGATGACTTGTCCATTTAGTGCAGCATTGTCTACTCTGACTGGCAGTGGCTCTCCAGACTGAGAGAAGGTCTTTCCTAATAACCTGATATCCTTTTACCTGGGGATGACGGGGAACCTTCTGCCTTTGTGGCATGTGAGTGAGCCCCCTTGCAAGGCAAGCCGCTGAAAGAGCATCTGTGGGTGGGCGAATATGCCCTAAAAACATAACAAAAAAAGCTTCACAGCTCTGGGAAAAACTGGAAAAAAAAGCTCAACAACTTTGCCCCAAAAGTAAGCCTAGTATTTCCACTTCCAGCCCAGGAAGTGTTCAGCTAAAAGCAGTGGTGACTATAAAGTAGAAAATGGAATTGGTCTGCAGTCTCCGTTCACTCATCTTCATGTTTCATTTGCTTTTGGGTTCCTAGGAGGCCTGGTTTGCCCCAGAGAACAGGAAGTTTGAGTGCCTTCGACGAGGAAAGAGTAAAGTAGGTCTTGGCCGTGGTGCTTCTGGGTCACTTTAGCAATGTGGGTCTCTGTCCAGGGACAGAGTGCAATCCACGGACTCCAATTGCCCTCCCTGGAGACGGTAACTCTCCGGAGGCAGATTTGGGACCTCTGGCTGCAAATCTCTTAAGACCCTCACCAGGTTTAGGAAGCTGCCTTATACACTAAGTCAAACCTTTGGTCCATCTAACCCAGACTGGTGACTGGGAGCAGCCACATAACACCAGTCCTAAAGGAACTACACTGGCTTCCGGTACATTTCCTAGCAAAATCCAAAATGTTGGTGCTGACCTATAAAGCCCTAAATGGCCTTGGCCCATAGACCTGAAGGAGCGAGGGCCTTCTGGTGGTTCCCTCACGTCAAAAAGTGAGGTTACAGGGAGCCAGGTAGAGGATAGCAAGATGGGACACCCTCCCATCAGATGTCAAGGAAATAAACAGCCATAAGACTTTCCCAAGATATCTGAAGGGATATCAGTAAGTTTTTAATGTTTGATATTTTGCTGTGTTTTGATTCTGTTGGAAGCTGTCCAGTCAGATGGCTGGGGTACAAGTAATAAATTATTATTATTATTATTATTATTATTATTATTATTATTACCATCATCACCACCACCACCATCTACCCTGACGGGCAGCGCTGTCCAAGGCATCTCTCTCAGTGAGTTGCTGAGTCTTTGAATGAATGAACAAATCCCTGCTATCTTCAGTATTGTAAGTCAGGTGACTTTTGAGTCTAGACTTGGCTGCTTAACTCCAGTAGCAGAATAGCTTTCAGAGCTACGTGTGCTTTTGATCTGTTTCCCCCTTCCCCCCACTGTTTCATTTTGTGTGTGTGTGTGTTGTTGTTTTTTAAAAGGCAGATTGCCAGAATTACATCCTCATTCTGCATAAGATAAATGCCACCAGCTTATATGTTTGCGGAACCAATGCGTTTTATCCTGCTTGTCGTTACATGGTAAGTTTGCAAAATACCTATAAGTATCGTGCCCTAGTGTCAGGGACTGGGCAGATGCAGAGGAGTGATGGAGACCACCTCCCCAGGAGCCTTCCAGAGAGGAGGAAGGGGCAGATAGTGTAGATCTACAGGACTGGTTCGACACAGGGCACACCCAAGAGGAAGAACAAGAGGGAAGAAGTTGGGAAATAATGGGAGATGAGAATCTAGGTAGCATTGAGCAGGCAGAGCCCGAGCAGCAGCTGACTGACACGCTGTCACTGGGGAGACTCCCAGAACCCATTCCCTCCCCACAAACCAGGCGTTCACTGAGAATAGCAGAGCAGAGGGATTGAAGGCAGGCGGCCCTGAACAGCAACTGTATGAGAGGGGAGGAGTCTGATGAACAGGGAGGTACGAAGAAGGGGTGTGTAGTGTGTGGAGCTTCACTCAGAGCAACATTAGATACTGAAAGGTGCTTGGTTGCCTTGCCTTGGCATCTGGAATAATAGTAAAAAGAACTAAAAAGCCTGTGTTTTCTCTGCCTTTCTGCTTTCCTGGGCAGTCAGCCAGGAGCTGTCAACAGCACCCTGACACCTCCCCTTTCTCATATAGTGTAGTTGGGGGAGGGCCATAGCGCAGAGGGGGAGCAACGGCCTTGAATGTAGAAGGTCCCCAGGTTCAAGTCGCCAGTGGCACCTGCAGCTGGAGCTGGGAGAGTTTCCTGTCTGAAACCCTGGATAGCTGCTACCAGTCTGTGCGGGCGATACTAGGCCAGTTGGACCACTTGCCTCAGTAAAAAGCAGCGTCCTCCGTTGGTTAGCGCATGGTGCTAATGATGCCAAGGTCATGGGTTCAATCCCCTTATGGTCCAAGAGGTCTTCAGTTCCTGCTTTGCAGGGGTTTGGACTAGATGATCCTTGGGGTCCCTTCCAACTCTACAATTCTATGATTCTATGTTCCATGATCTGTGAGTTCTGTTCCCCTTAAAAGCATTGTTTATTTGTTTATGTTGCTTTAAAGCATATATGTCTACTTCAGAGTAACTTCTCTTAGGTTTTAACTCTAAAAAAGTGCGCAGGCAGCTCTGGCAGCTAAAACCCTGTTCTTTGAGCAAAGCTTTCAGTAGCAGAAGTGCTTGATGTTTTATTGTGTTTTTATATTTTGCTGGTAGCTGCCCTGAGTGGCTGGGGCAACCCAGGAGAGTCCTGATGGTTGAACAGAGAGGCCTGCATCTATTGGCCCTCCCCTTCTCACCTCTTGCCCCTTCCATCCCTGCCATGTGGCCCCCTGAGGGAATGTGGGCCTCACCTTGGCTGCTGTCTCTAAACAGAAAAGCTCCGCTCATTTGGTTTTGCTTGGTTTGCAAATAGGTCATGGACAATAGGAAGCTAAAGCTGCTGTCCAAGGTGGTAGAAAGCCGGGGAAGATGCCCCTTTGAGCCGAGGACACGATACACGTCTCTGGTGGTTGGTGAGTTTTCTCATTGTCACAACACCATCAGGAAGGAGCTGAGATCTTTCCCACTTAGTCATGGCTGCCGAGTGCTAATTGTTCCAATTAGGTGTTTGGGGATATTTTGGCTCTGTTGTGTCCTTTCAGGCCTTGAACAAAAGACTGGCTTGAAAAGGGCAATCAGAAAGCCGATTTATTTTTATTTTGTTACACACAGCCCAGTCTGTCTGCTTGCATAAAGCCAGCCTCCCCGCCCCCGCCCCCCCCTGGACTTTCCCCAAAGTTAGTCATGTCCATCCATTTCAATGGCTCTGCCCTGAGTAGGGCTAACACTGGATACAGTTCTGAGATGCTAACAGCATTTTTCCAGCTCCACCCACCTTTAATCCTTCCGTCTTGGGTGCTTAATATTTTGAATGATTCTGGGTCATGATTGTAGCCAGGATTTATGTTAGATGGGGGCCAGGACACCCACCTGTCATCATCCTCTGTCTGGCTCTGTCTAGCAGATTTGGAATGAAATGTCTTCTTTTGACCCCAAGCACTCAGAAAAATCTGTCAAAACATTTGGCTGGAAACCCAGCCAGATGGGCGGGGTATAAATAATAACATTATTATTAAATTATAATTTCAAATATTCTGGTTATTTATACTTTTAGTTAAGTATTTTTATTTATTTACTTGTTTGGGGGGGCAGCTGCCTCCAGGCTACGCCCATGTACTCGCTTGCCCTGCTTCTGAATATAGCCATCAGCCTGTCATGCACACACAAAATACTTGCCTGTTCTCTGTAATTAGTGCCAGAGATTTATAAAAAGCCTGTCTCTTTATTCTCCTGCCCAGACGGTGCACTTTATTCCGCCACTTCAAACAACTTCTTGGGTTCGGAGCCAATTATACTACGGAGTTTGAGGAATCCTTTAAGGACGGAATTTAAAGCGTCATGGCTTAACGGTAAGTCTCTTTTTTTAAAAAAAGGTATGTCACTTTAACCCCTACGCCAGGCAAATGTCGCCAATTAATGGAGCTTGGAGGTGCAGTGCTTATTTCGATCTCGTGACAGCATCTGCCTGCCTCTGCCTCTTGTCATGTACTGGGCCCTTTGCACATGCAATTAAATCTGCCATTGTTGGAAAACACACACCCTGCCTCGACGTCTTCTGGCGAGAAAGCGGCGCAGCAGCCAAACGCTACGTGCACAGCTTTTCTTTACATGGTAGCTTAAAAAACATGTTTTCATTAAAACACCAAACAGATTTTGTTAAAGGGAGATCTTTAAAAAACAAAACAAACCATCAAACCAGGCTAGTGCTGGAGGGGATTTTTAAAGTAGCCCAAGTCCATGTTTTAAAATACAGTATCCCAGTCCTTAGATTGAAAGAGATCCAGGGAACTGGTGCACAGGTTTGGTTCAGGAAAGATTTGGGTTGGGGGTGAGTAAAAACGTGTTGTTACTGTGTCCTCCACAGTCGGCTGACAATTTGCTTATGCCCCATTACTGTGCATGTGGTGCATACACTGTTAACCCTGCAGATAGGGCCGAGGTGACAGCAGCAATTGGTGCAATGGCTATTGAGGTCACAAAGGCACACTAGAGCAAATGGAAGTCAATTTGGGCTGGCTCCTTTGCGTGTTGCCTAAGCCACAGCCATCGCCTCCCCACGCACCTAGCCAGCTTCTTCCCAGCTGCACCTCTCACAAAGCAGTTGGGCAAGGACAGGCACTTGTAAATGCACCGAGCATTTCTATAAAAGCTAAGGCTCTCCGTATTATCTTGACCCTGGTTCCTTCCTAATTTCATTTCCCTTCGGCCTCATTCTCCGTCTTCTCGTAGAATCATGGAATCCTGGAGTTGGGACCCTGAGGGCCATCTAGTCCAACCCCCTGCAATGCTTAAGGACCACCTCTCCCCATATGAACTGACCCTGATCCTGTGTTCAACCTCTGAGGCCCTTCTTCATGTTCCTCCTCCATGAGAGATCCAGAGGGCAGCCGCATGAGAATGGGTCTTTTCGGCAGTGGCTCCCCATCTGTGGAGTGCTCTCCCCAGGAAGACTCACTTTGTGCCTTCATTACATATCTTTAAGATTTCTCTATAACCAGGTCTTTGGCTGATTAACATTCTATGGTCTTTTCAATGTGTTTGTGGGAGGGGGAATTATGAGTTTGTTTTTGTTTTATTGTGTATTTTGTGTTCTCATTTTGCATTTTATGTTGTGAAGCACCCTATGAACTTTTAAAAAGGATGAAATATACAAACTTAATAACTAAATAAATAAATACCGCAAATGGCTTTGCCTTCCGTGGAACCACCTATAGATGCTATCACAGCCTCTCAGCCGATTAGCTTTGCAGGCTTCCCTGCTGCAAATAAGCAAGCTACAATATGGATGACCTTTCATGTCTCAACAATAAGCGCCATCTTTCAGCTTATTAAATTTTGTTATTAAATTTTTAACTTGCAATCAAGTTCCTCCCAAGGGGGCTCCGCCACCGATGTTTTTGCAATTTGTAAACGTGCTCCCCGTGATTAAGCGCTTCCAAATCAGATAATTAATCCATAAATAAAGTTCTTTAATCTGTTGACAGGCCTATTTTCACCCATTTTCCTTGCCATCAGAAAGGCTTTATTCGCTCTGCCTTGTCGCAACAGAAAGGAGATGCAAGGCAATTTAATTAATTTCTATAAATGGCCCCTTTATTTAAATGAGGGCAAGAATGTTCTCATTTAGCCTGAGTGATAACAAACTGTCCTTTCTGTGAAGGAGTAATCTAGGTTTCTTTGTACCGCTGGATGCCTGATGTTAATCTATGCTGATTTTTGCTGTTTGCGAGTTTCAACACAGAAGGGGAGAGAGACCCAAGCAAGGATGCACAAAACACTTGAAATTTTAAAATAAGGGAACTCACCTCCCTGCTTTTATTCAGTTTCAGGGCCTCTTGAAAATCATTGGGCGATTATGTTTCCCTTTTTTCTTCTTGATGACTGCTGCGTGCTGTTTTATTGTTATTTTATTGCGCTTTATTGCCTTTCTGTACACTGCCCTGGGAGTCTTGCACTGAGTGTCGGAACGTCTAGAGGAGGGATCTTTCAAGCGCCTGATGAAGTGTGTTCCGTTCCGCAAGATATTGGGAATGCAAGAAGAGCTGGACCTGATCCAACAGACTCTTCTTATGTTCACATGGTCCATTTAGGAAAAGGGCGCTGCCCCACCAACCTCAGTCTGCCCTCACTTGTCCCCCACCTGCCTGCCTTGTTTCTTGTTTTTTTTTTGTTCAGTCATTTAGTCATGTCCGACTCTTCGTGACCCCGTGGACCAGAGCACGCCAGGCACTCCTGTCTTCCACTACCTCCCGCAGTTTGGTCAAACTTATGCTAGTAGCTTCGAGAACACTGTCCAACCATCTTGCCTTCTGTCATCCCCTTCTCCTTGTGCCCTCCATCTTTCCCAACATCAGGGTCTTTTCCAGGGAGTCTTACCAGTCTACTGTTGGCCTCCCTGCCTTTCACCCTACCCATCCCCATGGGCGCCAGGTGCCCCAACGGGAAGCCCACAAGCAAGACGGACACACAAGAGCAACTCTCCCCTCCTGAGGTTTCCCTTGCCTGCCTCTGACAGTGGCGGAAGGGCAGAGCCATCATGACTGGTAGCCATGGATAGACTTCACTTCCTCATCCTCTTTTGAAACCATCTAGGTTGGTGGCTATCACTACTGATTAGGGCTGGGTGATACCTGGTTTTCAACATCGCAGTGTATCACCAGCTAAACATTGCAATATACATCAGAATGTCTGAAATAGGGATGGAGCTGGTTTTCAGCTTTGTGATATATCAGCAGCTAAACATCACAATATGCTGATATATCACAATGTCTGAAATAAGAATGGAGTTATGTAGAGGCATTGGCTGGCTTCACTGCTTTTCCCACATTGTGATTTTTCACACGTGCGCACACACACACACACACACACACACACTATATATATTGCCAGGTCAAAAATTATGAAACCGATATCACAATATGGACTTCAAACTGGTTTTGGATGATATATTGATGCTATAAAATCATTTTTGTTGGGTGCTGCAGAACTCTTCCCCCCTCCCCATTTTGGTATCGGAGGGGGTAGATTCCCTCCTCAAGGAGTCATGAAGTTTGGAAGCCTGAGTGGCGAGCGTACGGTGCTTCAGCTGGTTAGGATCCTGCCCCTGACATTGACCAACAGCCCTGTGTCATTGACTTCTTCAGAGCCCACCTTCGTTCACATGGATCTCGTGCAGGAGAATGGGGCAGGCTCCGACTTGGACAGAGTTTATGTCTTCTTCACAGAAGCGGCGGTTGAGTTTGACTTCTACGACAAACTTCTGGTCTCGCGGGTAGCTCAGATCTGCACAGTGCGTACCTGGACCCCTTGATTGTCTTACCAGTGCGGGAAAAGGTCCTCCATCCCTAGGCTAGAACATGGCACCTTCAGTTCTGTGTGGAAGAGGTGGGAGAAAGAGAAAAGGGGGTGCCAGGAAGAAAAGGGCGGGCCCCATCCACTTTAGCTCTGACCCTGCCCACTATTGGCACGAAGCTCCCCCAGCCCTGCCCAGGGAATGAGGCCCTGATTCATGGGAGGGGGAAGAGTTGCTCGCTGCTATCTTGTGGGGTTATTTTCCACAGGGTGATCTCGGTGGGAGGCGCACCCTGAAGAAAAAGTGGACCTCCTTTCTAAAGGCCACCCTAGTCTGCTCAGCTCCTGAATCAGATTTTCAGTTCAATGTCCTCCACGCCGTCTTCATGATCAAAACAACCAACTGGCAGGAAAGCATATTTTATGGGATTTTCACCCAGCAGTGGTAAGATTTTCTCACAGCCATAAGAACATAAGAAGAACGCTCCTAGGCCAGCGTCCTGTCCTCGCTGTGGCCAAACAGTTGCCCCAAAGGGAAGCCCTCAAGCAGGGCCTGAACACAAGAGCCCCCCCCCTCCTGTCGTTTCCAGCACCTGGGATTTGGAGGCAGAGCCTGGCCATCAGGGCCAGAACCAATCAATAGCCTTCTCCTCCCTGAGTTTCTTTTAAAGCCATCAAAGTTGGCAGCTGTCACTGGCTCCTGTGGCAGGGAGTTTCATAGTTTAAATGTGTGCTGTGTGAAGAAGGACTGTGTTGTAAGAATTCTAAGGTCTGAAATATAGAATAAATGTTCATAAATGCACAAGGTAAGCACACATACATCAGTAAATAAATCACATGTCTGAAATAGTTCTGGGGGGGAGGGAATCCTGATGCCATCTTGATTCTTAATAACCCAAAATATTTCCTCTACAGAAGGAAATATATTGGAGAAACCTTTCCCAGTAGTTCTTTTCACTTACGAATCCTACAAAATCTGTTTTAAGGGCATATTTGTGTATGAATAGGGTGGGCCTCTGACCCGGATTGAAGAACTAAAGTATTTAACATCTCAAAAGAATGGCCAGGCTGCCCAGGTAATGCAGTCAAAAAAACATTATCAGGTATCCTGGCAGACAGGAGAGATGACTGCACACTCAAATTTTTCTTCTGGAACCCCTCTTTCTGTGATGTATGTATGGTGCTTTTAGTTACCGTATTTTTTGCACCATAACACTCACTTCCCCCCCCCTAAAAAGTAAGGGGAAATGTCTGTGCGTGTTATGGAGGGAATGCCTACGGGTGGCATGCCTACGGATTTTCCTCCTCTAAAAACTATGTGCGTGTTATGGTCGGGTGCGTGTTATAGAGCGAAAAATACGGTAAGTCTTTGGCTAAGGGGTTAGGCAATGTCTAAAGTACGTAAAAGTTTCTGCACACTTTGTTCTTGGTCTTTCACATCCTTGCAAGGAGGGCGGGGTACTCTGTCGCAACAGAAAAATAAAGATCTGCCTTGCTTTCTCTGGATCCTACCTCCATCCATTCTTCTCATGGACTTAGGGGACTCAGAGCCCATTGGGGAGTTGGGCAGCAAAAGCCAACCTCCAGTTTTTCCTTCAAAAAAGGGTGGGGAACATGTGAGCATAAAGCAGAAACCGCAGCCACCATAGCGATGTCGCTACACCAGCCTTCTTTGCGTGTTTTCCCTGCAACTCCCAACAGCCCAGATAAGAGCATATGGCAATGATGACAGAACTACATCAGCCATCCCACAGGAATGGCAGAAAAAGCCTCACTAAAGGCCCGTTAACATGGCAGCAACACAAGCTTTTATTGAGGTCTTGTGAATAATTGACAGATACAACTTAAGGGCGGCCCACATTTCGGTACCCTGGTTTGACTCAAGGCAGAAGTCTCCTTTGTGAATAATTTTCTCCCCACTGCCCCACCCTTTCTGTTTCTGACTTTTTCTTATGAAGAAGCTTTGTCACCAAAGGATGATTGGGAAAAGTGGGCATCTCAAGATTGCAATTAGCACCTGAGAAACAGTGAATGCATCATGCAGACTGTGTGGCCGAGCTGTGCTGTTGTTTCCCCCCCGGCCTGTAGAATTATTGTTGCCAAACCTCTGCTGGAGCAAATGGGAGAGAAGTGCCTGTTTCTGTAAACAGTAAATTGGTAAATTAACCAATTCTTTGTTTATTCGGGAGGCACTGTAGTTCACTGTGATGAGCCACCCGCTTTGCATACAGAAAGTTCCATCTCTGGCATCTCCTGTTTGGGGAAAAAAGGTAGGAAAGGGAAAGATCTTTCTCTGCCTGAGAACTTGGACCATGCTAGCTGTACAGTCTTTGGCTCGTTGGACAGCCAAGGATAAGGCAGCTTCATAGGCTGAGCCCAAATCCCCCCGCCTTCAGAGATGGCTGCTTCTTGCATCTCTGCATGATTTGCTTCTTCCACTTCTGAAGAGTGGGAGGGAGTTTTTATCTTATTTGTGGGCATATTTCTTCATCAGACAAATCCTTTGGTTGTTCCAGAAGCAGGGAGGCATTCTGGAAAGACTTGCTCTGTCACAGAACTGATTTCCTCTCCATCTTGTTTCAGGGGGAGATTGGACATCTCCGCCATTTGTGCCTTCAGGATGGAAGCTGTTCAAGACCTCTTCCAGAAAGGAAACTTCAAAGGCCCCCTTGCCGTTGAGAATTCATATGCAAAATGGGTGGTGCACAGGGGAGAGGTCCCCACGCCTCGGCCGGGCGCTGTAAGTTGTCCCCCTCCCTTCCCTGGTTGACCATCTATGCCCCCATGTGGTAAGTGTTCAAGTGGATATCACTTGTACCAAACAGGTGAACGTCTGAATAAAAGGAATACTGTAACCATCTTCCTTTTTCTAGTGCCTCAACACTTCTGCCAGGCACCAGGAGGGATACAGCTCTTCCCTTGACTTGCCGGACAGAGTCCTCCAGTTTGCCAGGGACCATCCCCTGATGGATGGCACTGTAAACCCCATCGGCCACCAGCCAGTGTTGGTCAAAAGAGGCGTGCGATACACACATCTTGTGGTAGACCAAACTAGTGGCATGGATAATGCAACGTACGACATCCTTTTCCTAGGGACAGGTAAGCCAACTTCCTAGACTGGGAATCGCCAGCATGGCACAAGCAGGCGCCCGTGTGCCCTCTGCTACCTCCCATGGAGTCCGCTGAAGGTCTCAGGAAACGCCTCCAAAATCTGCCATGCTTGAGAGACTCTTTGCTTTTCCTGCTCAGTCTCTCTCACATAAAACACTCCCTCTCTAAACATGCCTTCCTTTTGCTGGGTGCCAAGATGGGGCGGTCATCCTCCCATCTGTTCCAAACAAAGGAGAGGGGCAAAGAACTTCTTTCTTGGAGTGAAGGGGGGGCTGATGTAGGCATCCCCCCCCCCCGCAAGGTTGACGGGGCGGCTACCAGGAAGCAGGGGATGTCCCTATTTTCATCAGAGAAATGTGGGAGGATATGGTTATGCGACCCCTGAGCCGAGGAGATAAGTAACTATACATACCTTTAGAAGACATCTGAAGGCAGCCCTGTGTAGGGAAATTATTAATGTTTAATGTTTTATTATGGTTTTTTTATATATGTTGGAAGCCACCCAGAGTGGCAGGGGCAAGCAGCGACTTTACCAAGGTCTTTTTGGCTTCTTTATCAGATGAATAAAGTACCTTTTTAGGAGGGCGGGAGTCTTAACCTCACATTTTTCCTGCTTTTGAGTAATTTAGACCTTGGTTCCTTCAAAACAGTGGTCCCTTCTCTTCTCTCCACCCCATTTACTTTAATTGGGGTTTAAAAGTGTGCTTGATTTTGTGCAGATAAGGGCTATTTGCATAAAGCTGTCAACCTCCAGGGGGAGATTTTCATTGTGGAAGAGTTACAGCTGTTTCCATCTCCAGAGCCTGTGCAGATACTCAAGCTGGCTGCACAAAAGGTAGGACACCTGTCCTGATCCATCCATTCTGGTTTCTCTCACTTACTCATCTTTCCGAAACTTCAGTTCAGCTTTCTACAATTCTGCAGCAATTTGCAGTTTATTAATTTTCAAGTTTTGAAAATCCAGTGACATTTGGGTCTGAATTTCTCCCCACGTTGACCTTTTTTGTTGCAGTTTCCCCTTTTGCAGAGCAGTTTCCCTCAGCACAATGGATTTTTGTATGTTAGGCATTTTTATGTTTAACCTGTCATGTGTCCGTTTTGTACGTGTTGCCTGGCTGGAGAACTGAAATGCCAAAACCGGAGAAACTGAAATTTGAAAGAGTGGCTGCCTTTCAGCTTGGCCTTTAAATGCCTACATGGGCTGCGCAGCATGACACCACACCTTCCTCACCGTTTACCCTTTTCCTTTCACATCATTTTATTCATTTAGCTATTGCATTTGCACCCCACATTTCCCTCCAAGGGTCACCTGCTTCTCCTGCTCCTCCTCTAATCCCCACAACAGCCATGTGAGGTAGGTCAGGCGGGGAGGCAAGGACTGGCCCACTGCCGCCCGGTGAGCTTCTTGACTGAGTGGAGATTTGAACCATGGCACCCCAGGTCCTAGCCTGACACGTCTTCTTCTGCCTGCCCTTTTGCATGCATCTCTTTCATGTACAGTTTAGTCCAGTGCAGGAAAGATGTCTTAGAATCAGAGTTGGAAGGGGCCACAAGGGTCATTTGCCCACCCCCCTGCAACATGTCCAGCCTGGAACCCATGGCCCTGAGATTAAGGCTCTCATGCTCCATACCAGCTGAGCTACACCGCAGTCTTGTCTGCTTGGTGCTCCCTTTCCAGGGCCTGTTGTATGCTGGGTCTGCCTCCCGGCTGGTGCAGCTCCCCTTGGCGACCTGCAGCCGGTACAAGTTCTGCCTTGACTGTGTCTTAGCCAGGGATCCTTACTGTGCCTGGTCACTGCCTCTTGGCGCCTGCATCCCCGTGGTGAACCAGTCTGGGGGTTTGCGGTGAGTAGCACAACCCCTGCCCTGTGGGATACATAATAAGAATAGCTATTAGCATTTATGCAGCATTTGAGAGGGTTTGAAAGCTACGCCGTGCATTATTTACCATTCACTTAACATCACTGCCTCTCATTTCACTCTGAGCCCTCTAGGCGACCTCCGTGCCTGTAACTGAAACAAACACACATTATTCTTCTGCTTACTTCTACCTCCCTTAGCTCAGTGGCAGAGCAACTGTGTGGCATGCAGAAGGGCCAGGATCCACCCCAGCGTCTCTACACAGGGCTGGGGAAAAACCCCATCTGACACCCTGGAGAGCTACTTCTGGGGCAGATGGACCCATGATCTCTTGGTGTAAGGCACCTTTCTGTGCTTCTGTTTCAATAAGCTCTTAAGCCAAAGCCAGGAGGACTGGAATCTTACTCGAACTTTAAGGGTTGGAGCATGCAGAATGGCCTCTGCATCTCCAGGCAAGACCAGTATTGCCCAAACTCCCAGCTGTTTTTGGACTACAATGCCAATCATCACTGACCACTTGTCCTGCTAGTTAGGGATGGTGGGAGTTGTAGTCCAACAACAGCTGGAGACCCAAGTTTGGGAAACTCTGGAGACAATCGTGAGCTAGACGAACCAGCAATATGACTTGACACACAGCAGCTTTGTGGTTTTCTGTGGAAAACTTAGCTCTTTGTTCAAGACCATGAGGACTAGAATCTTAAATTTATCTGTAAAGGAAGGAACAGTGGTCTGACTCAGTAGAAGCTCCCCTCTGTACCCCTGTGAATCAGAACCTTTCCTCAGAACCATGAGGACTAGGATTTTAGTTTATTTTGAGGGGGAGGACCATAGTTCAGTGACATGTCCAGAAGATCATGTCCAGAAGATCTCACGTTCCATCACCGGCATCTCCATATGGGGCTGGGGAAAAGCTTCTCTGTCTGTTACCAGAGACTGAACTGGGCTGGCACAGTGTGCTTCCCACCTACCAGGCTCCAGCCCTGCCTGTGCGGAGAATAAACGCTCAAGGTGAGGCTTTGAAACCCACGCACTCAGCGTGCGCCACCGAAGCACATTGTTCTCTGCTCTCTCTTCACAGGAGAGTCCCTGTTCGCTCCGAGCCCCTCAGCCATGATTCTGTGAATTTCAAGGCCAGGCGAGGGTGCTTTCTGAGAGAAGTGGTTGCGCAACGCCAAATGCTTTTTCATGCCTGCATGAAGTATTCATGTTAATTCGCCTCTTCCTCCCTGCAGGGATCTGATTCAGAGTGTCAGGAATGGTGATGCCTCCAGGTGCCCTGAAGTGGGTAGGGGAATGTTTTTTATATGTATATATTTATTATTATTATTATTGTTGTTGTTATTATTTTCTGGAGATAATAGGGTCTGTAAGCAAGTGCTCTGCCTGGGTGTAGTTAGCCAGTTCACAAGTGGTGCTCAGGGCCAGAGGTTAAACTGGGTAGGGAAACACATGTAAATTTTACCTTTCTAAAGCTGGCGCCATAATGATCCATAGGATGCCAAGTTACAGAAGGTATACTGTGTCCAGAGCAACTGCTCCATCTGGTGCGCCGGCTGAGAGTCTGTGGTCAGCAAACTTTTTCAGCAGGGGGCTGGTCCACTGTCCCTCAGACCTTGTAGGGGGCTGGACTATAATTTTTTGGGGGGAATGAACAAATTCCTATGCCCCACAAATAACCCAGAGATGGGCTTTAAATAAAAGGACACATTCTACTCATGTAAAAACATACTGATTCCCAGACAGTCCATGTGCCGGATTTAGAAGGCGATTGGGCTGGATCCAGCCTTAGTTTGCTTACCCATGCCTGAGACCTACCTGCCTGTGGACTGTCTCGCCAGAGTGGTGCATGCTGTGGTTATCCCCCGCTTGGACTGCTACACTGTGCCCTACGTAGGGTTACCTTTGAAGGTGACCCGGAAACTGCAACTAATCCAGAATGTGGCTGCCAGAGTGGTGACTGGGAGCGGCCGCCAGGACCATATAACTCCAGTCCTAAAGGACCTTCACTGACTCCCAATGTGTTTCCGAGCATGATTATTGGTGCTGATCATTAAAGCCCTAAATGGCCTCGACCCTGTATACCTGAAGAAGCGTCTCCACCTCAATGGTCCAGCTAAAGAATCATTAAAGAAAACAAAAGTTCTCAGTTGATGGAAACCACAGGAGGGTCGAGGTGCTCTACTCTTGCTTGTGGGCTTCTGTTTGGGGCAGCCGCATGGCTGCTATGCAGACAGGAGGCTGGACTAGACAAGGCTGGCCTGACCCAGCTGCTGAAGGGCTCTTATGATTTCTAAATGGATCCTCCATGGACAGAGCCAGACCACCTTAGAAGAGTGGCGAACAAGAGTGGGAGAAGGCCACTGCTGTCACCTCCTCTCTGTGGGCTTCCCTTTGCGGGAACCTGGTTTTTGCTGTAAACTGCAGGAGGGGAGAGAGGACTCTGGTGCTCGAATCCTGCTTGCTGGTTTCCCATTGGGGCAGCAGTTTGGCCACATGAGAACACAATGCTGGACAAGAAGGGACACTGGCTGATCCAACAGATCCAACCTTCTTAGGCTAAGGAACTGCTACACCCACCCACTTTCAGACGTTGCCCACTTTTTGTGATCAGGAGATGTGCTGAAAAGTGTGAGATAAGCTGTCGAATGATGGAAAGACATATAACCTCCCCTGCAAAGAAATAAGGACAAATGCTGTCTGAAGAACAGACATCAATGCAACTTCTGGATGCTCAATAAGCAAGTTATCTGGAGGAGCACCTTCTCTCACACTCAGTCTTATTATGACATTTGTCTCTTCCCCCACCACCACCCATGACTCATAAAATCAGAGAATTTTAGAGCTGGGTGGGACCCCGAGGGCCATCTAGTCCAACCCCCTGCGATGCAGATGTCAAATATACAATTAAAACATTCCTGTACTTTTGCAGGGTCTGCAGGAAAAGGGCTGGGAGGTGGAGGCTGCACACCCAATGGCGAAGGGAGTTCGGGCACCCATCCAGGCAGCGGGGAGGCTGCCAGGGGTTGAGATTTCAAAGGTCATGGGAGTTGGGCAGGGGAGCCACAAAACCAGAGGTGCCTGTCAATCACAGAGCTTGAGAGACAAGTCAGATGTGAGCAGCCAGTGTGAAAAGGTCGCTCTTCAGGACAAGGCTGCAGCTAGTGTTTTTATCTTTTTATTTTGTGAAAGAAAGAAAGAAAGAAAGAAAGAAAGAAAGAAAGAAAGAAAGAAAGAAAGAAATCCTCAGGGTATCGAAGAGAGAAAAATGCCAACCTGTTGGGCAGCATGCTATGGCTTAAAGGGCCCCAAGTAAGCCCAGGAATCCTCTGACCTTGATATGACCCAGCAGTTACCGATCCCAGCTGAGAATGCCTGCCAGGCTTCATTGCAAGGGATCCTTTGCAGCCTCTGTTTCCAGCCAGCAGCCTGCCCAGAGCTCCAGCCATGTCAGTGCCATAGAACCCCCTTGGCAGTGCTGGATTAAACCCTGTGGAGGCCCCTAGGCAGTCTCCGCCCCCTCTAGTGGGATAACAGTGAACTAAGAAGGCTTGGTTGCAATTGGTTGCAAAGTGACCCCTGACCATTAGGTCCAGTTGTGATGACTCTGGGTTTGTGGCGTTCATCTCGCTTTACTGGCCAAGGGAGCCGGCGTACAGCTTCCGGGTCATGTGGCCAGCAGGACTAAGCCGCTTCTGGCGAACCAGAGCAGCGCATGGAAACGCCGTTTACCTTCCCACTGGAGCAGTACCTATTTATCTACTTGCACTTTGATGTGCTTTTGAACCGCCGACCTTCTGATCGGCAAGTCCTAGGCTCTGTGGTTAACCCACAGCGCCACCCGTGTCCCTTTTGCAAACAACTACATGATCTTGAATCCTAGATTCATAGAGTTGGGAGGAACCCTGGGGATCATCTAGTCCTACCCTCTGCAGTACAGGAATATGCAGCTGTCCCTTATGGGGATTGAACCTGCAACCTTGGCATTATCAGCATCTCACTCTAACCAACTGAGCTATCACTTAAGGGCAAATCATTACTGTGCCCCCAGAGTCTGATTTGAACCTAGGACCACTGTTGCTGCCTCTTTGGTTAATTGCGTGCATCTCCCTTTGAATCTGCTGCATGGCGACTTCTGATATTTCCCAGAGGCACTGCATGAAAGAATTGTGTTTGGTTTATAAAAAGCTTGCCTTTGCTCCCACAGGCACAGATTCCTCCCCCCTTCTTGTGTTAGCATGAACCCCCTCCTGGCTCTAGAGAATGGGACTGAAGGCATGTTCGCCTTTTCCTTTCGCAGCCATTCTCTTGAAAGCTGCCGCCTTTAATTTTTAGCCCCGGGCTGAACCCAGGGAATTCCCGGGGGCTGGGGAGTGAATGTCAGTGGGACCAGCAACGGCGGCTTGCAGCAGAGATTGTCGGTGCCGTTGCCGCTGAGCGCATCTTGTACAAGACGGCAAATATTAAAGAGCAGAAAGCGCATTAAAATTTCAGGAGCCCCAACCCTCCGTGCAGCACATGTTAAGCAGTGCTTCCAAAGATGCGAGGAGGGGGAAGCAGCAAGAATCTCTTCTCTTTCTCTGAGAGCCACTACGCAAATGGAAAACTCTTTCCTATAGGGGTCAAAGGGACAACGCTCACGTTGGCTGTATCAATCTCAGGATCACAAACACACCTAGGCTGCCATGGCATGCCATCGCCAGAACGTCATTTATTGCTTTATAACATCCATCTCCCACCCTTCCATCAGAAACCGGGACCTCAGAGCTGCTAGCTCCCACCCTAAAACCCTCAAGTGCTTGTAAACTAACAAAGCAGCCACAAATGGCAGGAAAAGAACATCAGCAGCACAGCCCAAGTCAAATCAGGTCTAAGAGCACCCTGATGAAACAGGTGCGAGCATAGATTACATGTGCTTCTGAATACTATTGCCCTTAAAAATATTTATTTATATCCAGCTCAGCCCGGAGAGCTCAGTTGGTTAGAGTGCGGTGCTGACAACGCCAAGGTTGCAGGTTCAATCCCCACATGGGACAGCTTCATATTCCAACATTGCAAGATCTTGGACTAGATGATCCATGGGGTGCCTTCCAACTCTATGATTCTATGAAATATCCACCTATTTAACAGGTGATTTACTGACTCATTTTTGACCTGGGATAGCTCAGTTGGTAGTACATGAGACTATTAATCTCAGGGTTGTGGGTTCGATCCACACGATGTGCAAAAGATTCCTGCATTGCAGGAGGTAGGACTAGATGGCCCTTGTGGTCCCTTCCAGCTCTACAATGCCATGATTCTACATGTGCAAAAGGGGTGGGGTTAGCCAGCTCTGGGTACTGCTACCAAAAAAACCCTGTCCCACATTTCCTCCCGCTGCACCTCAGATGGGGGGGGGGGGCCTGCAACTGTTTACAGGGTCTGTGCTCAAGGGCATAGAGGGCTCTTTTAAAAACACAAGGACTAGAAGCTTAAAGCTACCTAACGGTGACTGGGAAACTACAACTAGTCTGGAATGTGGCAGCTAGACTGGTGACTGGGAGTGGCTGTTGGGACCATATAACAGCAGTCCTGAAAGACCTACATTGGCTGCCAGTATGTTTCCGAGCACAATTCAAAGTGTTGGTGCTGACCTTCAAAGCCCTAAACAGCCTTGGCCCTCTATACCAGCCCAGACACAGGTCCAGCTCCGAAGGCCTTCTGGCAATTCCCCCACTGCGAGAAGTGAGGTTACAGGGAATCAGGCAGAGGGCCTTCTTGGCGTTGGCACCTGCCCTATGGAATGCCCTCCCATCAGATGTCAAGGAGATAAGTAACTATACAACCTTTTGAAGATATCTGAAGGCAGCCCTGTATAGGGAAGTTTTTAATGTTTAATGTTTTATATATGCTGGAAGCCTACCAGAGTGGCTGGGGCAACCAATCAGGTGGAGTGGGGGTACTACTCCTACTAAAAATAAGAAGAAGAAGAAGCAAAACAGTGCAAGAGCTGTAGGAGGAGGTTGGCAAGGAGGAGGTGAGTGTAGCAGAAGGGTAACCACCTCTGGCTTCTTTCCTTTCTCAGCTAAGAACGTCAGGAGGCTCCCTGTCCCCCTGGGTAGCAGCCCACATCTCAGCTGCAGCTCTCTGTCCAACCTGGCCACGTCTGTCTGGACATTCAATGGGAGCTGCCTGCAGGACGAAGAGCCCAAATATCTCTTCCACGCCAGGGGACTGGTCGTGTTTAACATGACGGCTTCTGACACCGGCCTTTACGAGTGCCAGTCTGTTGAGACATCCAACGGAAGAGAATTCCGCATCTCCATGTCCACCTATTTCCTTTACCTCCAGCAAGAGAGCAGCTTCGCTGTGGCTCCCAAGGGCGATCCATCAAATCGGAAGTGTGCCGTCTCTGCAGCTCCAAAGTCGCAGCCCTTGGCGTCTCTCCAGACGGAGGATCCGGCAAGGCTGGAGCGACCCCAGAGAGTCCAAGGGCTCTCGTTCACATTGGTGCTTTGGGGGGCAGCCTTTGCCCTGCTTTTCCTTTCCTTGCTCTCCTGGAACCTTTACGAGGGCCACCTCTCTCTCCCCTGGAAAAGTGTGTGGAGCAGGAGGTCAGAAATGGTGGATGCCCTTGGGGCAGCGAGTCCTGAGCCAGAGCCAGAGCAAACAGTCTTGATTCAGGGAAGCTTGGCCGCCTGTCCCATCTCCGGCTCGGCCAGCGAATCAGCCCTGCTGGCAAGCTCACCCCAAGAGGCATGCAGCGCAAAGGCAAAGCAGACCACCAGCCTCGCCGCGGGCAGGGCGGCCTGCTGTTCTTCAAACTGCCTGGTCAGCAAAGTCCAGCTCACTGATGAAGAAGGCCTTTCAGCATGACGGCCTTGGCAGAGGGTCCGCACCACGGAAATCCCACGAACTGTCCCATTGTGTGCCCAGGACGCCCATTTTCAGAGGGTTTGGAAAATAAAAATGTAAAGTTTATGCCAAGCTGCCTTTCTTTAATGTTAACTCAGCAGCTTGATTCCCACGTCGTTAGGCTGCCGTTGTGTCCATTGGGCAAAACTGTGACTTCTTGTCCCTTCCTTTGCCAGGATTCCTTAGAATCATAGAATCATAGAGTTGGAAGAGACCACAAGGGCCATCGAGTCCAACCCCCTGCCAAGCAGGAAACACCATCAGAGCACTCCTGACATATGGTTGTCAAGCCTCTGCTTAAAGACCTCCAAAGAAGGAGACTCCACCACACTCCTTGGCAGCAAATTCCACTGTCGAACAGCTCTTACTGTCAGGAAGTTCTTCCTAATGTTTAGGTGGAATCTTCTTTCTTGTAGTTTGGATCCATTGCTCCGTGTCCGCTTCTCTGGAGCAGCAGAAAACAACCTTTCTCCCTCCTCTATGTGACATCCTTTTATATATTTGAACATGGCTATCATATCACCCCTTAACCTCCTCTTCTCCAGGCTAAACATGCCCAGCTCCTTAGCCGTTCCTCATAAGGCATCGTTTCCAGGCCTTTGACCATTTTGGTTGCCCTCCTCTGGACACGTTCCAGTTTGTCAGTGTCCTTCTTGAACTGTGGTGCCCAGAACTGGACACAGTACTCCAGGTGAGGTCTGACCAGAGCAGAATACAGTGGCACTATTACTTCCCTTGATCTAGATGCTATACTCTTATTGATGCAGCCCAGAATTGCATTGGCTTTTTTAGCTGCCGTGTCACACTGTTGGCTCATGTCAAGTTTGTGGCCAACCAAGACTCCTAGATCCTTTTCACATGTACTGCTCTCAAGCCAGGTGTCCCCCATCTTGTATTTGTGCCTCTCCTTTTTTTTGCCCAAGTGCAATACTTTACATTTCTCCCTGTTAAAATTCAGCTTGTTTGTTTTGGCCCAGTTCTCTAATCTGTCAAGGTCGTTTTGAAGTGTGATCCTGTCCTCTGGGGTGTTAGCCACCTCTCCCAGTTTGGTGTCATCTGCAAATTTGATCAGGATGCCCTTGAGTCCATCATCCAAGTCGTTGATAAAGATGTTGAATAAGACCGGGCCCAAGACAGAACCCTGTGGCACCCCACGAGTCACTCTTCTCCAGGATGAAGAGGAACCATTGATGAGCACCCTTTGGGTTCGGTCAGTCAGCCAGTTACAAATCCACTGAGTGGTAGCATAGTCAAGACCGCATTTTACCAGCTTCTTTACAAGAATATCATGGGGCACCTTGTCAGATGCCTTGCTGAAATCAAGGTAGGCTACATCCACTGCGTTCCCTTCATCTACCAGGCTTGTAATTCTGTCAAAAAACGAGATCAGGTTAGTCTGACATGACTTATTTTTCAGAAATCCATGCTGACTACTGGTGATCACAGCATTCCTTTCTAGGTGCTCACAGACTGTTTGCTTAATGATCTGCTTCAGAATCTTCCCTGGTATTGATGTCAGACTGACTGGGCGGTAATTATTTGGGTCCTCTCTTTTCCCCTTTTTGAAAATCTTTGTTGCTGCTGGTCAGCGCAGTTGTCGGAAACTTGGTGGCGCATGGCGGGGAGCATGTGAGTCCCAGGGCACTCGTTGCTCATCCTCATAGCGAGCGCAGCTGGTGAGTGCTGCCAGGATCGCCCCCAGAACAGGGTAAGTGAGAAATGGGAGACAAGTGTCAGCATGCCAGAGAGAGGGAACTACAAGGTTGGCAGTAGAAAACAAAACACATTTCTTAAAAGCGTGCACAGCAGCCCAGAGTTGGGAAAGGGTGGAATGCCTTGCTCAGTGTGGGGATAGTGGCAGAAGGCCCAAGCAGAAGCACACTTGTTTTTGGAGGATGGATGCCGTGCAGTCGTTTGTTCAAGTAGTTTGTTTGGTGAGCTGTCTCCATTTGCATCCAAACGTGACTCTCCTCTTAGGAAATTTCTGCACCATCACACATTCATTTCTTCTCAAATGGTTTCCAAGGTGTGCTTATTCCTCTCTCTCACACCAAATTAAAATTAGAAACCACTCCTTGCGCCTGAGTGTGTAGGAAGAAGAGAAGTCCATCCTTCATAGAAGAAACCCAGAGCAGACATTCATGCAGGGGTGCAACTGGGAACCTCCTCTGGCAGGCATCGATTCTGCTGCATCTCTGCATCAGAAGTGACAGATCCAGTCACCCCAGATGCAGAGACATGTCAGAACTGCATACCTCCGCGGTGGAGGCTGATTGGAAGAAGAGAAAGCCAGAGTGGTGGCGGCGGTTCATGCAAGGATGCAATTTGCAGCCTCCTCAGAGGATAGGTACTTCCTCTGTGTGTCTACATTGGGAATGACTGAATGAGCCAGCACCACCCATTTTATTTTGTAAAAGTTACATACCACTTGACTAGGAAAAAACCCCTCAAAGTGGTAGAATTCAGAAGCGGGGCAAAATCACCTGCCTTCTTTCTCAGCAGAGGCTGATAGGGAAGAGGCAAAGCTGGAACAGGGACTTGTGCAGAGAGAGAGCAGGCACACTCCTGCATGCAAGAAGGGTTTGTTGAACTTCACAGACACTGGGGGATAAAGTGAGTTATTTTCAGGAAGGTGTGATTTGGCATCATTTTCTTTTTTTGCTCCATCCTTCCTGTCCTTGTACCACCACCATGGACAAATAAGATAAAATTCAAATGGTGCTAAAGACACCTTAGAAAGTAGGGCAAGTAGGGGCACCCTCAACCTGCCTTGAGGCTCATTTTAGAAACTAATTATTGGGCACGAGGCAGATTGTCTTAATTGGGTTGGCGGGGGCTGGAACGGGATGTGGGCATATTGCGGGCCATGCTCTGGGAGCGCTGTTTATGTGCCTTGTCCCATCTTGCTGGGATCAGAAGTGCCTCTCCCAAACGTTCGACAGGAAAGGAAAGGGTGCTTTTTATTTGGAGCATTAATCACCCAGCCGTTCACAAGTTTCCACACGAGGATGTGACTCAGAGCCCCAAGACGGCTCCTGCCTGGAGAAGGAGGCTGCGCCCGGGGCAGGGGTGCCGGGTGCTGGTGCCGCAGCAGCTCAAGAGGAGTCCCTCTGAAAGGCTATCGGATCCCTAACCTCTGAAATGAGGACAGGTGTCTTTTCAAAAGGGAGAGGGAAAAATAGCAAAAAAAGAAAGCAACCACCATCTATAAACTTAAGTAAATGAAGGGATGTTTTCTAAGTCCTGCTGGAAATATACCAAAGCAAGTCCATCTAGTTCTAATTTAGGAAACTTCCCCCGGCACACATCCCCAAGGGCTGCTACCAGCCATTATTATTATTATTATTATTATTATTATTATTTCTACTCTACCCATGTGACCGAGTTGCCCCAGCCACTCTGGGTGGCTTCCAACAGATACAGGTAAAGGTAAAGGGACCCCTGACCGTTAAGTCCAGTCGCGGACGTCTCTGGGGTTGTGGCGCTCATCTCGCTTTATTGGCCGAGGGAGCCGGCGTACAGCTTCCGGATCATGGTGAACCAGAGCAGCACACGGAAACGCCGTTTACCTTCCCGCCGGAGCGGTACCTCTTTATCTACTTGCACTTTGACGTGCTTTTGAACTGCTAGGTTGGCAGGAGCAGGGACCGAGCAACGGGAGCTCACCCTGTCGCTGGGATTTGAACCGCTGACCTTCTGATCAGCAAGCCCAAGGCTCAGTGGTTTAGACCACAGCGCCACCCACATCCCTCAACAGATATAAGAGCGCAATAAAACATCAAACATTAAAAACTTCCCTATACAGATCATGCAAATCATGGGAGGGAGGGAGGTGCTCTTGTGTTTCAGTTCTGCTTGAGAGTTTCATGTTGGGGACACTCATACAATTGAAGTGTTGCAAAGGTACCCCAAGGGTCATCTAGTCAAACCCCTTGCATACAAGACACCATCCAGCCGTCTTAGGGACTTCAGATTTGTGTAGGGTTTAGTCCTTAGCCTTTTCTTCTCCTGAAGACATCCCACAAGGCAACAGAGGTTTAGGGTCAGAGTTTCCTTTCCCGGGTGATGAGCCCCACCTGCCTCTCACTCCCCTCTTCAACCTGTGCAGAAACTCTAGGTCTCATCTGTTCAAGCTACTGGAGCTGGTCTTCACATGCAGGGGAAGTCTTTAACGCCTTGAGAAGCCGTTCCAGGGATTGTGGTCGCTTGCTGGCAGCTTCCAGGAACCACAGGTGAGAGCTCAGTTGAGTGCAGGGTGGGGACCAAACGACCACACCTCCCCTAACACCCCAATAGTAATAACAAAAATAATAATATGATAGAAGCATGTGGCCCCTGGAAGGCTCCCTGGGAAGGTGATACGGCTCTCAGGATCAGGATGAAAAGGTTCCTCCCCTCCCCATTATATATATTAAAAACACAGCAGTGCTTAAAACAAAACAAAACCCCTTTCCTTCCCTGTCCTTGCAGCCGCTTCGCCCCCAAAGAGACCCGGGGGTCCTGAAAGTGACCTGCGCCCCCGCAGAGGGGCTGCAAGCGAAATAGGCGCCAGAGCCTTCCAGCAGGTGGCGCCCAGGAGCCAACAAATAGGACACTCCCCCCCCCCCCAGCCCTTGGAAATAACTCAAAGAAGAAATGTGACCGAGAGATGAAGCAGAGTTGGTGGAGGAAGGAAGAGAATTTTTTTTAATGAAAAAAGGAGAACAAAGACCTTGCCAAGCTGCCCCACAAAAGGCCATAGAAACGGGTAAGGAGACCGACTTTGATTCTGATTTATTTGCAAATGTTTGGGGTCGGGCTTAGAGAAGGAGAAATATTTGCAACACCCCCGGGGGGGGGGGAGCCAGCTGACAACCTTCCTCTGTTTCCACCCTCTTCCTGACACACACACACACATCTGCTCAGCAGGAGAGGCAAAGTTCTTCTGGCGGGGCTCCCTCGTGGGTGGGGGGATCCCTTTGTGGCTTGCTGGGTGATCTGCCTTTGCAATGCTTGGCTCCATACTCATCCAGTATTTCAAATCTCTCCCTTTTGTCCGCCCGCATCCGCCCTGCCCCCCCCCGCCGTCCCCCCCCCCCCCCGCTTCCCAACTAGTGGATTCCCAAAGTGAAATTCCGGAAATTTGAGGAGGATCCGGATCCGGAGAGAAAGAGCCGAAGAAAGGAGGTGGGGAAAGCAACGTGGAAAGGATCAGAGGGAGACCTGGAAGAAAAGAGACCTCCGGGAGACGAAGATGGGGTGAGAAGCAGCCTTTGACTTTTGCACGGCTTGCACAAAAAGAATTGGGGTGATGGTTTTTTGCCGCTTTCTAAAACAAAAAAGCTATGTGTGTGCGGGGTTTTGTCAAAAAAAAGATTTTGCTTCCCATGAATGAACAGATTTGCAACAAAGCCAAACCGCTGAATCGCTCGAAAGTTTCGAGGTCCCGGGGAGAGGCGTTTTTTCTGAAATTCTCTGCCACAAGGTTCTCATTTGGAGCCAATGGATTCTGGTCAGGGCAGCCCCTGCTGCAAAAGGGAAGGATTTATTTTCGCCCTCTCCTGCTGCCAGTGACCTTTTAAACTGATCCTGCCACAGGCTCTCTTCCTCTTTCCCCCCCCCCCCCCCCCCCCCCCCGCTTCTGGCCATCACAGGGTGCAAGAAGTTTCATTTTAAATAATAACAATAGCAGTAACAATAGCAATAATGATAACAACAGAAAAACGCGGTCCTGTTTGGGTCATCCTCTCTAGCCCTTCTCTGCTGAAAGGCAGGATGTATCATTGGGGCGCCTCACTCTGCTCAGTGACTAGTTTCACCTGACCCCCAGTTTTGGAGAAAGGGGTGTGGAGCACGAGGGGTTATCTGGCCTCCCCGCCCCCTCCCCCTCCCCCCCCACCATTACCTCCACAAATTCCATCTTGCAACCCCCACTGGTGCAACTGCCTGTTGCTCCTCCAGCTTCTCTTTCCTTGGATGCAGGGGTGTACTTAGGGGTTGGGTGTAGGCCCAGGGCCCCCCACATAACCCCGCCTCTCCATGGTGGCTTGGAGTGGCTAGGATCCTGCCCGCTCCCCTGGCTGTTCCTCTGCTGCTCTGGGCGGCCGGGTGAGGTGCGCAGGCTCTTCTGGCAAAGGGGAAAGGGGGCACCAATATGGCTCCTTGCCAAGGGCGCAAGGGAGCATAGGTGTGCCTCTGATTGGATGCAAAATGTGAAGCCAGCTCTGGCTGTCCTCACAGCAGGGCAGGATTTGAACCTGGGACTCCCAGCTGTTGAACTCTCATAATCAATTTGGGTTCTGAGCAGGCAGGGCGTCCACAGGGTGACCCAGCAAAGTGTTCAGGAAGTGCGCCAGGGTAGCTGTATAGTCTAGGTGTCCTTCTTTAGTGTGCGTTCGTGATGACTTGCGCTCGTGATGGCATCGGGGTGGTTACGAGTGACCTGGCTTTCAACACTGTTGGCGCCTGCAAGAGTTTTGGGTTGGACATCCTGCAAATTTTCATATCCCCAAAGTTCGGGGTTTGCTTGCTTGTTTATTTTTCTCCCGACTTTGTTGCAATATCACTGCAACGCTGGGGGGAGCAAGTAATAATGCAGAACAATGTGTAGACAGTCAAGGATAACCACCACTAAAGGCACGATTATTGTGCCAATGACATGGTCATTTTGGGGACCTTTAGTCAGGAAATAATAATATCGTAGAAACCCTAAATGACTCAGGCCCCAAAATACCTTAAGAACTGCCTACTTCCCTACAGACCCTCTCAGGTCCTGAGGTCAGAGGGGGCCTCTTGGTAGTTACTCTGCTCTCAGAGGTGGGGGGCGGCCCAGAGGGATCAGGCCTTCTCTGTGGTGGCCCCTAAGTTGTGGAAATCTCCACAGAAGGACATCCTGCACCTTCATTGTCTGGCTTTTGGAGAATGTTAAAGACTTCCCTCTTTACCCTGGCTTTCAATGCTCGAGGTGTGTGTATCTAGGAGCCACCTTGTTTTAAATGGTTGTAATTGTTTTTGTGTTGTTTTAAATACAGTTGTACCTTGGTTTAAGAACAGCCCTGTTTACGAACTATTCGGTTTCCGAACTCCGCAAAACTGGAAGTAGTGTCCCAGTTTGTGAACTTTACCTCGGTCTAAGAACGGAATCTGAACGGTGGAAGGGCACCGGCGGCGGGAGGCCTCATTAAGAACCTTGTTTCTTAATGTGCCTTGTTTTAAGAACGGTTTCGGTTTAAGAATGGACTTCTGGAATGGATTAAGCTCCTAAACCAAGGTACCACTGTAGAGGCAGCCCCCTGTTTATGTGGTGCTTAAGTTCCCAGGCACCTTGCACCTCGTGTATAATTGAAACCTGTTGGAAAACTGGCAAGCTCCCATTCCAGTGACATTTCAGTGACGTCTAATCATGTTTCTGGGTCACTCCTGGGTTCGGTGTCCCAGTTTCTGATTTGATCCTGGAGTGTCCTGCTTTTCTTTAGGACGTCCCTGTTTTCATGGGGGAAATGTTGGAGCTATGTGACCCCCAAGCCAAGGAGATAAGTAACTAGACAACCTTTAGAAGACTCCTGAAGGCAGCCCTGTAGAGGGAAGTTTTTAAAAAATGTTTAATGTTTTATTATTGTTTTATATATGCTGGAAGCTGCCCAGAGCGGCTGGGGAAACCCAGTCAGATGGGCGGGATATAAGTAGTAAAATTATTAATAATATTATTATTATGGAATAGGACGTCCTTATTTTCATCAGAGAAATGTTGGAAGGTCACACACATCTTGAATGCACAAATACTGGGGGCTGCCTGTACAGTGGTACCCCGGGTTACAGATGCTTCAGGTTACAGACTCCGCTAACCCAGAAATATTACCTTGGGTTAAGAACTTTACTTAAGGATGAGAACAGAAATTGTGCTCTGGTGGTGCAGCAGCAGCAGGAGGCCCCATTAGCTAAAGTGGTGCTTCAGGTTAAGAACAGTTTCAGGTTAAGAACAGACCTACGGAACGGATTAAGTACTTAACCCGAGGTACCACTGTATTGTGTTTTAACCCAGCATGGGACCTTTGGGTGAAGGGTGGGTAATTAACAACAATAATACACCCACAAAAAGACTGCAGTCTGGAGAGGCCCTTGCAGAAATATGACACAATTGATGCTAAGCAGCAGAGAGGCTCATCAGTGCAGGAATAGTGCATTAGTGATGGGTTTATACAAAAGTGCCCACTCATCACCGTTGTTCAGTGGGGCTCTATCAACTCCACACCTCAGTTCTGCAAGGCCCTTGTACACCCCATCAGTTTTGGCATGGCGGAAAAAGAAAAAATGAAATACGTCCAAAGCTGGGGGGCAGTAGACAGGGGCACAGATGTAGACCGCTCTCTGTCTCTCTGGTCATGAAAAGAGGAGACGGAGAGGAGACTGGAAACCAAGCTGGATGAGGAACAGTTGAAGGAGCCTGGAAAAGAGGAGACTGAGAGGGGATAGGAGCGCCATCTCCAAACATCTCAAGGGCTCTCACATGGAAGATGGAGCAAGCTTGTTTTCTCCTGCTCTGGAGGGTAGGACTCGAACCCATGACTTCAAGTTACCAGAAAGGAGATTCCAACCAAACATTAGGAAGAACTTTCTGACCTCTCCTTCCTTGGAGGTTTTTAAGCAGAGGTTGGATGGCCATCTGTTATGAATGAAGTAGCTGAGATTCCTCATTTCAGGGGGTTGGGCTAGATGACCCTTGGGTCCCTTCCAACTGCAGTTCTGTGATTCTGATCATTTGACAAATGGGGACCATGCTTCTACCCTAGCTGATCTGCGTGGACCTCATGGGCATGTGGGGATGTAAAAGAGGAAAGAAAAAAGGATCAGCCACCCTTTTGCGAGAGACTAAGGAAGTGAAAGGATTTTCTCTCTTATTCTTATCCTATTCATTCATTGATTCATTCAGTTTATATCCTGCCCACCCTCCCAAAGGAACCTGGGGCTGCATACTGTGTTTATAGTGATGTTAGAACTGGGTTCATGGTCCTTCCTGTGAAAGTGCATAGAACTATGGAACTCGCTGCTGCAGGAAGCAGCAATGGACACCAACTTGGAGGGCTTAAAAAGACTGGGCAAATTCCCGGAAGAGAAGTCTATTGGCAGCTTCTGGCCACAGTGGCTAGGCTCTGCCTCCGTGTTCTGAATACTGGTTGCTAGAAACCATAGGAGGAGAGGCATGAGTGTAGCCAGGGAGCAGCGGGGGCAACTGCCCCTCCCAAATCAGGTGAATAAAAATACTTTTCTAAAAGTAGAAATAATCAGAATATTTGCAATTGAAATGCTTGCCGAGGTCACTTGTGGCGCATTCTGGCAACTGGCAACCGCCTACTGAGCAATAGGCGTGGCTTCTACAAACTGACCAACAGTGTTGCAGGGAGCTTGGTCCTGCCCTCCCCAACACAAATCCTGGCTACGCCCATGAGGGGAGGAGGCTCTCATGCTTATCTAGATGGGCTCTTGGCCTGATCCTGCAGGGCTCTTAGGTTGGAATGGAACATCCAGAGGCAGTCTATCTGAAGTTCTATAGGGTGTTTTGTCGCTATGAGGAGTAGATGGGCCTGATCCACATGAATCCACATGAATCTTCTTAGGTTCTTAAGAGGGCGACCATAGGTTCAGGGCAGACTGCAGACTGCTCCCAGGTGCGCTGACTTCTGGCGCCAGAGGCTGAATTAAGGGAGTGCAACTGCTTCGCTTGCATTGGGCGTGGAGCCTTAGGGGCACCACAACTAGGATGCAGAATGGAAGGCGAGAGGAGGGCTGTGTGCAAAAGTTTGGCGTTGTGCATGATGCTGCTGAAGTTTGAGACCACCGCTGGCACCATCCACTTCTAGCTGCTCCAAGCGGAATTGTCACAGGCTCTCCACACCGTTGGAAGTGCTGTGCTTTTTCCTGCATTCATGACCCCCACCCACCCCGTCCTCGTTCCCCACATGCACCAGTGAGCATGATGTTGTTCAGAGCCATCAGTGAGCGTTCACCGCAACCCCCAAACAGATGCTGTTTTACAACCTGGTTTGACATCAAGCTCATAAATGGCTCTAATAGAACTTACTCATGATGATGATGATGATGATGATGATGATGATGATGTGTTTTTAATGACTTTATTTTATTTAAAAAACTCAAACCCTTTCCAGTCACTCTCATTTGAGCACTGTAGTTAATGGCACTAATCGGAAAGGCTTCTCATTCTTCCTTTTTTGAATCATTAGGCCAGGCTTCCTAAACCTCGGCCCTCCAGATGTTTTGAGACTACAATTCCCATCATCCCTGACGACTGGTCCTGCTAGCTAGGGATCATGGGAGTTGTAGGCCAAAAACATCTGGAGGCCTGAGGTTGAGGAAGCCTGCATTAGGCCATGGGTGGGAACAATGGCTTCAAGTAACAAGAAAGCAGCTTCCAGCTCAGCATTAGGAAAAAGCTTTCTGACAGTAAGAGCTGAAGGACTCTCCTTCCTTGGAGGTTTTTGAGCAGAGGTTTGGGGGCCATCTGTCATGGATGCTTTAGTTGAAATTCCTGCATTGCAGCGGGTTGGACTAGAGGACCCTTGGATCCTTTCCAAGTCTATGATTCTCCGATCCTGTGATTCTAATATCTGTGCCCCTGCATTGGGCTGCACCTGACAGTCCTCACTAACTTCAGTCCATTGATTTATTGGAAAAGCTTCCCTGCTCCTGGTCTGTATCGACCAGTAACATCTCTCTCAGGTTTCCAGACTCCTCCTTAGCTGTACCTGGGAATTCCAGGGCCTGAGCCTTTTATCTTCTTCTGAATTCTGCTCACATGTTCTCCCATATAACCTTTCCCCTATAATCCTTTTTATTTTCAAGAATGAAACAGCCCTGTTCTCCACCCGCTCACATGAGATTGTCCTGATGTTTCTCTAAGGGTTGAGTGGGATTCCTCCGCAAGGTGCGAGCTCCGTGGACATAGTGTGGGGCTCCTGCCGTTGCGTTTGAGACAGGATGCGTGCCGCCGCCACTTCTGACCAACCATATTTCCTGCATGGGGGGTTTGGGGGATACCCTTCTCATTCTACGTTTCAGGGCAATGTGCATGAAGCCATGCGAGCTATAAAAAAAGAGAGAGGAGCAAACTCTCACCTTGGCCTGTTCAGCTGAGCTGACTCAGCACGGCACTGGGCTGGCTGCCAGCTCTCTCCGCTGCCTCATCGGATGGGAGGCAGCCGCGGGAAGTGAAGGCAGGGAGTTTGCAAAAAAGGCTGGCCTCTTCCTTGGAGAATCTGTAGAGGTCCAGGGCTTACGATACGATAATCTTTATTGTCATTGTCCCATACAGAACAACAAAATTGAAAAAATCTACATAAGACATTCAAAAACCAACAAGCCTGCTATCCCAGCCTGGTTAGCCCCCTAAAAACACTGATACCCCATAATTAAATACAATATACTACCATAGAGACTACCTTACACTGTGTTTAAAACCAAAATTGCATTTGGATAGAAACTGTTTCTCAGGCGGCTAGTCCTAGTCTTTATAAACCTGGACCTTCTTCCAGAAGGCAGAAGCTGAAGAGATCATTTCCGGGGTGTGCACTATCCTGCGCTGTCTCTGCAGCTTTCTTATGGCACTGTCTGGAAGCATAGATTTGATCCAAGGTGGGAAGAGTGCACCCAATTATTCTCTCCGCAGTCTGGAGAGCATTGTTTTTTCCCTGACCGTGAGCTCCCAAACCACACACACAGACCTAAGTTAATACACTCTCAACAGTACAATGGTAAAATGCCATCAACAGGTCCTTTGAGAGATTGTTTTTCCAGAGGATTCTCAGAGTCCACAAAGGCCCACACCCAGCAAATAGATGCAGCAAATCACGGAGAGCTTTTGGGGAAGGATAAAGGGAGGAGGGCTGGGCAATACAGTATATGGATACATTGTCCAAAACCACTTTGAAGCCCATATCCTGATATCTGTTTCATAGTTTTTGACCTGACAATATATTACGATGTGTGTATGTGTGTGCTATGCAAAAATCACAATGTGGGGAAAACTGTGAAGCCAGCAGATGTCTCTCTATAGCTCCATGCAGTGCTTTTTGCTGGGGGTACGCAGGGGTACATTTTGTGAATCTAAGTTTGGTCTCATTGAGGGGCATTATTTCAACATTGTTTAGCTGGAACCCAGAGACTGGGCCCCCTCTCCAAGTGCCTCCTGGTGGTTCCCTCCCTGCGATTAAGTGAAGCCACAGGGAGCCAGGCAGAGGGCCTTCTCCATAGTGGCTCCCGCCCTGTGGGAACGCCCTCCCATCAAATGTCAAGGAGATAAAGAAATGTCTAACTTTCCAAAGACATATGAAGGCAGCCCTGTATCAGGAAGTTTTTAATGGTTAATGTTTTGTTGTTTTTAATATTTGGTTGGGTGCCATCAGAGTGGCTGAGGCAACCCAGTTGGATGGACGGCATATTATTATTATTATTATTATTATTATTATTATTATTCCTCTGGCAACACCCGTTGCTGGCAGCACCGTGACCAGACAGTGGGTTTCCCCAAACCCTGGTCCTCAGGCCATGGAAGTATTTCTTTATATAGATGGTGCGATAGCTCAGCTGGTTGGAGTGTGGTGCTGATAATGCCAAGGTTGCCGGTTTGATCCCCGAAGGGACAGCAGCCTATTCCTGCATTGCTGGGGGTGGGACTAGATGATCCTCAGGGTCCCTTCCAACTCTGCAATTCTATGATTCTATGATTTTGTGCTCCATGTTGGAATTTCACCCATGTCGGGATGTGTCTGCCCCCCTCCTCTTCTACCGTGGCACCCAATCAGAGGCCTTCTCAGGCCAAGGGCAGGGATGAAATTCAGAGAAGAGGGGAGGAAGGGGCAGAGGCACACAGGAGGGCAAGAGCAGGGATCTGGTGAGGCAAAGGCGCAATTCACCAAACCTGAAGAAGAGGCAGATTTTCGAGGTTGCAGAAAAGATGGCCCTGAGGGAGATTTGCAGATTGGAGGTTGCAGGAGAGGGATGAAGGGAATGAATGCACAAGATCTGTTCAGCCCACTGATGGTTTCCACCTTCTCTCGCTTTCCCTCTTCCTAGCAGCCCCCCCCATTGCAAAGCCTCCCATTGGATGGGTGAGGTGGTCAGCAGAGACCAATCAGAATCTCCTTCCTCCCCTCACGCCCCCTTTAGACACAGCAGGGAGGGGTAGTTTGGAAATTGCGGGGGGGTGGAGAGAGGAGGAGTACTATTTTAATAACTCATGTGGTCAGGGATGCTGCTGGGCACCTGCTTAAAAGTTGGAAGGAGAGAGAGAGAGAGAGAGAGAGAGAGAGAGAGAGAGGTGTTGGCAACAGGAGCCCAGCAACCCCCTTTCAGTGTTTTGGCAGGGAAGAGGAGATCAGGTCATACTGGATGTGCAAAAAGCCTTCCTTTCTTCCCTCAAGGGGGGGTTTACTGGGGTCTTAAAAAAAAATAGAATGAAAAAGCATTTCCCACGAGACCAGAATAATCTGTGGAACTAGCAGCCGCTCAGTCCGATTGCTCTAAAAGTGGATTTGGTAAATTCTTAGAGGAGGATAGACTATTAGCCACGGCAGCTGGATGCGTCCTCTGTATGCAGAAGTCAGTCTGCCACTCATAGACTCATAGAATTGTAGAGTTGGAAGGGACCATGAGGGTCATCTAGTCCTAGCCGCTGTGATGCAGGAATCTTTTGCTCAACGTGGAATGCAAGTTGCTGGGGAAGGTGGCAAATTCATGTTGGGTGAAGCTATCACAATGGCTCTGCCCTGCCTATTCAGAAGTAATGCTTCTGTTCTGAGTATCAGTGGCTGGAAACCGCAGGAGGGGAGGGGAAAAGCATTGCTCTTGTGCACAGGATCCTGCCTGCAGGTTCCCCACCACTGGACCAGTGGTGATCCTGCAAGGATGTTCTTAGTCCCCTAGAGATTGCTTTGCATCCCTTTTCAGAGAAGCCAGCAGAATTTAAAGCATTAATCCATTGCAGGCTGTGACCCCAGGGTCCAAAAAGGCCTGCCCACTCCCAATGGATTCTCTTGCCCTACCCAGAGTTTGATTCATGGAACTTTAGAGTTGGAAGGGACCCTGAGGGTCATCTAGTCCAACCCTCTGCAATGCAGGAACCTTTTTGCCCCAGGTGGAACTCAAACCCCCAACCCTGAGATTAAGAATCTCTTGCTCTGCCAACTGAGCTATCCAGTTCATCGGAGGAAGGCCAGGATACGAAACCAAGGCATGCAGATGGGGCTTGGGTGTGGAGAGAGATTTGGCCTGGCAGCTGCTGATGTCTGGGGGAAGGCAGCCAGGAGAGAGGCAGAGTTAATGAATGGGGGGGGGGGGAGTGTGGACAGGAAGAGATGCAGTTACACACATGGCTGGATGGCAGAGGTTGCTGTAGTCCTTTCTCTACCTCCTCCACTCTTTCATCTCTTCCTTTTTTTACCCATTCCTGTTTTTAAAATAGTCGCTTTGAAAAACCTGAGGGAACCAGGGCAAGGGAAAATTTGCCTGTGGAGTAGCTGTGCAGTGGATTTCTCTCTGCAAATGGCATTTATTTCCATGTGGCAGGGTGGAAATTTCTCAGCCCCCCCCCCCCACATACACACACACACACACACAGAGAGAGACCAGCAAAGTCAGGCATTGTCAGCATCTACTGCTGTGAAGCCTCTGAGCTCAGAGAAGAAAACGGGGAGAAGGAGAGGCGGCTGGCCTGACCTGAGAGCGTTCGGAGGCTATTTTTAAACAGGCTTGAAAGTTACCGTGGAAAAGGGAAGGCTGGGTGCATTGCCATAGAAGCATAAAATTGTAGCGTTGGATGGGCTCCCGAGGGCCATCTAGTCCAACCCACTGCATTGCAGAAATCTTTTGCTCAATGTGGGGCTCAAACCCACGGCCGTGAGATTAGGAGTCTCCACTGGTTAGAGCATGTTGCTGATGTTAATGCGAAGGCTGCAGGTTCAATCCCCGTAGGGAACAGCTGCATTGCAAGGGTGGGCTAGATGATCCTCAGTGTCCCTTCCAACTCTACAATTCTATGATTCTGTCCCAGCTTTGCACTGGAGCGCTTCCCCAGGAGCAAGGTTGTGAGAAGACCCCTGTGGCAGGATCAGGCCAGTGGCCCGTCTAGCCCAATGTCCTGTTCTCAAAGTGGCCAACCAGTTGCCCCCATGGGAAGCCTGCAAAGAGGACCTGGGTGCAACAGCATCAACTCTGGGTTTACTTTTTATTGGGGGGGTAAGCAACCTGCACCCCCAAAACCATATGCCACCCCTTTCGTGTATGTGACAAGGAAGAGACGTGCAAGGGACAGCAGAAGGAGGGTGTGCCAGAAACCCATGCACAGCATACATTTATCCCCTCAAAAAGGAATCATGGGAACTGTAGTTTTCTAAAGGTGCTGGGAGCTAAGGTGCCATGGGGGCATGTGCTACAGCTCCCGGAATTCTCAGGTTGGGATGAAAACATGCTTTGAATGTGTGGTGTGTACACAGCCAGGCAGAGAAAGGTGACCCTGTGGCCCTTGGCTCCATCCACTCTGGCCAGGTGGCCCCCAGCAGCAAAAGCTTCACCGCTGTGGCCCTGCATGCTCCGACCAGTTCCCCCTTTGCGCTGTGATGCCTCCTCTCTCCCTGAGGCTGGTTTTATCAGCATGTCCCCCCTCCCATTCCCATCTCCTCACTGTCCTTTGTCCTGCTCCTTTTATATCTAAAAAGAGATCCATTCATTTCTCTTTGCTATGCTCCCAGCATCCTTGCGCGCTCTCTCTCTCTCTTTGCAAACAATCAAGCGCCAATCTTGCACGCTTCAAGAGTCCCGAGGAGCCGGCATGCGGAGGAGAATGCTCTCTCGCATGCAGGCACGCGTGCGCACGCCCCTCTGCCCCAGGACACGCACACCCGCTCACATGCGGAGACGCTCCTTTCTCCCCGCCAGGCCCTGCTGGTGGCCGGCTGGTTTCTAAGTGCCTCTTCAAAGCCCTCCGCAGCCGTGCGTGAAGCGCTCTCCCCTTGCCTCCAGGCAACCAGAGGCTGCTGGCATGCTCCGAAGAACGTCCTGGGCTGAGCATGTCGAGACTGCAAAGCTGCAGTCCCAGCGGCTGCTTCGCGTGACGTCCACCTGCTTAACTGGTCCTGCTCTGTCCTCTGTCAAGGGCTGCTTTGGAGGCAGACATCCTTAACTACAAACCTCAAAATATGGGATCGCCTCGAAACTGGTGCCAAAGCTTTGCAGTTGTTTGCAGCGAAAACCCCACGTTTGTGGGGTCCTGCAAAACATGGGGGTTTTGCTGCAAAATGACTGCAAAACTTTGGCACCAGATTCAACAGGATCCCAGATTTTGGAGTTCGTAGTTAATGAAGCTTTGGAGGCAGATCAGAGGGAGTGCGACCGCTGAGTCGGGGGGGGGGGGGCGCTGCAACTGTGACATAGTAGGCATGCAGAACGGGAGGTTGGGGCACGAGGAATTTTGGACTTGCCGAAATTTGAAAGTCCAAAGTCTGCTCCTGGTCACTTTCAGATTGTTGCTCTTTTGCAGGGTAATATGTTGATTGAATATTGACAAATTCAGATGGTATAATAATAATGATGATGATAATGATAATGATAATGATAATAATAATAATAATAATAATAATAATTGTTATTGCTATTGTTATTGTTGTTGTTGCTGCTGCTGTTGTTATTATTATCCAAGCCACTTTCGGTGGCTTCCAAGATCTATGAAAACATAATAAAGCATAAAGTACAGTGGTACCTCTGGTTACAAACTTAATTCGTTCCAGAGGTCCGTTCTTAACCTGAAACCATTTTTAACCTGAGGTCCCACTTTAACTAATGGGGCCTCCCGCTACCGCTGCTGCGCAATTTCTGTTCTCATCCTGAGGTAAAGTTCTTAACCCGAGGTACTATTTCTGGGTTAGCGGAGTCTGTAACCCGAAGTGTTTGTAACCCGAGGTACCACTGTATAAGGCATCTACCTATATTCCTATATTTTACATTGCAACTGTCATGGGGGGGAGATGGGGCGTCCATTTTTAATTGCGAGAGCATGGCAGCCAATTGGGGTTCCATGCTCTCATGTGATTTTGGGATATGATCCTGAAAAAAAGTTTTCCCAGGTCTGCAATCTCACACAGATTCTGTGCTTAACAATATGGGAGGTGCAGGCCAGTCCTACATCAGTGTTTGCATATCCAGTCTGAACATTTGTGGGAAAAAAGCAGACCCCCCACCCCCAGTGTCCCTATTTTCCAGGGACAGCCTCGGATTTACAGAAGCCGTCCTGGTTTCTGATTGGATCCTGGAATCAGGGGTGAATGAAGGCTAACCGACAGCTGGGGCGGGGCAAACCGCCGGCTTCGCATGTGTTGCACCACTATGTACGACACATGTGTGGCGTCGCTACATAGGGCGCATGCATGCAACACCGCACATGTGTTATACGTAGCGGTTTGCTGCTGGCGCTGCTCGAACGCCGTAGGGACGGTGGTGGGATACTCTGCTTTTGCGGCTGCAGCCACAAACGGAGGATCCTCCACATGTGGCACCCATCGCAACGTCACACCCAGGGGCGGCGGGGCAAGCTCCCACAGGGTGCCTTCTTGTCACCCCTCCAGACATGGCACCTGGGGCCCATCGCCCCCCCCGCCCCCCTTGCAACACCGCTGCCTGGAATGTCCCACTTTTTGTTAGGATTTCCCTGTTCTCATCAGAGAAATGTTGGAGTGTCATGCAACCCTCCAGTCAAGGAGATAAGTAACTATACAACCTTTAGAAAACATCTGAAGGCAGCCGTGCATAGGGAAGTTTTTAAATGTGTAATGTTTTATTATGTGCTCTACAGAGCCAGTGTGGTGTAGTGGTTAAGAGTGTTAGTCTTGTAATCTGGGAAACCGGGTTCGCGTCTCCGCTCCTCCACATGCAGCTGCTGGGTGACCTTGGGCCAGTCACACTTCTTTGAAGTCTCTCAGCCCCACTCACCTCACAGAGTGTTTGTTGTGGGCGAGGAAGGGAAAGGAGAATGTTAGCCGCTTTGAGACTCCTTAAAGGGAGTGAAAGGCGGGATATCAAATCCAAACTCTTCTTCTTCTCTTCTTCTTCTACGTTGGGCTACCTTTGAAGGTGACCCGGAAACTACAACGAATCTAGAATGTGGCAGCTAGACTGATGACTGGGAGCTGCTGCCATGACCATATAACACCGATCCTAAAGGATCTACGTTGGCCCCCAGTACATTTCTGAGTGCAATTCAAAGTGTTGATGCTGGCCTTTAAAGCCCTCAACGGCCTTGGCCCAGTATACCTAAAGGTGCGTCTCCATCCCCATCGTTCTGCCCGGACACTGAGATCCAGCGCCGAGGGCCTTCTGGCGGTTCCCTCCCTGAGAGAAGTGAGGTTACACGGCAGAGGGCCTTCTCGGTGGTGGCGCCTGCCCTGTGGAACGCCCTCCCACCAGATGTCAAAGAGAAAAACAACTACCAGACTTTTAGAAGATATCTGAAGGCAGCCCTGTTTAGGGAAGCTTTTAATATTTGATGAATTATTGTATTTTAATATTTTGCTGGAAGCTGCCCAGATGGACAGGGTATAAATAATAATAATACAGTGGTACCTCTTGATGCGAAGGGGATCCATTCTGGAGCCCCGTTCGCATCCTGAGCAGAACGCAACCCACGTCTGCGCGTGCCGTTATTCACGGTTTCTGCGTGTGACGTCATTTTGAGCGTCTGCTTTCGCGAGTGGCGAAACCCGGAAGTAACCCGTTCCATTGCTTCTGGGTCGCTGCAGAATGCAACCTGAAAACGCTCAGCCTGAAGCGTATTTAACCCAAGGTATGACTCTATTATGTTTCTGTATACAGTATGTTGTAAGCCGCTCAGTGGCTGGGGTAACCCAGTCAGATGGGCAGGATATAACACTACTACTACTACTACTACTACTACTACTACTACCACCTCTAAATAGGATGTCCCTATTTTCATCAGAGAAATGTTGCAGGATATGGAGGAAGCCTTTTGTGCATTAGATCTCGAACCCCCAACCACCCTGGCTTCCTTCCTTTGGCCTTGTTTTGATTCCCAGATGGGGTTGCCAACTGACCAGACTACGCTGCTCCTCTTTGCCTTCCCCTCCTTTTTTGAAGAGCAGCCTGGCATAAAGAAATCAGCAAAGGGAGATCGTTTCTGGCAGCGGAGCAAGAGCCATTGTCTGCAGCCTGAACGGCTGGTTGGAAGCATCTGTAAGCAAGCCAAAGAACGAAAGAGAGAAAAAGGCAGCCTGCAGACTGATGGTGGGCGGGGGACATGGCTTGCTGGAATGTGCGCCTGTCATGGAAGTCAGTGTGGGAGTCACACAGTCGGCAGATCAGTCCCTGCCGCTTGGGACCTCCAAACCCTGCCTCCAGGGGTGTGGTGCGCCAGGAGAGGGTGGCAAGTGTGGCGGGAAGATCCCAGGATGATCAGAGAAACATCTAAGCATTTCAGGGTAGTATAGTTTAGTATCAAAATACATTTTTATTTATTTGCAGAATGTGGGTCAGAATCTTTTCAAAATAAGAGAGCATCTAGCGATACTGAGAACAAAAATGAAAGATCAGAAAACAGCAAGGCTGTTCGTGTTGATGAGGAAATGAGTTTGTCTCAAATTAGACTCACTATATTATTATTATTATTATTATTATTACTGCTGCTGCTACTACTACTACTAAATACCAGCCTTCATCAAAAGATCTCAGTGTGGTTCACAGAAGAAAATACAAGATAAAACACAAGAAAATAATTGAACCAAAACAGCAAGACCATAATAACCCCCTTCCCACAGAAGGATATTAATCACCCAAAGGCCTGGTTGAAGAGGAACGTTTTTGCCTGGTGCCTAAAAATATAGAATGAAGGTGCCAGAGGCGAACCTCTCTGGGGAGAGCTTTCCACAACCAGGGAGCCACTACCCAGAGATTACCCAACAGAAGCAAGCTCATGCCTCCGAGTTTGTATACCTACTTTTTATATATATTCTTTATTGAAAATCGAAAAGTACATAATTACAAGCGCGGGTGGCACTGTGGGTTAAACCACAGAGCCTAGCACTTGCCGATCGGAAGGTCGGCGGTTTGAATCCCCGCGACGGGGTGAGCTCTCGTTGCTCGGTCCCTGCTCCTGCCAACCTAGCAGCTCGAAAGCACATCAAAGTGCAAGTAGATAAATAGGTACCGCTGCGGCGGGAAGGTAAACGGCGCTTCCGTGCGCTGCTCTGGTTCGCCAGAAGCGGCTTAGTCCTGCTGGCCACAGGACCCGGAAGCTGTACGCCGGCTCCCTCGGCCAGTAAAGCGAGATGAGCACCGCAACCCCAGAGTCGGCCACGCCTGGACCTAATGGTCAGGGGTCCCTTTACCTTTACCTTTACAAGCACACAGAGTAAAATAATATACAAAGAAGAAGAAGAAATACCATCCATATATATATATATATAATAGTTTTTATTGGAAGATTTTCATGGATCGCAAAGGTGCATCTATCATCTCTGTTTTCAGTTCTAGAGCCCTGCCCACAGGTCAGTTACATTTGTTGTGCGACGCTGCTGTCATATGCATTGTGAGGTTGTGAGGAAATGATTTGTGCCCTTTTGTAGCTGCCTTGTTTAATACCTTCTGGGTGTCCTGTGATCATATTATAAAGTAGTAGCGTTTGTGTTATAAACCAAGCACTGCTAGGAATGGTTTCTTTTTGTTTTTCAAGATGCTTCTTGTCAACAGCAACAAAAATCAGTGTGGGGCAAGCAAATTTTTATTCTCAAAGTGTGGCCCAGAGAAACAAGTTTGAGAACCCACTGGCATAAGTGGTGCAATTTTGGACCACAAGCCTGGGAGCTGTCTCAAAGCAAAGACCAGGTTATGACAATAAATCGTGCGATTTCTCTGGACAGATGCATCTCCTGCATCAAGGGCCGGGCTAGGGAGTTATGAGGGTGATTTAAGAATAGCTGCTGAAATTCAGAGCCCACACTCCTCAGATAGATTGGTCCTGCTCAGTGAGGTATTGTGAAGAAGAGCAAAGGGAACCATCCCAGCTGTGTATGTGTGTGTTTCCTTCTCGGTAAATATTTCTTCATTCTGTTTTATAATATATTTAAAGCCAGAGAGAGCAGTTAGAACGGCAGGTGAAAATTAAAAGATGACAAACGAAACTTTGAAAGAGGCCCGGAGAATGAGTGGGCTAAAATAAAAGCATAGGAGGATCATAGAATCATAGAGTTGGAAGAGACCACAAGGGCCATCGAGTCCAACCCCCTGCCAAGCAGGAAACACCATCAGAGCACTCCTGACATATGGTTGTCAAGCCTCTGCTTAACGACCTCCAAAGAAGGAGACTCCACCACACTCCTTGGCAGCAAATTCCACTGTCCAACAGCTCTTACGGTCAGGAAGTTCTGCTAGATCGGGCCAGCAGCCCAGCTAGTACAGCATCTTCTTCTTGCAGTGGCCAAATTGTTGCCTGTGGGAAACCGGCAATCAGGATTGGAACACAAGCCCTCCCCCTCCTGTGACTCCCAGCGACTGGTATTCAAAAGCCTCTGACTGTGGAGGCAGAGCAAAGCCATCTTGGCCAGTGGCCACCAATAGCTGTCTCCTCCTCCATGGATTTGTGTTCTCCTCTTCTGAAGCCATCTCCTGTGGGAGGGAGTTCCACAGTTAACTATGTGCTGTGTGGAGAAGGACTTTGACCTGTTCAGAATCTCCCTTAGATGTCCACAAGTTCTCATGTTCGGAGGGAGAAAAACTTTCCTCTGTCCACTTTCTCCATGTCATGCATAATTTCATTAACTCCTACTCGGCGTTTCTGTAAACTAAATTCACAAAGTCCAACTAAAAGATTCCAGCGTTATCAAGTCTAGTTCCAGATGTGCCAGGCTTGTGACTAGGGTTGTCTTGAAAACAATGGTTCCATTGTACAGTCATACCTTGTGTTGCATCCGCTTCATGTTGTGTCTTTTCGCGTTACATCCCGCGGAAGTACCGGAACGGGTTACTTCCAGGTTTTGCTGCTCATGCATGTGCAGAAGCGCCAAATCGCGCCGTGCGCCTGCGCAGACGCAGTGCTTCGAGTTGCAGGCCTCCAGAACGGATCCCGTCCGTAACACGAGGTACCACTGTATCATCTTGGGTTGGTTTGTTTTTAATCCGTGGTTCTCTGCTCCTCTGATTCCCGAATGTGCTTTGCTGTGGTAGGCTGCAAGGGACCAGGTCTGCTGCCCACACCAAGCCTCTCAGCAGACTTTCAACTACTGTTGTTTTCTATTGTATTTTTATGTTGTGAACAGCCCTGAGATCTGCGGGTGAAGGGCTGCATGCAAATTCAATTAAGAACCATCATCATCATTATCATCCACTATTTTTTTAAAAAATACATGCAGCAAAGGAAGCAGAGATGCAACATTTGTTTGTGTCTTTAACTCTTGATGCATTCGCCTCTCTAGGTGTCAGGAAATCTAAATCTCCCTGAGACATGGGAGCCCAGTATATAGGGATTGCAAAGATTGATTCTCTCTCTGTCTGTCTCTCCCTCCTTCCCGCTTCTGCCTAAGTGGCCCAAAATCATTACAGATTAACAGCTCAGAAAACCTCTGGCCGGCTCTTGCTCAGCAATATTGCTTTCTGCCTCGGTCTCTTTCTCTCCTGTGTTTTGTGTGTCAATTAACAGCCGTCATTTTCCATCGCTAGGAAATGAATCGCCCGCCAGACCCCAGCCAAACTGGGAATTTCGCCCAGGGACAGAAAGGACTACCCTGATGGTTGATGACCGTTCTCAGACCCCTCTCCCAACCCCCACTTGTCACCTAACCATCTGCGTTGGTCAGAATTAACCAATGTCAACAATTAGGTAACAGCCTTGCCTTAATCTCCGCGCTCTGCTCCCCCGTGTCTCTGTGTTAACATTCGAACTAACAAAGGCCAAGACTTTGAAATCCCTCTTTTGATTTTGAGCTGCCATGAATCGATCGTTGCTTGGTGGGGAGTGGGGGGGCTTCAGTTTCCAGGGAATGGGTATAGCTGAATCATTAGAGCTGGGGAGATCAACCCTCCGATTTCTATCTCCCTTTAGCCTTTGATTCAGAAGAATGAGGACTAGAAACTTAGCTTTGTTTTTAGGGAAAGGGACCAAAGGTGAGTGACAAGAAGGGAGCTGGTTTAATTTCTCTAGGAACGGAGAGTTCCCAAGCTGTCTGGGAGCAACCAAGAAGCCACCGTCCTGCAGAGAGGGTGGTGGTACCAAGAGAGGACCCTCTGCCCTGAGATCTCAGAGCCCAGGCAGGTTCATTGCAGGGAATAAGGTCTCTCAGATATAGCCTGGCACTAAGCAGGAGAGCACACGAGGTGGGCTGGGGGGGAGCAATTGCTGGCTGCCAATCTCAGCCGCTGCTCAGCACCCCCTTCTGCTCATGCCCTCCTTTGCAGGGAGCAGCCGATCTTCAGCACTAGGGCACACATCTTCCAGATCGACCCGGCCACCAAGAGGAACTGGATCCCCACCAGCAAGCACGCGCTGACTGTCTCCTACTTCTACGATGCCACACGCAACGTCTACCGAATCATCAGTGTGGGAGGCACCAAGGTGAGAGAGGCGGCGAGAGCAGGAGAAAACAAACCCCATTATAGGCATGCATCTTGGAAAAGCTTTTTTTTATTTTTTAAAGAGATGATCTATAGAAACAGAGCACAGCCATCATGGCTAGTAACCTTTGATAGCCCTCTCCTCCACGCAATCCTCTTTCGAAGCCAAGTTGTTGGCCGTCACTGTGGCAGGGAGTTCCTCTGTCCAACTCTGCGTTGCACGAAGAAGTGTTTTCTTTCCTCTGCCCTGAATCTCCCGTCCCTCAGCTTCCTTGGGTGTCTGCAAATTCTAGTGTTCTGAGAAAGGGAGGAAAGCTTTGCTCTTGCCACTTTCTCGTGACCTGAGGCCGAAGGAGACCCTTAAAACGCTTGCCTTTCTCTGCTCCCCAAAGGCCATCATCAACAGCACCATCACCCCCAACATGACGTTCACCAAGACCTCACAGAAATTCGGCCAGTGGGCCGACAGCAGGGCAAACACCGTCTATGGCCTGGGATTTGCCTCTGAGCAGCACCTCTCCCAGGTAAGAACTCAGGGGCAGGACAAGGAAAGGAAGGAACGGGGTTTATTTTTTTATTAAACACAGTGCAAAGCGATGCACTACCCTAATCTCTGAGCAGTGAGAAACTCCAGGGGGTTCCAATTGCTCGACCAGGGCTCAGTGTCGGAAGGAAGCGCGGCGGAGACTGCGGTGTCCTGCAGATGAGTACAACCTGAGCATTGTAAGGGGGGCTCACAGCATTCGCACCCCAAGAGATCTTCCTTAGTCACAGCTTTGGATCCAGCACAGAGCAAGCAGGTCTCTGTGTCTCCAGCTTCCAGCTAGCTCTCTCACAACTCTCTGGCTCTTGTTCTCCTAACTAGCAGCTTTGGAAACTTTGGGGAAATCTAATAAAAAATTTAAATTATAAAAAAGGAGTTAAAGGGTGCTGTTCAGCTAGCAAGGTAGAAGAGGGCAGGGCCTCTTTTTTGATCCATTTTACAAATATCCAAGATGGCGGCCAAACCACTCAGTTTTCTTTTCCCTGCTTAGTTTGCAGAGAAGTTTCAGGAGGTGAAGGAAGCGGCTCGCCTGGCAAGGGAGAAGTCACAGGATAAGACGGAGCTGACCAGCCCAGCCCTCAGTTTGACGTCCCAGCAGGTAAGCAGGCCAGGTGTCCTGTTCCTCCCAAACTCTGCAGCGGGGGATGGGCCAGTTCACCAGGAATTGAACCGACTCTTTGGGATGTAGACCAGGCAGGGGGAACCTCTGAAAACGAGGCCCAGCAGAGTCCTAATTTGGCCCATGAAATTGTTTTGAGCCTGCCCACCTCTCCCATACCTGACACCAGGTGTGGGGCAGGTGAAGAAACAGGAGAATTGCAGTACCCCCCCAGCTGCTCCTTGGCAGCTCCTCCTGGGTAAAAGGGACAGGCAGGTGGATCTGGGGGGTGGAGGACGCCATGTTCCTAGGTCTGGGCACAGATGGATCAGCAGAACGTGCGGAGGAGGGAGTGTGAACAGTCCCTTGGCCTGGAGAAGGAGGAGGAGGAGAGAAGGGAAGCTTCACATTGAGCAGGGAGCGTTTGTTAAAAATAAAGCCACCATTTTAATACTTAGCAATGCTTCTGAAGTGCTAAGCGACAGTTCTAGTTGAATTCTTTTTTTTTTTTAAATCATATTTATTAAAGTTTCCAAAAATATAAAAGTACAAAGAAAAGAGACAAAAGAAAGAAAATATTTAAAAACCTTACTTTCATTCCCTACTTTCTGGAACTCCCCCCCTCCCCCCCCCCCAATTGTATTCCCCTTTCCTTAATTTGGTTCTACAAGCTCTCACTCCCAAATTTAAAGCTTAATTTGTTTGACCCACTATCCAAATTGAATTGTACAAATCTTACCACCGTCCCACATCATTAACAGAAAAGAAAAAGATTTTCCCGAGATCCACCCCAGTTCCTTCCACAAATTCCCTTTTTTAAACACGTCCGATCAAAGTAAAATAACATGCGTAAGTTATGTAAAGAAATAGAAAATAAGAGATATAGAAAAGTTCAAAAAATGGTTACACAGCCTTTGGATTTCAAATCTCCCCCCTTCCCGGTTTGAATTCCCCATATCCATCAGTCTATACATTATCAGCTTGGAAGTCTCATTTCATGACCAGATTTCTCCCCGATTCCATCTTGCCGGTTTTCTTCTAGTTTATTAATTTAAATAATATTTGACTTCAAATGTCCAATCTAACAAAGGCCTTTAATTTCCTTGATCTTTACCACTCCTCCCGTTGTTCTTTCCGTGTCGTAATCAGTCCTTTATTCTTCTTGTTCCTCACTTTCTCAGGTTTCTTGTCCTGTTCAGCTGCTAAAACTTTCTAATTCAGAAATCTAGTGTCTCTGCAGAGGTTTGTTATTCAGGAACAAAAACTTACGTCCAGTCCCTTTCTTTCTTCAATAAAAATTTCCATTGTCTTCCTCTGTAGACAAAATACTCTTGCAGTTTTGCAGCGTGCCCAGAAGATCACGATTCCGGTGCGAATCCCAGGGTCTGTTTCGACTGACGACCGTTCTTGTAGTATCCTGAAACCCCTCTAGGGGATTGTAATAACTTTGTATCCTCTAATCCAAAAGTCAAATTGTTGCTTATTTTCCAACAGTTTATATCCATATTATAGCAAATTGTAGCAAAATTTACCAGCAAGATCCTCATAAAGTCCTCTTTATATTCTCCAGCTTTGACAGCCACTTTGACAGCTGTCAAAGTCTCCGTCTCTCTTCACCAGGCTCCACGAATCGCCCCGGTTCCCGGGGGGGGGTTGCATTTTCTTCTCACCCTCCACTCTTCTCCTCCAGCACATTTCTTATAATTTCCCATCGTGAAATTAATGATTTTTATCAGAGACATACTTCCCTTTGGACCTTGGTTACCCAGTCCTTGTTTTGGAATGCTTACAATAGGGGGATTGACTTCCTTTTAAATCGCCCCGCTCGTGCCAAATCCAAAATTTTGAACCCGGTTTCCCAATTACTCACGGGTTGTTGTTAATAGTCCAAATTTTCAGTAGAAGAAGTCAGCGCTCTCCGTCGAATGGCATGCGGCTGCGCTCGGCAGGGAAAGCAGTGGACTCAAAGCACCACGCCACTCCCGGCACCCGATCCGAAGCCTTTAAAAAGGCTCCTTCACGAGTCGGGAGGGCGCTAATGGTGCAAGCCGAGTCACCCATGTCCACGGACTCCGTGCCCGTGGTTTTTAAGGGTCCCCGCGTCGCCGGCGCGGTAGGACCCAGCCCCTGCCGAGCAGACTCCCTCCGGAGCTCGGAGGGAGTCCGCCATTCGGCGATGGCGCTAACCCGGAAGTCCCTGAATTCTGAGCATCCAGTGGCATGGAGTTCCAAAGGAGGACGAACATAAAAAAGTTTATGGTGAGGAAGAGAGGGGGTTCTTCTAGGTTTGGATAGCAAGAGATAGCACCTGGGATTTTTGGAAGGTTTGGGATTTCCCAGTGTGGCACGGGGCTTGACCCCTCGGAGGGTGTGTCTGTCCATGCATGAGAGCCCACCTTCCTGGAATGCGACAGGGCTCTGCTTCACCTGCCCCCTCCCCATGCTCTCCTGCCCCACAGATCCTCCCCAGCCCCATCATCAGTTCCAATGGACCTGGAGACGACAAGCTCTTCCGCAGCCAGAGCGCCGACATGGAGATGACGACGGAGAGGGAGCGGATCAAGAAGATGCTCTCCGAAGGGTGAGGAGGGCGACGGAGGTGGCTTGGGGAAGGGGCACCCGAACGGTGGCTGTTTTATTCCTGTTCAAGTCTCACTTACTCCCCAGCAGCTGGGATAGCTCAGTTGGCAAAGCGCAAGACTCTCAGGGTCGTGGGTTTGAGCTGCATCTTGGGCAGAATATTCCTGCCTTGCAGGGGGTTGGACTAGATGGCCCTCGGGGTCCCTTCCAACTCTGTGGCCCTTGGCATCTGTCTCCTTCCCAGCTCTGTCTGTGAAGTCCAGTGGGAGGCAGAGTTCTTCACGCTGCAAGACAACAACAACAAGCTGGTGGCCGCATTGAACGAGGCCAATGCCAACGTGGAGCAGTGGAAGAAGCAGCTGGCGGCCTACCAGGAGGAGACGGAGACCCTGCGGCAACGGGTGAGGGGGCGACCTTTGGGGGGGGCCTTTGGTGTGGGAGCCTGGCTGGGGGCTGACCGAGATGGCCACCGCCATCTTTGCAGCGCACTTCACCGCTGTCCTGATCTCAGGGCGCCATGACATTCTGCTCCAGGTGATGGTCTTGGTGGTACAAGGGAAGTTTCAAGACGAGAGTTTTGCTAATCTTTCATTATTCCGTTTCTTATATTTCAAATCCTGCCTGTGGCGACTTCATATATGGGGGATAATTGGATAGGTAATCCACCTGTGGTCTCCATTCTTCCTTAGACACTTCGTCATTATGTCCTCTTAATTTGGCAGTCAGCTTTGCCCTTTCAGCAGTCCATCCATTTCATAAGCCATTCCTGGCTGTTAACCAGAAGGTTTGTGGCTCTGGTTTGTGGCGATGGCTCTGGGCAGGATTCCTGCATTTCAAGGGGTTGGACTAGATGACTCTTGGGTTCCCTTCCAACTCTACAGTTCTATGACACCAATAGGCACTGATTCTATGGGAGTAAGAGAGGCTGTGGTTTTGCTGTGAATAGTAGTAGTAGTAATGATAATAATGATGATAATAATAATAATAATAATAATAATAATAATAATAATAATTTTATTATTTATACCCCACCCAAGTGGCTGGGTTGCCCCAGCCACTCTGGGTGGCTTCCAACAGATATAAAAATATCATATAACATCAAACATTAAAAAGCTTCCCGATACACGGCTGCTTTCAGATGTCTTCTAAATGTTGTATAGTTTTTTATCTCCTTGATATCTGATGGGAGGGTGTTCCACAGGGCGGGTGCCACCACTGAGAAGGCCCTCTGCCTGCTTTCCTGTATCCTCACTTCTCGCAGGGAGGGAACCACCAGAAGGCACTCGGAGATGGACTTCTGTGTCTGGGCTGAACAATGGAGGTGGAGATGCTCCTTCAGGTCTACAGGGCCGAGGCCATTTAGGGCTTTAAAGGTCAGCACCAACACTTTGAATTGTGCTTGGAAACATAACTGGGAGCCAGTGTAGATCCTTTAGGACCAGTGCTATATGGCCTTCAGGGCGGAAGCCTCTAGACTTTGACCATGCAGCCTCTGTGGGCCCAGGAGACGCTGGCTGCACAGGGGTGGTAGGATAAGTACCTCTCTAATCCCTCACCCCCCCCAAAAAAAGACAGCCTCCTCTGAGGTCAGGTGGTTCTGCAGCATCTCTGCATCTAGGGCGATTGGGTGCTAACAATGACCCCTGGAACAGGGACAGGACAGAACTGCCCACTGCCCAGCAGAGGCTGATGGAAGGGAGGTGCGCAAGCCCTGATCAGCAACTCAGTCTCTTCACAAAGTAGTTTTGGAGGGTCTTCAAGAGACTCTCTCTTGTTTTATTTGTTGACAATATGGGGCTGAAAGATCATGATGGGGCAGTTTGTATTTCCTCTTCTAGTTTGAGGTTGACTTCTGTGGGATAACTCAGTTCTCAGAGCATGGGACTCTTAATCTCAGGATTGTCGGTTCGAGCCCCATGTTGGGCAAAATACTCTTGCATTGCAGGGGGTAGGACTAGATGACCCTCGTGGTCCCTTCCAATTCTGCCATTCTATGATTCTACTGGCGCATGGTCTGTGATCTTAATGTTGCAGATATGTGTTGTTTGACCAACCGGATCACGCCCGGGGTGCAAAGGGTGCTCTCTAGCCTCCCCTCGTGCCGTGGCGGCCGGACTGGAATGTGTTGTTGGTGCCGCCTGGGTTCTCTCTCCCCATATATATCATATAGGGCTTTTAACATTTTTAGCAGCCCGCAGGAGACTTTAGTTTGGGCAGCTCCCTCTTTGAGCAACCCATCCGATCGCTCTGCACATAGAGCTCTGGCAGAATCCGCCCCCATTTCCCAGCAGAAGCTGACTCTTTGGGGATAGGTCCCCGCAGAGGATAGTTTAATCAGGATACGCCCCAGACACTCAGAGCTTGGGGGAATCGGCACCAGATCCGCCGTTCATCTCTGGGGAAGTATTTCCATGTGGCAGGAGGGAGGGAGGCATGCGTGTAATTCCTCTCCCAGAGGTCGTTGTGCACGTCCCTGGCTTCATTGCATGACGAAAGACGCTCCTTGCTTGCTAATATTAGCTCCCGCCCAAGGTCGTCAGGTTGGGGGGGGGGAAACGGCTGGGGAGGGAGAGAGAGAGGGAGAGAGAGCGCAGCCACCTCTTGTCAAGCCCCCCCCACCCCGGCCACTTCAGTCTCTGCAGACAAAGGAGAGGTCACTGCCCCACCCTGACTGGTACTAGGACCATGCCCTCTGTCTCTTTCTCTCAATCTCCCACCTCTCTGTTTGGCCATTATCAGTGCATGCATAGCTCCATGGGTTAGAGCATGGTGTTGATAACACCAAAGCTGCAGGCTGGATTCCCATGTGGGACGGCAGCACATTCCTGCCTTGCAGGGGGTTGGACAAGAATCAGAGGTTCCCATACTTATTTGGCCTACTGCCCCCTTTTCAGGAAAAAAACAACAAAACTCAGTGCCCCCCTGGAAAGCTGCCTTCTTTAAGCAAACAAGCAGAAAGATGCAGCGACAAATTTGCGTTCTTTTATGTCCCCATATTTCTGCCTATGCCCTACGACATAGTGAAGAAAGATGATGTTGTAAATATGACACCTTGAAGCTTGAAATTATAAAATTATTTATTAAAATCAGCCATTCGCATTACATACAGAAAATTAAGATAGTGAAGGATAATATTAAAAATAATCCTAATGAGAAAGATGAACCTGGTGCGTTGCTATCAATTTATTAATTTTTATTCACCCCCCCCCCCAGTTGCACCTGAGGCTGCTACTGCCCCCGCCCCGCCCCCCGATTGTTCCAGCACCCCACAGTATCGCCCACTTTGGGAAACACTGGACCAGATTATCCTCAGGGTTCCTTCCAATTCTCTGGGAAACCCTTTAGAGCGGATTCAGTGAGCGCATGATTTGAATATCTCATCCTACAGGAACTGGGGAATCTGAGCCAGGCCACTTGTCCATCTAGCGCAGTACTACCTGCACTGACTGGCAGCTGCTCTCCAGGGTTCCAGACTCAGGAGCCTCTTCCAGCCCCACCTGGAGATGCCAGGGGGGGATTGAACCTTCTGCAGGCAAAGCAGATGTCCTGCCACAGAACTTTGGCACGGTTCGTTGAAATAAACCAAGGATCTAGCCCTCAAGCTTCTGGTTAAGGGGCTAATTGAACTAGGAGCCTTGTGCTGTCAGACCCAGTGACCCCACCCCCCCAGCTCATTGCGCTCTGCATTCGTGGCAGCATCTCTGCCCGGTCTTAGACAGGGGGCCTTCCCTGCCCCACCTGGAGATGATGGGAACTGAACTCAGGACCTTATTTGTGGGAAGCATGGGCTCTGCAGCCCCTCCTCATTTCTGGGGAGGAGGAAGGGAATTTGTTCCCCACCCCTCTTTTTGCCTCTGATACACACACAAACACACACACACATTCCTTCTCCCTCTTTTGAAATGTTAACCATAAAAAACTGAATTTTGTTAGGGCTGCCATATGGCTGGATTTTCCCAGGCATTACTGGGATTTCAAAGGTGGAATTGACATCCGAGGGGAATTTCCAAAAGTTTGCGCTTTGTCCTGGATCTTAGGCAAATCAATCAAAAAATCGTGCGGGGTTTTTGTGTGTGTGTTTTCGTAAAAAACAACTCAACAACTTTTGGGGTGTTCTGGTTTTTACTTTTTGAAATATGACAACCCCAGTTTCGCCCGCAAGCACCTCGAACAGTGAAAAGTGAGCTGTCAGCGTTTTAAATAAATCAACTTAAATGGAGACACTGGAGCTGAAATTCCTTTGCTGTTGGGGAGGGAAGTGGTGGATTCTGACGGCAATTCTCTGCAAGGCGGCTTCGCTTTCAGGAAATATAAAGGTGATCTCTCCTGCGTTAGTCATACTCTGAGCAGACTCAGTCGCCTGAATGACTCCAGCCCATCAATTCCAGTACATCGGTTGTAACGCCACTCTTGGATTGATGTGTGTTTTTTAAATTTCACTTCAGTATTTGGCGGGGGGTGGGGGGAGTTAACATTTCCAGTGGATCTTATTGTGTTTATTATTTGTTTTTTGAATGCTGGAGGTTTTGGGAGTCGTGTTTCGAAACCCGGAAGCCTTTTGCAAATCTAAAAACACAACCGTGATATGGAATGGAAACAAATTTGTGAGAAACAAATTCGGGAAAGCCCAAACGCCCCTTGAAAAACAACAGGTCACACTAAAAGCCCTGCTCTGAGTTACTGCGGGGGGGGGGGGGCACGCCTAACATTTTGGGGCCTTGAAAGAGCAACCTTCATGCAGAACACAGCGACCCACGGGGTATGTGGAATGTCAGAAGCATCCTGTTCTCACAGTGGCCGGCCAACTGCCCCACAGGGAAGCCCCCAAACAGGACATGAACCCCCAAACAGAACCCCATGAACCGAAAAGTCAGAATCATGGTCTTTTCTTCTGATCCTGCAATATCGCCCTTGCCTCCTTCAGCTTGTCTCCATAGCCAGGAGGGCTAGAATCTTCCTTTCCTCAGACGTCTGAGGTTCCAGATTTGTCCCTGGGATCTCGCTCTCTCCCCAGCCTCGTCCCGCCAGACTCCCCCCCCCCCCGCCTTTTCAAAGCAGCAGCTGCAGGCTTGAAGAATGCACTTCTAAAAATGTAACCCTCCGTCTTGATGAATAATTGACATTCCCTCTCTCTCCAGCCGACCCCGTTCTGCAGGCAGCGGCATTCGGAAGAGAGGCGGTGCCTGGCTACCTCTCTGATGAGGGGGGGGGGTTGCAACAGTGACTAGGGCTGCTGGCACAGCTTCCAACGACACAGGCCTGAGGATCCGGCCCTGTTGCTGGACGCTTTTGCATCAGCTGGCCTGGCTTTGCGAGGAAGGGCAGGAGGAGGAGGAGGAGGAGGAGGGAGGACACGCGAGGTCGCCTCCTTTGTGCTGGGAGAAAGGGCGCATCGAAGCATGGCTTCCGTCTCAGGAACATGGGCAGCTGTCTTGGACCCAGGCCAGCGGCCCCATCTAGCTCAGTATTGCTGCTCCAATGCGCACACTCTCCTGATCGGCAAAAGGCCTTGTCTTTCGGAAGACGGCTTTGCTTGCCCCCCACAAATTGGCTATAATTGATCAAAGGCGATTGATGCCTGCCAGACATGATGGCTGTGCTCTGCCTGGTAATCTTTGGGGATATGGCGGTGGTCTGAGCGAGGCTGGAATTTAGCACCCATAAATGGATCTTCTCGATTATGGGTCTTCTCAGTTGTGCGCCATTCACCTGCAGCAATGACTTTTTGGAATATGATATATAATGAAATCAATAAACAAATTACGGTGGTGCCTTGCAAGACGAATGCCTCGCAAGATGAAAAACGCGCAAGATGAAAGAGTTTTCCGTTTTTTGAGTCGTTCCGCAAGACGAATTTCCCTATGGGCTTGCTTCGCAAGACGAAACGTCTTGCGAGTTCTTGCGAGTTTGTTTCCTTTTTCTTTAAGCTGCTAAGCCGTTAATAGCCGCTAAGCCGCTAATAGCCGCTAAGCCGCTAATAGCCGTGCTTCGCAAGACGAAAAAAACGCAAGACGAAGAGACTCGCGGAACGTTTCGTCTTGCGAGGCACTACTGTAAAGTGATTTTTCCAAGAGGCCAGAATCCTTCCTCCTGGGGATCCTAGACAGCAAAATCCCAAGGAAGCCTCAGCTCCAGGGACAACGATTCTCTGTGCGCAGAAAAGGAAGGTGGAGAGAAACCCCTGAAAGGAAGAATAGCGGATGAAAATATTGGAATATGCAGAGATGGCAAAATTGACAGCACTGATAAAAGATACAAATTTAGAACCATTTAAAGAAGATGGGAAACTTTTTCTAGTCTATCCAAAAGTTATTTGCCATATGCAAAGACCCCTGTGGGGTTTGAAGTATAAAAAAACCCAGCAGAACATATTAGGACACATGTTAGAGAGGATGAAATTAGATAAGATGGAAACTTAAAATGCAATTTATGTAATTTGAGTTATAAACATTGATGTTGGGTGAGTGGGAAGTCACTAGTTTGGTTGAATTGGAATATAATTGTTGAGTAACAAATGTAACTTTCTATATCGAAAAAAGAATAAAATATTATTACAGAAGGGGGGGAAACCACCAAACACCCCCAACAGCGACAAGTTTTACAATTTACGGTGGGGCTGGTGAACTTCTGACCTTCTGGATGTTGCTGAACTACATCTCCCAGCATGCTCAGCTGTCATGGCTGATGGGAGTTGTAGTCCAATCACACCCAGAGGGCCAAAGGTGCTTACCCTGCTTATGCCTTACAGACAATCACCCTACTAGTCCGTCAAAGAAGTTTTTGCCTAGCCCAAAAAAGGATGTTGGGGAAGGCATAACTGCTGAAAGTGTAAACAGGCAGATGGATCTTTTCTCCACCATTTGTGAGGAAGTGAGGGCTTTGCGGGAAATGATGTATAATGAGATAAAAAAGCTGTTTAAAGTGATTAAACACCCCCCCACCCCACCGGAAGCCTTTTTCTTAGGAATTATAGGGACAGAAGTTAAAAAAAAAAGATGATTAGGTTCTTTATGTATGTAACACCAGCAGCTAGGATTCTCTCTGCACAAAAATGGAAGGAGGCAGAACTTCCCACCAAAGAAGAATGAATAAGTAAGGTGACGAACTACGTGGAATTGGTAACGCTGACAGCCAAAGTAAGAGACTCCGACAGTGACAGTTTTCTTGGAAGAATGGACGTCCTTTTCAGACTATTTAGGGAAATAGTATAGTTTGGTGAACTCGCGAGCTGGATTAGAAATATGAGCAACGGAAGGAATTTGAGAGAACAGCGTTGATGAGTTATTGGTATAAGACATTGAAGGCATTGTGCAGTGGGGGGAAAGTAAAACACCACGGAAAATGGGCCGGGAAGTCTGGAAAAGACCAACTTATTATGTATTGAAGTATGTATGTTAAACTTTTGAAAAGTGAATAGAAATTATTATTTTTAAAAAAGATGTCAGGGAAGGTGCCAGGAGGGCCTGGCAGAATACTGTATGGAGAAGAGGTGGAGCCCCGTGTGTGGGGCACCCCCTAAGCCAGGCTCCTGCCCTCGGGTGCGATGGAGGGCTCTGCGGCATCCGGCTCCCCAGCCCTGCTGGCGCCAGGTCTTGGGGAGCTGGGGTGCTGTCTCCCTTTGTCTCTTCTGCCCCTCAACCTGTCCGTTCTCTCATCCTCTTCCTCAGGTGGCCGAGCTGGAAGCCCAGAGAGGCCATGAGTCCTCAGGGGAGGCCAGGGAGGAGTCCAGCCCAGCCCTGGAAGAACTGGAGCAGTTGGTGAAAGCCAGGGACGAGGTGAGGGGCCGCTGTCGCCCTCCTGGTGGCTCACAGGCAAAGCTTGCGATATCAGACGGTGGTTTTCTGCCGTGGCTTTTCCCATAAATTTTCATCAACACAAAGAAGCCTTGCTGTATTCAGATCTTTCATATTTGTTCTTGGTACCTTACTCTCTCTCTTTTTTAACATAATTTTTATTGAGTTTTCCATATTTCATTACATTTTCATTACATAAATCCATAACTTGCTCAAACAAAGCATCGACCTCCTTCCCTTCCTCTTTCTGACTTCCAAACATCTTTTACAAATTCTTCGCATTTCTATAGCCACTTTTTTACCTTATATCTTGTTTTGACATTCACCTCCTTATATGTAAATCAGCTCCTTATTTTCACATTACGAAACATTTCAACTCAAGCCTACAAACGTTTTCAAATGTTTACATTTTTCTTTCATATAAAATATAAATTTGCTCCAGTCCTTTTGAAACAGTTCGTCACACCGATTCCGGATCTTGGTACCTTACTCTCATTTTGAAAAGATATCTTCCCACATTCTGCACATAAAAATAAACAAATTTTGATGCTATGCTATATTACACAGAAATGTTTAAATGCTTCTTAGCTGTCCTGGAATCTTCCTGCCACACCAGGGTGGTGACATGCCTTATGTTGCCTCATGGTCTTATTGTTGGATGAGACATCAGGACAGTCTCTCAAATCCCTTTTGCACACTCCCTCTTGACTGGGCACAGGGCTGCCCCGTTGCCCTAACAGACCAACACCCCCCTCTCTTTCACCCCCCCCGTGACAGATTAGCTGGAGTTCCCCCATCCCTCCTGGCCCTGCCAGCCCTGCTCCCTCCTCCATCGCTCTCCTTTCCACACCAGCAGCTGCCAGGAGCCCACACTCCACCTCTGCTCTTGCTGGGGCGCCAATTAAATTAACAGTTTAAAGCAGAGGTTTAATTACAGGGCAGGCGCCTGCTCTAGACGCAGATCCGCCTTTCTGAGAATGCTGCGCAAGGCAGAAACTCGTGCGCTGGTGAGAGGAGGCTCTGTGCTCTCTACTCCATGCCCCCCCCCACAACTCATAGCTCTAAGAATTAGCATTCCTGTAGAGCAGGGAGTGGGCTAAGCTGCAGCCTCTCAGGATCGGGGGGGGGGGGGCTTTGTTGCAGTTTGCTAGGTGCCTGAGGTGTCCCCGGGCAGTGCTGTGGTTCAGCCCTGTGGACGTAAATGAAGGAGCGAGAGTTCCTCTGAGCATGTGCTGAGCCCTGGGATTTGAGACTAGATTAATATTTTATTAGAAGAATTTGATTTATAAAAAACAGAGAGTGAGAAAAAAAGAATGAAAAAAGTGAACGACAAAGAAAAAACACTGTTACATTAAGATACATTAATATACAGATGTGTATATTCTTATTATGCCAATACATCAAACTCATGAGTAGGCATCGGGGAGAAATTGAGGTTGTCCGTCAAATAAAGGGGGGAGTTCCTGTACCTCTTTTTCTAGGAAAAAAAAAAGCACTGGCGTCAAGTATTCCTAAAATGGCATGGTCAAAATAACACACAATGGGGGTTGTATTAGGGGAAATAGGTTATTGCATGCAGAAATGCGACTATCCAGAGGGGCAGGTGCATTGATTGCCTCTGTGCTCCTGGCATCAGCCCTCTGAGTTGGCTCTTTGCTGCCTGGGGCGGTTGGAAGTTGTAGTCTAAACCACCCAGAGGGCGCCAGGTTGGCGATTGGGCTTGTTTAGCCTCTCAGCCATTGCATTCTGCAAGGGGGTGGAAAGTTGGTCAGAATGTATCCCTTTTCATTTTAATACAGTCATACCTCGGGTTACAAAGGCTTCAGGTTGCGTTTTTTCGGGTTACGGACTGCCGAAACCCGGAAGTACCGGAATGGGTTACTTCCGGGTTTCAGCGGTTGTGCACGCACAGAAGCACTAAATCGCGCTTTGCGCAGAAGCGCCGAATCGCAACCCGCAAGTGCTCAGACGCGCCGCTGCGGGTTGCAAACGTGCATCCTGCATGGATCACGTTCGCAACCCGAGTGTCCACTGTAGTTTTGAAAGCTGCAACCAAACCACGTTTTGCAAAACAAATAATGGGGTTGGTGGGAGGGCTGTCTGACCAAGGCTGTGGACACATATCCTCCAACATCTCCCCGATGAAAAGAAGGATGTCCTATTCAACAACAACACCCTGCCCATGTGACTTGGTTGCACCAGCCACTCTAGGCAGCTTCCAACATATATAAAAGCACAAGAAAACATGAAACATTAAAAACAACTTCCCTATCCAGGGCTGCCTTTGGATGTCTCCTAAAGGTGTATACTTCCTTATCTCCTTGGCTTGGGGGTTGCATCACAGTCCAGTGTTTCTCCACCGAAAAGAGGGACGTTCTAAGGAAAAGCAGGATGTTCCAGTATCAAATCAGAAACTGGGACAGCTTTTGTAAATCTGGGACTGTCCCTGGAAAATAGGGACACTGGGAGGGCCTCCAAACATATCACATGTAAAGCTTGTGACTCCCCTTGCCCAGAGAATCCTGGGAACTGTAGTTTGCTAATGGTGCTTGGGGTGTAGCTTTGTTAGCAGCAAACTACAGTTCCAAGGATGTGGGGGGAGCCGTGCTCTTTAAAGGTATAGTTCTCTTTTTTGTTTCGTAGAATCGTAGCATTGCAGACTAGGAAGGGCCAAAAGGAACGTTCTTCCATTCCTGTTTGTGTGTTTTTTTAAACGACCAGGAACTACGGCAGCTAAAGGGGCAGAAAGGAGGAAGCTGGGAGACGGATGAAGAGTGTGAGGACACCCGCCAGAAGGTGCAGGTAATGGGGGCAGGAGGGGGGATTAGGGGCAGCTGCAATGGGGACTCGGCCAAATCCCCCTGAGCAGAAGACCAAGTTTTCCCCAACACCATTTGCTCCCGATTAAAAACATTATTATTTGTACCCCACCTTTCTGACTGGGTTGCCCCAGCTACTCTGGGTGGCTTCCAAGACACATCAAAACATAATGAAACATCAAAACATTAAAAACTTCCCTGAAGAGGGCTGCCTTCAGATGTCTTCTAAAGCTTGTATAGTTCTTTATCTCCTTGACATCTGATGGGAGGGCGTTCCACAGGGCAGGCACCACCACCAAGAAGGCCCTCTGCCTGGTTCCCTGTAACCTCACTTCTCGCAGTGGGGGAATTGCCAGAAGGCCTTCGGAGCTGGACCTGTGTCTGGGCTGGTATAGAGGGCCAAGGCTGTTTAGGGCTTTGAAGGTCAGCACCAACACTTTGAATTGTGCTTGGAAAGGTAAAGGGACCCCTGATTGTTAAGTCCAGTCGCAGACGACTCTGGGGTTGCGGCGCTCATCTCACTTTACTGGCCGAGGGAGCCAGCATTTGTCCGCAGACAGCTTCCAGGTCATGTGGCCAGCATGACTAAGCCACTTCTGGCGAACCAAAGCAGTGCACGGAAATGCTGTTTACCTTCCCGCCGGAGCGGTACCTATTTATCTACTTGCACTTTGATGTGCTTTCAAACTGCTAGGTGGGCAGGAGCAGGGACCGAGCAATGGGAGCTCACCCCGCCGCGGGGATTCGAACCGCCGACCTTCTGATAGGCAATCCCTAGGCTCAGTGGTTTAGACCACAGCGCCACCTGCGTCCCTAGCTTGGAAAAGTACTGGGAGCCAATGTAGGTCTTTCAGGACCGCTGTTATGTGGTCTCGGCAGCTGCTCCCAGCCACCAGTCTAGCTGCCACATTCTGGATAAGTTGTAGTTTCTGAGTCACCTTCAAAGGAAGCCCCACGGAGAGCGCATTGCAGTAGTCCAAGCGGGAGATAACTAGAGCATGCACCACTCTGGCAAGACAGTCTGCAGGCAGATAGGGTCTCAGCCTGCGTACCAGATGGAGCTGGTAGACAGCTGCCCTGGACACAGAATTGACCTGTGCCTCCATGGTCCAAAATCACCCCCAGGCTGCGGACCTGGTGTTTCACACTGACCCCATTCAGGACCACCCCCGCCCACCCCCTGTCACCCTGAAATAGCACTTCTGTCTTGTCAGGATTCAGCCTCAATCCATTTCAGCCATCCATCTTCCAACCACCTCCAGGCACTCACACAAGACCCCCTGCAAAAGAAACATGGATTGAACATTTCTGGGGAACTGAGAGATGGTCTGTGTGCAACCCAGGTGCTCTTCCCTGGGGGGCGATGGTCCTGGGGCAGCCAGCAGGAGGGTCCCTCATGACCACAGGGACCCTGAGGTCAGTCTCCTCTCCCCCTTTTTCTCGCCAGGACTTGGAGAGGCGCAACACAGACTTGGAGCGGCGCCTTCGCCTGGCTGAGCAGTCTCTGTCGGAGACGCTTTCTGAGCGGGAGAAGATGTACCACGAAGTGGCCAAGGTGGCGGAAATCATGGACATGAAGATCTTCGAGCTGAGCGAGCTGCGGCAGGACTTGGCCAAGCTGGTGGAGAGCAACTGAGCCTGGCCGGAGGTGGGGAGGTGGGGAGGCTGCCCCGATGGTTCTCCTCCTGGCGGAAGCGGACAGGCGACGTGGCTCTGAAGTGGGTAGCTGGTGGGGCACATTTTTGGTCCTCCAGAAATGCTCCTCCAAGAGGATGCTGGACATCATAGAATCGTAGAGTTGGAAGGGAGCCTGAGGATCATCTAGTCCCAACCCCCTGCAATGCAGGAATATGCATCTGTCCCATAAGGGGATCGAACCTGCAGCCCTGGTGTTCTCAGCACCAGGCTCTCACCAGCTGAGCTATCCTGGCTGACACCTTCAGGCTTCTTTTTCCTGGCCTTAGTTCCCTTTCGGATGCTTCCATTTCTACAGACCCAGTTATCCTTTTTCTAGCCAAGTTAGTATGGTGGTTCCCCCCTCCCTTCCCTGATCCAGTAGGTTTTTGATAGAGAACTCTTCTCCTCCCCCCCCCCCCCGCCAGCCTTACCAGAACCAGCGGCTGATTCAAAAACCTTTCTTGTAATCCTCCTGGCTGAGTCTTTTTAACAAGCTTGCTTTTTATAGATTATCAGAGACTTCCCCCTCAACCCCCCCCCCAGAGGGAACCTTGACTCTCTTCCTGGAAGTAAATGGGGCTATTTTCTTCTCTCCGCCCCCCCACTCTCCTCCCAACAACACCCTCCTTCCATTGTACGTTTGGTTTTCTTTTCAAAGCGAGCAGTGACTTTGTCTTAGTGGGGTAATGCGAATGTGGGAATGAATACTCAGCTTGGGAAAGCTGGCAGGGGAAACTGGGGTGTGTGCGGGGGGGGAGTGGGGGGTGCTAATGTCAGAGGGGAAAAGGCTATTTCCAGGGGGCCGGTGGGAGAGGGGCAGCAAGCCAAGCCAGCTGCCAATCTGGCAGGTTGCCCAGTTCTGCAAATATTGCGCGAAACCAAGAACCTGACCCTCTCCTGGTTTGAGAAGGAAGTGCAGCTTGCTCAAGAAGTCTTATTCCAAGAAGTCAGGCAGGGGTGTGACCCACTGGCAGGAACGTAGGTCCTCGCCTGCTTTGCTAGCCCAAAGGTGATGGGACCTCTGGCCCATGAACCGAGAATATTATTATTATTATTATTTGCAGTGCTTTTCTTCTAGAAAAAAAGGGGCCGGTACTCACTATGAAGTTCTTACACTAAGTGCCACATTTTAAACCAGTGCTTTTCTGCTAAGAAAACAAGTCCCGGTACTGCGTACCCAGGAGTACCCCATGGCGGGGGGAAGAGCACTGATTATTGGTTAAATTTGTATGCCGCCCTATATACCCGCAGGTTTCAGGGCGGCTCACAAGATAAAAACACAAAATGCATTTTAAAAACCCAGTAGTCCCTGCTCCCCAACACATTTTAAAAGGGTGTCAATCAGCCAAGGACCTGGTTGAAGATGAATGTTTTCACCTGGCACCTAAAGGTGTATAATGAAGGCGCCAGGCAAACCTCCTTGCGGAGAGCATCCCACAAACAGGGAGCCACTGCAGAAAAGGCCCTCTTCTTGTGTTGCCACCCTCCGGACCTCTTGAGGAGGCACAGGGAGAGAGGCCTCAGAGAATGATTGCAGGGTCTGGTACGTTCATATGGTCCACAGGGCTACAATGTGGTTCCCCAACCTGTGCCCACCTGCTGCACACCTGACAATGGCAGTGCCAGCCCGCTCCATTGCAATTTTCAATTTGCATGTCTCCGTTAGGTTTGAACCACACCCAGACTTCAGAGGTGCTTGCCGTACCTGCCAATCCAGTTACCGCAAGCGCTTTTGAAGGCGCTCTCTCTGCACCAGTCAGCTGATGGGTTGTCCTGGTGTCCACTGGGAAATGGATCTACAAAAGAGGATAATGTTTGAGCAGTTTGCCTCGCATTTGAGCTGCGGCTGGAAGGAAGGAACAAATCAGCCAAAGCCCTCTCTTTCTGCCGGGCCCTTCCTTGCCATTGGGCAGAGTGAGGTGGCAGCCACAGGCTGAGCTGCCCTTGCCTTGCACCTGCTAAGCTAGGGGGCTGCCCCATTACCTGCACTCAAAGAGTCAACTGCGTGTCCAGTCAGGTTGAACACATGGAATTTGGAGGGAAGGGGGCTAATCCTGGTCTAGCGCATCCAAGACGTACAAAATTAATGTGCCCAGGGTTAGTCAAAGCTCAGCGCCAGTTTTGCTTCTCCTATTTTATTTTAGTGGTTAAAAAGGAGAGGAAAAGTTGGAACAATGGCCTGGGAATTTGCCATGCAGCTGCCTGCACCAGGCAGACTGATACACACACACCCTGTGAAATTTGGCGAATTTGAAAACTCCACTCTCATTTAAGGTACTAGTCCTCCTGACTTTGAAGAACACAAGAAGAGACCATGCTTCTGGGAGGCTCGGATACAGGCCCTTGAGGCTTGCTTGTTTTCTCTGAGCATCCAGGTACGCTGCCTCTAAGACTGGAAGCTCCATTTGTCTTGCCATACCTACTGTACAGCGACAGGGCTATTTCCCACAAACCTGCGCTTTTCTTGAAGTTCTAAACCTCTCCCCCCCCCCCCGAAACAAAACGAAAACTTGGCCCTAATTGGTTTTGCAAATCTGATTATTTGTTGCATGAAGACGAAAGCTTGGGCAGATTTGGGGAATGCCCAGTGGAAGCTCTAGAAACAGGTGATGCTGAAGGGGAGGACAGGTGGGTGGGGGTTGAGCTGGAATTATTTAGAGTGGGGCTACAACCCCTCCGTATTTAGCCAAAGCAGATTATTGTTGTGTCTCTCTAAGACTAAGTAGACAAGAGTTTTAGCCTGGTGACGAATTCAGAATGTCCCCGTGTCGCAGAAAGAATGTATTCAAGCAAACCTGTGGATTGTAGGCTGTGTATAAGTGACCTGATGATTGTCAGGTTTTACTGGAGGTGTTCAATAAGACAAAGCAATGGTGGAACTATGACCCTGGGTGTTTCTCTCCCCTTGCCTTTCTCTTTCCCTTCTCTTTAATTGGGAACTTAATTGTGAATGGGGGCTGGGCAGCGTCAGCCACATCCACCAGGCGGCTCTTGATCTCGCGGCCCCCCACTCCTGGGCTGCTCAGCGCACATCTTGACCAGGTTCCAGCCGGAATCCGTTTCAAAGCTCAATTGCGAAATAGTGCGAGATCTTTCTGGATGCTTTCTTTTTCCGCCACTCTGCCATGGAGGGAGAGGGCAATCTCCCAGGTTGTGCCTTCACAGTTGGAGGCATCCATGCTTCTGAGTCCCAGTTGCCGGGAAACGGAGGAGCTAAATAAACCCTGATGGATGGATGTCCATCCAACTTCTGTTTGAAAACCTCCAATGAAGGAGAGTCCACCAACTTCTGAGGTCATGGAATCGTAGACTTGGAAGGGACCCCGAGGATCATCTAGTCCAACCCCCTGCAATGCAGGAATCTCAGCTAAAGCATCCCTGACAGATGGCCACCCAACCTCTGCTTAAAAACCTCCAAGGAAGGAGAGTCCACCATCTCTTGCGGGAGTCTTACACTGTCAAACAGCTCTCAGTGTCAGAAAGTTCTTCCTGATGTTTAGTCAGAATTTCCTTTCTTCTAACTTGAAGCCATGGGTTCGAGTCCTACCCTCCAGAGCAGAAGAAAACAAGCTGGCTCCTTCTTCCATGTGACAGCCCTTAAGATATTTGAAGATGGCTCTTCTGTCTCCTCTCAGTCTCCTCTTTTTCAGGTTAAACATACCCAGCTCCTTCAACCGTTCCTCACAAAGCTTAGTTTCCAGACCCTTGATCATCTCATTTCCTGCCCTCTGCACACGTTCTAGCTTAGGGGGTTCTGTGGCGCAAGCTGAATCCTCCTTCCATTGAGCACTGGTGGGCGGTAAGGAAATTTTACCGTCAGGAAAGATGCATTAGTGGGTGGTAGGTATAAAAAGGTTGACTACCCCTGTTCTAGCTTGTCAACATCCTTCAATTGTGGTGCGCAGAATTGGACACGCTGTTCCAGTGGTCTGACCAAGGCAGAATAGAGTGGGACAGGGACTTCCCTTGTGCTCAGGGGGGTAGCCTGGTCAGGTGGCAAAATGGAGGGAGAAAGACTACAAAGGGGGGTCTGGCCTTTACAGGAATGCCTTTCCTTTTCCTTTGCGCCCCATGAATCATCTCCCTCCCCCACAGCTGTGCTTTTGAAAGTGAAGAGATGCTTTGAAGCCCAATTTTGCCACCATTTGTGCCCAGGACCCAAGTGCTGGTGTGGTGGCTGCAGTGTGGGACTAAGACCTGAGTTCAAGTCCCCTCTTGGCCAGCAAGCTCACTGGGCCATCTTGGGAGCTAGTCACTGCCTCTCTCAGCCTGGCCTACCCCGCAGGGTTATGGTGAGTGTAACAGAATTGTAGAGTTGAAAGGGACCCTGAGGATCATCACTCCAACCCTGTGCAATGCAGAAATATGCAGCTGTCCCATACAGGAATCAAACCTACAACCTTGACATGTGGGGGGAGAGGAGGACTATGGATCTCTTTCACCTCCTTGGAGGAAAAGTGCGGGATATATATATATATATATATATATATATACACACACACACACATACAGAGAGAGAGCGGCCTCATGACAGCGATGGCCTCTGGGACTGCTTTGCCATGGGAGCCCTTCCCCAGAAAATTCTCCATTTTGTGCTCTCCATCGCCGCTGCCCTCCTTCATGTCTGACAAAGTGGGGGGTGTGCAAAGAGGGGCTTCAGGGACCCCCGCCGGGCAACGAGCCTGCTAGCTGCAGCGAGCGGAGGAAAAGGGGAAGAGGAGGAATCTGCTGAGAAAGCGGCTGGCTTAATGGTTGACAGGCGCAGCCGGCAGGCAACAGCCGCAGAGGCCGAGGGATTGACGCGTCCCCAGGGGGATGGGTGCCAGTCAGATCTGAAACTCCTGTTTAGAGAATTGGGGGGAGCAGTGAAGAAAGAGAGACCCGCTGTCTCCAAAGCGGGTGCCTTTGGCCCAAGCCAACCCCCAGAATGGCTGCTTGCTGCATACAGATGCCAGACCCATAGAGTTGGGGGGGGGGGGCGTGAAGCGCTTATGTAAACGCCAGCTGGGCTGACACCTTGATTCAGAGTGGGAGCCTCTATGGTTGGAGACCCAGTATCTGGAGACGGCAGGAGGGGAGAGAGTTGCTTTTGTGCCGGGGTCTTGCTTGCGGGTTTCCCATCTGGGCATCTCTCTGGCACAGACTCTCCCCGCTCACTCCACCCTGTCGCCCTTTCAGCTTCCAGCCCCTCCTCTTCCCAGGCTTCTCCCTCTGGCCCCTCATCTCCACCCCCCCTCGGGCTCTGAGCCTCCTTCCCTTGGGGGGTCCCCAGCTGGTTCCTCCCACCACTCCTCTGCTCCCCCCACCATCCCATGGCACCAATCCAGCACCTTGTGAAAATTACGGAATTCCCTCCCACACCCATTTGGAAGGCTTCAGATTCACTCCACTGGTGGCTACTAGCCAGGATGCCTCTGCAATTGCTTTGGAGTAACAGCCGCTGGATTACTCTTGTGCTCGGATCTTGCCTTCGGGCCTCGCCACTGAGGACAGGATTCCTGACTCGATGGGCCCTGGTCCTGATTCAGCAGGCTCTCTGTATGTTCCTCTCCTCACCTTGCAGGAGGCAGAGGCGAAACTGGGCTGTACTTCGCCCTGCTCAAAGACACAGAGACACACGGGCTGGGAGCCCCTCTGGAGGAGTCACCCGGGGGCAAAAAACCTGGTAGCGCCCCCACCCCGTGGATTGCCTCGCCTAAGCCTGTGGGGCCCTGATCCTGCGAAGACAAGGTGGGAGGAAGCTTGGTGGCTGGATTGGGGGCACGTCTCAGCCGTAGAAGGCACCCCAAGTTCAATAAGGTGCCTTGGTGTGAAGAATCTGTCCGGGGCGGGGGGAGCTGTGCCTTCTCTTCCCCAAGTGGGCGTTCGGGGCATTTAACCCAATCTAGCAGCTGTCCGGGTGGGGCGATGCCAGAATCCGAGTCTCCAAGCCAACTGGCGCTCCATCTGGGAGCTGTTCCCTCTGCTGGCGTCCCTTCCTCGCGGCTCCCTGCCAGTTGTCCCTGAGCCAGAGAGGTTGAGAGAGCAGGGCTGGCAGTTGAAAGGAAGGGGGCGCCCCCACCTCCCCACCACCACCCGGGGGTGCCAGCACAGCTCCAGCTCAATGGGGTTCTTTTTGCTGGGGCAGGTGGGAGATGGCAGAAAATGAGTCCTCACAGAATCATAGAATTGGAAGGGACCTTGAGGATCATCTAGTCCAACCCGGCACAATGCAGGAATAGGCAGCTGCCCCATATGGGGATCGAACCTGCAACCTTGGCACTGTCAGCCGACGGAGCTCTCCAGGCCTCCCTGGGCAGCGTGGCCGGGTCTATGATTCGAGGACTCTCCTTCCTTGGAGATTTTTAAGCAGAGGCTGGGTGGGCGTGTCATGGATGCTTTAGTTGAGATTCCTGCATTGCAGGGGGTTGGACTAGATGACCACGGGAACCCCTTCGAACTCTATAATTCCACGAGGACTGGAGTCGTGACTTTATTTCCAGAGGAAGGACCATCGCCCGGTGGCAGCAGCGCCCTGGCGCAAAAGGAGAGCAACACCTTGTCCTGCCTCTCTCGCAGCAGCCGCAGTCCCCCCGCAAGGTCACTTGCGCATCTTCTCCAGCGGACGGGCAGAGGACATTTGGGGGCCCCCCCGGCCTCAGCTGCCAGGAAATCAAGAGGGTGACCTTCCTCAGCCTCGGACACCGACATCCTCAGGGAGAGGCCGCCCCTCGCGGCGTAAACATTCTCCGGGGGGAGGATCTTGCTTGTGCGGGAAGGGCAGAGAAGGGGAGAGCGCGCTGCTGGCTTCCTTGCGCAGCCCGAAGGCGAGCGTCTCCCTCGAGAGCCACGTCCCAGCTCGGCGGGGTCATCCTTTTCCCAGGGCAAAAAAGAGGAGAGGAGCCCAGATGGATCTTCCCTGGCAGGCCTTCGCCTCCTGCTCTCCTGTCTGTCGCTGGCTCCAGTTTCAGCTCAGCTTGGGGAGGGGACTGAGAAAGAGAAAGCATGGAAAAACCTCCTGCTTCTCACAATGGGTCGCTCACCTGTGGGACTCCCTACGATACGATACGATAATCTTTATTGTCATTGTCCCCTACAGAACAACGAAGTTGTGGGTGCTGGGGGGCAGCTTTCAAAAGGGGGCATCCTGGCAGAATGGTTGTGGGGTGAGGTGGTGTTCTCGAGGGCTGCCTGGCCCAGGGAGGGGGGTTGCCTGTGGCCTTCCCAATTCCAGTCCTCCCTGACTCCAGTGGGCTGCTGGGGGAGTGGAGGACCGATAACATCTGGAAGGACGCAGATGCTCTCTATCCCTGTTCCAAGGAGAGGTATTCCTCCATCTCTTGCATGCAGCAGGGAATGCCTCTCCTTAAATTGGAGGGGTGGAAGAGTAGGCTCTTAGTAGAAGAGGAGAATCGCAAAGTTGGAAGGGACACCCGAGGGTCATCTAGTCCAACCCCCTCCAATGCAGGAATCTCAGCTAAAGCATCCATGGCAGGTGGCCACCCAACAGCATAAAAGCCTGTGAGGAAGGAGAGTCCCCATCTTCTGAGGGAGTCCATTCCACTGGTTCTTACTGCCAGAAAATTCTTCCTGATGTTGAGTCGGAATCTCCTTTCTTGCAGTTTGAATCCATTGGTTTGGATCCTGCTTTCTGGGGCAACAGAAAACAAGTTGGCTCCCTCTTCCATGTGACAGCCTTTTAGATGTCTGAATATGGCTCTCCTATCTGCTCTCAGTCTCCTTTTTTCCAGGCTAAACATCCCCAGCTCCTTCAACCGTTCCTCATATGGTCTGGTTTCCAGACCCTTGATCATCTTGGTTTCCCTCCTCTGTACACCTTCCAGCTTGTCAAGATCCTTCTTAAATTGTGGAACCCAGAACTGGACTCCAGGTGTGGCCTGACCAAAGCAGAAGAGAGCAGGACGATG